GTGGCATGTGACAAACCACAGATTTTTTGGAATCAGATCAAAGACTGACATTGTGATTTGTGGGTACCTAATTCTGACACTTCTCAACTTTTTTCATTTAGATTAAGCTTTGTCTTAGTTCCACACATTTGTTGATGGTTGAAATAGTGACGTCATTCTATTGTCAAAACACTAGGTCTGGGCTGTCTTTGGGAAAATGTTGCACAGTGGCAAAGCAGAGACTTTTTTGGACTCTCCCTCAAGTTCATTTTTGAGTCCTATAAGTAGACAAGGAAAGTAGGGTAAATGTGGTATATTAGGTCACATTAAGGACACATTGAGAAATGAAAAACTATTGAAAAATAACCATATGCATTACTCAAGTTCTGTTTGCTTTAGGTGACTCTCAAAACACCGTAGTACGCGTCGGCAATGATGAAACGTCATAAAATGTTGCCATATTTATGTAAAAGCCTTTAGAATGTTAGCATGCATTGTCTCTCTTTGGATCTCAATATTTTCCTGCTAGATGGCCAAGACCTAGTGTTTTGGCATTAGTTCAACGCGCAAATGTATGACGTCACCATTTCAACCATCAACGAACGCATGGAACTAAAACAAAGCTTAATGTAAAGGAAAAACTAGAGAGGTGACGGAATTACCCACGATGACGGAATATACCGTGTTTACCCTATCATGGATACTAGTATTACTACTATTATACATGATAAATTGGTTCAAATCTTGAGTAAATAAGGAAATTAAAAATAAACTGATTCTAGAGAATCTCTGGTTTGTCACTGTGAAATGTTGAGATCCAAAGAGAGACAGTGTGTGTCACCCAGTGAGAACATCGGAAAACATGTCAAAGTTGATAGTTGACCTTGCTCTACCAAATAGTGATAAACTGTTTGTGTAGAATGAATATTATGATTTGAGACTTTGAATAAGTCTGTGAATATATTAGGAATCCATTAAGTATACTTGTATATGCTGATTTCAAGTGGTAAATAAATTGATAGATGATTAAGTTAAGAGATGGTTTTAGACACATGAAAACGAATTCTGACACAGCTTGGAATTAAACACACACAGCTTGCTGAGCTCTGAATGAGCTGTGTGCAAAAATTAAAATTTTCTTGATAAAAGCTTAATAGCTCTTAATTAAAAGCCTAATTAAGTAGTGTTCAATATTCAATAGTGTTCTAATTCCAAGCTGAGTCCAAGTGTGTCGTATTCCAATACAGCTCACACAGCGATCGGAATTCGAACACAAGAGTGTCAGAATTACGAATTAGTAGTTTGAAGCGCAGCTGGGCCTGGAATTAGTCTCACAAAATGCCAAATTTAGTCACACACAGCGTCGGAATATATGGATTTGGTAGGCTTGCATTCTAAAGGCTTTTAAATAAATATGGCAACATTTTGTGACGTTTCATTGTTGCTGGCGCGTAGTGCGGTGTTTTGAGAGGGACGTAAAGCAAACAGAACTCAAGTTGCGCATACGGTGATTTTTTCCACGCTTGATTCAAGGCAAGTACAAGACTTGTAAATGTGGAACAGAGTGCCCTTGTCCAATTGGCCAGGGCGTCTGCTCTTATTTCAGATTACATAGGTAGATGGTCGTCAAGAAGACATTTAGAATGGCAGCATGTCCTGGAAAAGGGACAGACAGGGGTGCATGGTGATGGTAACATTCTAATCATAGTGGAATTTTAGGATATAGTTTGTCATTTAGATCTGTCTGGACGGCTAAAGTGCTGCAGCTCTATTCACTTGAGAAGCAGTGGAGGGGTGAGTGGGATGGCTGTGTGCTCTGATGTGAGCAGGCTTGCTGTCTTGGCCGAGGGATTGTGCCACTACAATAAGAACGGAGCAAGCATGTTGCTGCTGCTGATTTTAGTGTACATGGTGCAATTCTAGGATCAGTGCTACACTGCTTATTGGTCTTGACAAAGGGTGCCTGGTTATGGTCCCCCACCAGAGTTGCTATGTATTATGATGAAAAATATTCACAATAGAAAATATTCATAATATCCAGGAAACAGGATGCACTGCCATGTTCACTCAGGCTTTAATACAGCTAAAGAGTTGGAGGTGGCATCTTGTGCAGTAGCATCTCACATGCTATGCATCACTTGTGACATCAGAGGCAATATGTCCTGAAGCAATTATTTTTACAATTTTTTTTGTGGGCTACTCTAGACTTAGAATATGCTTCACTTCTTAAATGTGTATAAACTTGATAATAATTAATACATATTATTGTTAAATATCAACAATAAAAGTTTGGAGCTGTAATTTCATTATATACTAATTTTTCTCTTATGGCTGTAACTTGTAGAAAACTTTTCACAGATAGACTAATTGCAGACCAGAAATGTAGGAATTCTTGTGAGAGTTTCATATTTTTGTTGAAAATTCTTGCTTCAGGTGATGAATTTTACTTGTAAAGAAGTATGTAAATATGGGGATACAACTTTTATTTTGAATTAGTTGCGTAAATGTGTATCTAATTCTCAACACTAGCAATCAATGTCATGAGACTTTTGTAATCCATACATTTGATTGGGCCGATTGGTTCTGAAAGCTGTTTTTAGTGATGTATTTATCCAAATTCTAATTTATTCAACAAGTATATATGTTACAAGAGATAATTATCAGCTTTATGAGATAATTATCAGCGTTAACAGCATTGAATTCTAAGCGGAATGGTAATTTTTTGGCATTTAATGACTTCAGGCATTTAATGATTCAAATTTCTGGTTGGTTAACCATTGAAATGTTGCTGCTGTTGTTGGCCAACAGTCTTTTGTTTACTTAGTGCGCAGTTGTGTCTTGTGTGGGATGGTGCTAGTGTGCTGTGTGATGGTCTGTTGATTGGTCTGAAATCTCAAAATACAATGAAATACATAGAACTGCTCCATGGTCAAGACTATTTATATGAAGTTTCTATTAGTCTATATATGCAATTTCAAGACTATGCATACAGTTTCTATTGGTCAATACTATATAGGTACTGGTCACAGCCTCTCTTAGTCAGATAGGAAGCATTGCACAAGGCTCACTTACATTGATTCTTGGCATGGTCTATGCTTGAGTTTAATCTTACCATGCAATATTTCTCTCAACAAATCTCATTTATATGATTTAATATTCCATATTCTTCAATATTATTGATTCATTGCAAGTGCCATAATCTTGAATCCAATATTATTGAATCCTGTTACTAATTATACAACTACCTATTTGCAAATCATATTGAAAATCATGATCCAATAACCCATTGTTTTCACTCAAACCCTCAAATTTTCACACAACAAATAAATTTGGAGTTCATGTTCCATCTAGACTAGATGCAATAATGGACTAAATGCAATGTATACACTAATGCAATTTATACAGGTTTGGTTGAAGACCAGAGCGTACTTTTTATTTACGATTTTCTTATTGTTCTTTTCGATAAGCCGAACGAAATTTCTAGCTGGAGCTTGGAGATCAAAAAGTAGATTACCGAAAAAAAAGTACGCTCTGGTCTTCAACCAAACCTGTATAAATGAAGAACTTCTGCCTAACTACACTAATACTAATGCAATTGTGGAGAAAACTGACCCTTGAGAAAACTGTTTATCTATATTAGACCCTTGAGAAAACTGTTTATCTTGGTTACTGTAAGTTTGTCTGGTGCATATTGTTTGCATAGTTTTGACATGACATTCTTTCTCTAATATTCTACTGGCTGCCCTAAATCTTAGAGAAAGTTTGATGTATAAGCAACTTAGCACACTAAGTATAAAGTGACGTCTATCAGGGGACTTTCAACCAATTAATAGGCATATTACCATATATGGTCACTACAGGTCTTCCAAAAAGGCTGACCACATCTGCTTTGTGTTATATCATTTTATATAACAAAAGACTTTATCTTCCCCATTGAGTCCTAAAGTAGGCCAGTAAGTATCATGGATACCAGCATTAACAGACATAAGATATTGAACAAAATCTTGAAGTAGATCAGGAAATTGAAGTTATATATTTATATATAGGTTATATATAGGTGTGTACTACTGGGATTAAAAAGTCACTCTTTTTGGCACATTTTCTCATTTTTGGAAAAAATGCACTATTGTGCTTGCCATGTCTGTCCGTCTGTGACTTCATGTTTTCGTCAACAAGAAAATGCGTGCTGTCACTCACTGCAGTGAGTACAGAGTTATATTTTTTTATTATATATCTCATCATGCCTTTACCAATCTTCAATCATCTGCCCATATTTTTTATAGGCATATATTACATTTCAATAGCACAATTTCCTAGCCATGACCATGCTAAAGGAATATAATGAATATATGCATTTGAATTATATTTGATAGACAGCAAAATTTTTGTTCTTTCTGTCTGATGTTGAACAATGAAAGTTCAATGCTACCTTGCCTTATGAACTTAATTTATGCAAAAACTTGATATGTACAGAAAAACAAATATAAGAAATGCATTCTGCATATTCAGGAGTTTTGTTGATGCGCTTGAATTCTCCTGAAAAATATGTAGGCATTTTTTCATAGTGTTTCAGTTGATATCTATTCAGGTTCTTTCCATTGTTCAGATAATGTTATCTCCTAATATAAACCATCAATATGGTATGAAATACATATCATGAAAGCAGACTTGGTTAACTGATATTTTTTTTTTGCAAATAGTTAGTATTTTCTATGCAATTTGAAACCAATTTAAAAAAATGTTGGAAATCAAACCTCATTGAGATGTTGGACAGCTTCATTATTTGAGGAAATTTAAAACTATCTGATAAAATTATAATTAAAAACAAAAGGGATTCAATGGAGTGAGATAAGAGTTTGTTTTGCATATTTTTTGGCAACTTCTTGTAGTCATCCATTTAGAATTATTTCTTTGTGATTAATCTTAGGATCTTACTTTCATTTCTTGTTATTTATGATTTGGTTTTAGCTTGAAGCAATAAGCTACTAGTGTGTAATGTTCTACGGTAAACTTTTTTTTTCAGGTGAACTAATGTTGTAAGTGTAATACCTTACCAGTAATATTATTGTATTAGTGAGTAGCTTACCTAAAGTAGTGTGCTGCATTAGGATTACTCTGAATTACCTTGGCACATCACTGTGTTAGGCTTCACCTTTAATTTGGTGTGACAAGGAACTGCTCTGTATCCCTTTGCTGGATGTTCCCTAGATGAGATAAACTCTGGCCTCAGTGCCTCAACCATGAAGATAGATCGCACAAAGCTCAAGAAGAGCAACTCGGAGGTGGTGAGTACCTGTCTTCTACTCAATTTCTTTATTACATTTTAATTGTATTGTCATTCATTAGTGTCAGAACCATAAATTGGAAATTCAGTGCAGCAATGATCATAATCTAGAATGTTTCTTTTTCTATAGCCAGCGGACTGTCGATGGCTGATAGAGAAGCTACAAACTTGCAGTGATGAGGAGTTACTTGAGGTGCTTCGAGGCTTCCACTCCTGGAGCTTTGGCAAGTGTGAGCTTTACCACTGGACCTTCGTCCTGGACAGATTTGATGGCATCCTGGAGCAGGCAGCCACTCGACAGCAGCCTTCAAGTGGAGAGCTTCAGGAGTCTTGGGTCTTGCACTGTGACCTTCCTGAAAATGCACAGGTCTGTTGAGCTGTCAATGGATGTTATCAAAAATTTTGATCATCCAGTGATTGAAGCAAGGTTGTTGAAATATATACGGTGGAGCTTGGTCAGCCACATATCCACAATAATTATTATATATATCAATATATGATCTAATTATAATTTTAAATGGAGCAATTCTGTGACATATACAAATTGAAGGGAGATATAGTTTTAAAATTATATATAACTTTAAATTAAACTTTAATTAAAATTTAAAGTTGCTTTGGAATTTCAAAAACCTTGAACTGGTCCTTCCTGAATTGACTAGTATCTATGGTAGTTTAGTTTTTTAATTAATAACAAGCTTTGTAATGATATGATTTTAAATAATTGGATTCTCAAATTGTCAAGTTTTATCTATCCCAGGCATTGCCAGACAAACCTGCTACTATTCATAGGCTGAAAAATCTTTTGAAAATTGTAATAGTTTATTGTTTAACACCTCCATTTAACTTACTTCGTTTCTTTCATTCTTTTGATGTGTGTAGGAAAAGATTTTAATGAATAGTTTAATGCATTGCAATGGACACCTACTGAAGTAGGCAGTGTAGCTCATCTGTAGTTTGTTGCAATAACTGAAGCTTGTGGCTTGCTGATCAGTTGTGTTGTTGCAAACATCAGAAGCCGATGTTTTGGCACATTAGTTTTGTTGTTGCAGGTGTGAGAAGCTGTTGTTTTGGCACATTAGTTGTGTTGTTGCAGGAGTCAGAAGCTGGTGTTTTGGCACCTTGACTTACATTATAGTTTCAAAAGCTGGTCTTTTGGTCCATTGGCTTGCGTTGTTACAGTCTTCAAAAGCTGGTGTTTTGGCACCTTGGTTGTGTTGTTGCAGCAGCAGATGCTGGGGGTTTGGTTAATTTGTTCTCATATTAACTGGATTATATGGCTAGCTCATTGGTCATGTCATTGCAGGAACAAAAGCTTGTGGTGTGGTTGCTGCACTTCACCACGCTGCTGGTGGAGCACAGCTTCTCACGTCACCTCTACTCTTCAGTAGACCACCTCAACTCCTTGCTGGCCTCGTCCAGCATGAGGGTCGTGCTTGCTGTTCTCAACCTGCTTTATATGTTCAGCAAGAGGTAAATATTGCAGAAACTCTTCACTACTTACCACCATTTTATTATCTTCTTAATTTCTTATGGGTTTTCTTTTATATGCAGTAGTATCAGGTGAAAGGTGAAAAAACATAGCTTATTTGGCCACTATGCTATTATGAAACATAATTCAGCCAGTGTTGACAATCTGAAAACTTATTATGATTGTCAAAACTGTTAACTGATATTTTGTTTTGAATGCTATCAAAAGAATTGTAAAAAATCTCAAAAAATCAGTATTTTGAAGTATGACAGCATTGGTATGCTATGTGTGTACGTATGCAAATCGTAGGGGCTGATGAATCTTGCCAAGATTTCTTTAGAATGTAAGAATTTCTGTTGAAAATCACACTAACATTTTTCAAATGCTGCTAAACTGCGTATAATTTTTTAGCTCTTCATCCTTGAATGCTTTAAATATCTTGCTGCAGGCCAAAAAGATTCAATGTGACAATAAGCAAATCTATTTTTTGCTTAATTTACCTACCTTTGGTATTAAATTGTGGCTTATAGATTTAGAAGGAGAATAGATTGATAGTATCTATACTCTATAGCAATTTGATTGTTTGGAACTTGGAAGAATGTAGGCAAATCAGAAATTCATACCTGTGCCAAAGAAAATGTGTAATCTCCTTTCTGTGAATTTGATAAGGCAATGCATCGCTCATCAATGACTTGATGGTCTGTATTAATGATTCTTTCTCTGGTATGAACTATTCTTGCCTTGTGTCGAGATCATTATGATGCGTGTTTAAATAATTTATTGATATTTACTTGTCTTTTGTAGACTCGGAATGAATTAAATTTTGCTGGAAGTTGCTTAAACCCAAATTCCATTTTTAGCGCATTTTCTCATTTATGGAAAAAATGCACTATTGTGCTCTCCATGTCCATCTGTCCGCCCGTCTGTCTCTCCATCCGTGACTTTACGTTTTCGTCGATGAGAAAATGCGCTCTCTTGTCACTCACTGCAGTGAGTACTGAGATACATTTTTTGATGATGTGCCGAGGTGCCACTAGTACAACAGTTACTTTATATTTAGAGGAAACGTGTAGGTTTCACCATCATTTTGTACCGCAGATCCAACTTCATTGCGCGGCTGGCTGCGGGGCCGCGTCAGACGCTCTTGGCACGCCTCATGCACCTTGCCGAGTCCTGGGGGGGCAAGGAGAATGGCTTTGATCTTGCCCGCTGCTGTCAGAACCTGCCACTTGAGGTGGGTCATAAGTGCAAGCTTTGTGACGATCTCACCTGTGATCAAAGTAGAACAAATCTTCAACATGTTGGAATATTCACCATATTCAGTATACGACCCCATTCTTCCTTAAACGACCCCATTTGATTCGTTTCTTGCTCCTATTTTACCTATCGTTTCTATCGATCCATAGCTAACTTCTACATTTTTACATTACCGGCTTAATAAACACAAAGGAACCATTTGTTGAATTTCTATCCATTTGATGCCGTGGACAGATTTGTCTATTAGTTGAATATTCTACCCAAATTTGTAAAATAGACAAGTAAATGCGATTTAAATTAATTGAAGACTGCTAAATACTTGGGTTGCCTATAATGCATAATTTTCGGTTTAACGTTTGAAAAAGAATTTTTTTAGTTTATTTTGGATTGAATACAATTTGTTTCTGCGGTTCATAGAGTCTTCATGGTAATATTTCCCACATTCTTTTTAAACACGATTTTTTTAATGATAACGATAACTGTATTTAGAAATGTCTATTTACTCCTTAAATGTTGTCTCTTTTAGTCATAAATGATAACTTATTGTTTCTAGACATGGCTATGAACAATTGCTGACTCGCTCTGACCTTTTCTCATGCTTTTCATGAGAAAACCTGACTCGCTCTGACCTAGACATGGCTATCTGTAAACAATTGTTGACTCGCTCTGACCTATTCTAATGCTTTTCATGATTACCATTGATTGCTGGAAGTTGCTCGAACCAAAATTCCATTTTTACTGATAACCTTAAATCAATTTGTGATCGATTCTATTATTCTAATACTGGTTTTATTATACTTTCTGACTGTACTTAGCTTGTGTGCTTAGCTAATTGCAGCTACCCATTTTATTTTTCATATTATAGTTGCACATATAGGTATCAATGATTGTTTTATTATTCTGAAAGAACTTGCCTACTTATTATTTCTGAATAAGTAAGAACCACACTTGTATTATAAACAGTGGTTAGACAAAATAAGGGAAACCCCAGACATTTTTTATCGTAATTTTCGAAACATGTTACAAACAGTGAAAACGTGACATATTTTAATGTTATATTGTTCATTGTTGCTGCTAATTGATATTTAATCCTTGCACCGATATTTTTAGTAAATTTTTGTGTTTGTACCCTAACCTATACCTATAAATGGCAAACCTCTCGGACTTTCAAAGAGGCCAAATTGTTGGTGCCCGTATAGCAGGTGAAGTGTGACAGCAACTTCCGAATGCTGGACGTTTCTAGAGGTACTGCTCTAAAGCAATGACTGCTTTTGAGGGAAGGAAAAACGTCCTCAGGAAAGCCCAGGTCTGGCCAAAGTTGAAAATGTCTGAGAGAGACTGTCAATACCAAATCGAATTGTGTGGGACAATCGAAAGACCACGGCTGTTAAAATTACTGCAGACTTCAATGGACACTTACCGAACCCAGTTTCCATAAAGCCAGTCTGCAGAGAGCTGCACTGATCTGGATTCTAGGGAAGAGCTGTAATTGAAACTGGTTTCAAATAAAAATGTTCCAAAGCGTTTAGAGTAGTCTAGAAACCTCCAGAGTTGGTCCCTCAAGCAGTGGAAAATCATGATATTTTTTCTGACGAATCATCGTTCACCATATTTCTTGCATCCTGTCTAGAAACACCTGATCTAGCAGGAGTTTCCCTATTTTGTCTCATCCATGTATATACTTATTCCTGAATAAGTGTCTATTGTGTTTAAAACCCGACATTTTAGGTCCCTTGGCTAAGGCGTGTATCCATGATACTCGTTAATTTTTTTATCCCAGGTCATAAAATTGTATGGGTTATGGTGTACATTAGTTTTTCAACACTTGAAATTTAAATTAAGAAATAATATTAGTACTAGCAAAGGGTATGGTTGATAGTTTGAAATCAAAACTTGGTTACTCAGAAATAAATTTCAATATCCTGACAAATTCATCGTTCTGTAAATTGATACGTAGCTAATGACTCGTCCTTGATGATTAAGCTATTTTAAAAGCCTCAGCGATTGCCAGTCTTAAACCGTCGCGTCATTTAGTTGTTGGTTCATTGCAGTGCTACCCCGCAAGCGCCACAACTCTCCACTTCGAAGCCTTGGCCAGGGACGCCTCGGTGTCAGGTGATGGTGGTAAGCTGCCCGCACCTACCGTCGCTGTACAGATCCCTGCGCTGCATAAGCGTGCGGCCATCAACACGCCCTCACAGATCATGGATGAAATCCTGCAGCTGCACAACATCCCTAAGGACTCGCAGGTTCATAAATAGGCTCAATATTGATCCATGCAAGCAATTTACTGTTCTTTATATTTTATAAATTGCATGTAATATTGTTAAGCAACTAGGTTTATCCCTCATCATCTTGATGGTTTGCTGATATGACAAGTCTGAAACCACGTGCTATTGAAGGCATCGCGTAACTGAAAATTTAAACTTAGGCGCAAAACGGATCACTTTTTTCTGAAGCTCTAGAAATTTGACCAATTATGACAAAGGCATTGAGAGAATGACACTTGTTAGAAATCAACTAACCAAACAGAAAGTTTGGTTAGATAAAGTTTTTAACCGGTGTAAACGTGTCACAGTTCAGTCAACAACATAGGCCTTTATAGAGCGTTGCCTCAAAGTTCAATATTTGTATATATTGAACTCACAACTCAAGACTGAAAGATAAAATTGCCTTCCAATTCTTTCATTTTAAAGAAACTGCTAGCCGGAGTAAAGCAACTCAAGCAATTGTGTTTGAACATCACTTGATTAGGAGAGACGAGACTTGGTATGATATTATTCTCTAATTGCTTTGTATTCTCCATCACGTAGTCTATCTCCTCACCGTCATCTATCATATAAAACATAACCTGCTCGCAAATAAGTTTTCTAACTTTTTTTATCGTTATGGGTGAATATGTGACAATGAGTTCAGTCAACAGCTTCAGTTCCCGACGTAGTAGGAGGTATATGGAAACAAAGTATTACCTTGTGGTTCATGTGTTCTGCAGATGGCAGTGTTCACACACCTGCGTCTGGCGTGTCATTTCGGGCAGCACGAGACCCGACTGCAGTGTGTACAGGCGAGGCTTCAGGCGCTCTCTGTCCTCGTTTACTGCAATGCCCTGCAGGTCAGCTCGAGTGTCTCTTATGATTACTTACTTACTCTTTTGATTTCTTACTTACTCTTTTGATTTCTTACTTACTCTTTTGATTTCTTACTTACTCTTTTGATTACTCACTTAGTCTTTTGATTTCTTACTTAGTCTTATGATTGATTAGCACTAATGATTATTTACTTACTCTTAGGATTAATTAATTAATTCAATGATTACTTACTTGCCCATTTGATTATTTGCACTGTTCACGGCCAGGCTTGTGTGCCGCCTTCGAATTTTTTCCCCTTTAAGGGGAACCGAACGCCGTCGGCCTGTGTCCTAGCGTTTTGTTTCGCGTCTCTGTATTTTTTGTATCTGCTACGGTTTTGTTACTTCAATCGGGAGTTATTTTATTGTCATCGGTAGGTTGCTCCTTAGCGTTGAAAAATATTAAGCTGCAAGGGTATGTAGGGAATATGTCTGGCTGAATATGTACGCATAAGCGGAAACGAAAGATGGTGGTATCTATGGTACCAGCTTGCAAGAAACATTAGTCTTGAAAATTTTATAATATCTGAATGAATCGGGTACGTATACGATCATGATAAATGTATCTGTGATGCTTGTTCTGGTTGAATGAAAATATCGAGTACGGTAGTTATATTGAAAATGATTCTCTTTGTTCCTTCAGTCGGTAGGAATTTTATGGCTAGTGAGATTTTGTTGAAACTTTTTTCAATATACTGTTCACAATATTACTCATGCAAAAGCGTTTTTGGAGTCCATTTTATCAACTAATTGCTGTTACCTTGCTCCTTTTTTGTGTAGGATAATGCCAACACGTTGCTGTACTCTGGCCTGCTGGATGAATTCGTCGCGGTTCTTGAGCTCAAGGAGCCTGGCCTTACTGAGATCAAGGCTGCCACTCTCCGAACTCTCACGTCCATAATCCACCTAGAGCGACTTCCTTACTTTCCTAAGCTGAGCACCATCATGGATGTGACTGGTGCTTCTTCCTATCATGGCTTCTTACCCGTACTGGTGCGCTCCTGCATTGCGTCTCTCACGTCTCCCACCAACACTAATGGCAGCAGCAGTTCCAGTGAAGCAGAGCAACCATTTCCAGCACCTCTGGCCACGGCGCTGTTCTCGTTTCTTTATCACCTCGCTAGCTACGAAGCGGGTGGAGAGGCGTTGGTAGCGTGTGGTATGATGGAGGCCTTGCTTTCTGTCGTCAACTGGCGCACCACTGAACCTGATCACATCACATTTGTCACGCGTGCCGTCAGAGTTATTGATCTCATAACAAACTTAGACATGCAAGCTTTTCAGGCACATGGTGGCCTAAGTGCCTTCATTAACAGACTAGAACTCGAAGTAAACGAGTGCCGTAAGGAACAGCCCTTTGTAATCAACCCTCCAAATGCGCCTGAGGAAGTTCCTCCCTCACCCCAGCCCATGGATACGGATGCGTCCATGGAGCAAGGGAACGTAGAAGCCATTCATTCTGTTGCATCAACATCGAGCGTGTCACCTCCCGACGCGTCTACTCTCAATCTCGGCCCTGATGAGGAAGAGAAAGAAGATCCTGCAGCAGCCGGAGCAGCTGGCGGAGCTTTCAGTGCAGCAGGCGGAACATCCAATGCAGCTGATGGAACTTCTGATGCCGCTGATGGAGCATCCAATGCAGACAATGGAGCTTCCAATGCAGACAATGGAGCATCCAATGGAGCTTCCAATGCAGTTGAAGGAGCATCCAATACAGCTGATGAAGCATCCAATGCAGCTGATGGAGCATCCAATGCAGCTGATGGAGCATCTAAAGCAGCTCCTGGAACATCCATTGCAGACGATGGAACTTCTGATGCAGCTGAAGCACACGCTGACACGTCTGCCACCGGTGTGGCAGGTCTCAATTTAGATTCTAGCCCTGTGGTCGGTGACTCTGCTACTATTAGCTACCCTGATTATAGTGCCGCTAAAACCAATCTTACGTGTCTGGCCCAAAGAGCGGCACTCCTTAAATCCATGTTAAATTTCCTGAAGAAGGCTATTCAAGATCCGGCATTCAGTGACAGCATGCGGCACCTTATGGAGGCCTCGTTGCCGTCATCTCTGCGTCACATCATAAGCAATGCTGAGTACTACGGGCCTTCCCTCTTCCTCTTGGCAACGGATGTTGTCACCGTCTATGTCTTTGGTGAGCCATCATTCCTTTCGTCTCTACAAGATAACGGCCTCACTAATGTCGTCCTTCACGCGCTTCTCATCAAAGACGTGCCGGCTACTCGCGAAGTGCTGAGCTCACTCCCTAACGTCTTCAGTGCCTTGTGTCTTAATTCGAGAGGCCTGCAAGCTTTCGTCGCCTGCAGACCTTTTGAGAAGCTCTTCCAGGTGCTCCTGTCACCTGACTATTTGCTGGCAATGCGACGACGGCGTTCAGCAGACCCTATGGGTGACACTGCCTCTAACCTAGGCAATGCCATGGATGAGTTGATGCGGCACCAGCCTAGTCTCAAGACGGTTGCAATGAAAGCCATCGTGTTGCTTCTGAAGGAGCTATGTCATCTTGGCAATGATAAGAGCTTCGTGTGCTGGAAGACACCTCCTAAGAATGAGCCCTCTCCCGCTCCTAGCTCGCGTTCTTTGGAGCGAGAGACTAACGATAATTCCAGTGATGAAGAAGAGTATGACGAAGAGGAGAGGGAGGTAGTGACTGAAAATGTCGAGGGCAACGATGCTGTTGATGTCTCAGTTTCTGCTGTCTCTGCCGCTGCTGCTGATGTTTCTGTCGTCTCTTCTGATGTTGCAGGCAGCTCAGGCTCTAATTGCTCGCAGGAAAAGAGAGGCGATATCTCAAACACCAGTGATGAGAAGAAGCCTGTGCCTTTAGTGGACTATATACTAAACGTGATGAAATTTGTTGACGCCATACTGAGCAACAACGCTACCGATGATCACTGCAAGGAGTTTGTGCTGCAGAAGGGACTTGCTCCGCTACTTGAGATTTTAGGACTGCCTAATTTACCTCTGGATTTCCCGTCCTCAAACGCCTGCGTCGCTGTTGGCTCTGTTTGCAAGTCAATTCTCGTAAGTTAATGCTTAAGGTAGTCTCATTTTTTAGCTTTATATCCTTTGCTCTACATTTCTTCAATGATTATTCTGTTTGCAGCGCAACATGCGGGCGTGAAGTTAGCAATTTAAAGGAGGTAGTGCTGTGGGTCTAGATTTTTTTTATTAATTATCATGTAGTCTGAATACGTATTTTTTGACATTCTTAAACTTTAAGTCTTAGCCGCTGAAATGTTTCGGGAATGATTTTCTTGATTTTATTGTCAGACTTTTAAGTTCGAAACAGATTCAAATTAATTGATGCCTCTGCAGAACCTGGCTCACGAAAGTGGCGTTGTGAAGTGCGGCCTGGAGTGTGTGGAACAGAAGCTCCAGACGCTTGCTCCCTTCAACATGAACAGATCAAACGACTCCATGTTATTGCTGGAGGTGCGCATGGCGGTTGAGGCGTGTGGCAGTGAGGCGCTCAACAGCCCTGCTGACCCTCTCCTTAACGCTCAACGCACTCCTCTTGTGCACACACTTACTGCAGTACACGCATACTGCACCATGCTGGTGCACGTGTGTCGGACGAGTCAGACTGACATCAGGCAGCTGTCGGTGAGCCAGTGGGGCAGTGATGTTGGCCTTAGGGTCTTATCAGGCCTCGCACTTCTGTACCAGACCCTCGTGTGGGAGACCACCATCCTCATCAACACCATCGCAGACCTCGAAAAGACGGCTGCATCGGACGCCTCTAAGGTATGGTCTTCTTTCAGCTACTATTTTATATTGAAATTGAAGTCTGTTATTGAGTGAACCTAGTTGTCTTAATATTTCCGGACGTCAGAAAGGGACTCGGTGTTCACTGCTGAGTATACCTATTGAGTTGCTGAGTATACCAATCTCGCCTAGCATCTAGGTGGCGAGATTGGTATAGGTACCTGTTTTCAAAACCTTTTTAGTAAGATGGCAAAATTACGACCTGAATTTTCGTATATGACTAGGTCCTTGAACTTGGGTTCAGAGGCTAACCAAAGTAACTTCTCAATAACTATCATTGTGACAAAGGCTGAACATCAACTTTTCATTTTTAATGTTAGAATATTTGCAACTCTCGTTTTAATGAATGAACTCCTGACCTTATTGTTTTGTATCCGCTCTGAAGGTTCAAGGAAAACAAATTAGCTTTAAAAAGACGTAAATTTGAGCAACACTTAGAAGAGTAAAAGATTAGAACTATTTGCCTCCGTCCTGTAAGAATAAATGAAATAATTGAAGTTAATAAACATGAAAATAATTGTATTTTATATTACTTGATATGAAACTAGTTTAATTTCATGATATACGAAATATACACTCATGCCGAGAACCACCTCTGCTTTTCAATAACTCGGCGTTTCTCTCGTGGGAGGATAGAGACGGTTTCTCGCAACTTATGATAGGCCGCACATTAGTTTTGGCGCTTCGTAGTGTTTGATAAACATATACCGTAGTTTGTTTTTGGTGAGTTATTAACTTATGATGATACGTTTTCGTTGGCAGAGTTTGTCCTAATCTAATTGAATTGTTTACAGGATGGAAGTGGCATTGAACCCATGGACACGGAGAGCAGCGATGCTAGTGCTGCTGCTGCTGCTGCTGCTGCATGTGAACTGCAGCTCAAACTCAGCCGACAGCTTCTAGCGTCTGCCTCTAGACTGGGCAAAGTGCTGGCTGAGCTGTTTACGCTGCTGGTTAAGGTGTGTTGTGTGTCTTGTTCAGAGTGCTTGTGTGTGTCTGCGCTCGTCTTCAAATGTGAAACGAGAAATGTATCCAGCGCTATAATTTTTTTTTATACTTTTCACTGTTCACAAATTGGGTTGAGCGCAGGCTGATGAAAGCCATTGCACATTACACTTACCTAACGCCTTTTCCATGTTAGATACTTTTAACATCACCACCAAAAACTAAAGAACTGCACGTTTTTTATGTACCTAATTATGTATAGTGATCTTTAACTGATTGAATCGTTTATTACTTACGGATTACTGAAGTTTAACGGATTTTATGACGCCTATCAATTGGTTATTGGCAAGTGTCCAAAAAATATCACAGGAGATAAGATCCAGTGTGACTTAAGAACAATTAGTAGTATCTAATCTTCATCTCACCCTGAATTTGACAGCCAGCACCTGGCGCCGGCACTCTAGTATGATATTGCTCTCAAATACTCTAATAAAAATTACCAAGAGAAGTAATACCTCGCTTCAGCGGGACAAACCGTTCTGAATGCTTGATTTTCGCGCGGGAGTCGTGTGTACATTGACAAATTGTAAGAAAATCTGGTTAAGCACTACTAGCGGGCGAGCACAGAAGCCCCCTTGTGCAATTTTCTGGTGGTCTAGATAAATTTTGAGCAATCAGAGTGAAACTTTTTGAGTTTCGTATTTTATGCTTGAATCCGTTTGTTGCACGGGTTCCTCATTTATGTTTAGTATTGTTCCCTCATAAGCGTAGTTTGAAAAAAGTACAACATAGTGGCAGTTTTTGCCAGAAATTGAAATTAACCAGCCCAGGTTTGAGTGCGTGGGTATAACACAATGATAGCAAAATTAAACCCAAATGTTTTTCAAACGTAAATAATAAATCTAAAATGTTGTTTGTTCATGCTCTGAGCAGCTGTGTGTGGGTTCACCTCTCCGGCAACGTAGAGGACAGAGCTTGCCTCCCACCCCAGCCTCACCATCAGTGTCTGCGCGAACGGTTGCTGAAAGCCTCGCTAGTCTTCTGCAGTCTCTTCTGCACTGGCCCCCTTCTACACCGGTGAGACTTCCCTCGACTTTCTGCAACACATTTGTTCCATCTAACCGCAGTTTCTTTGTGCTCTAACGCCTCATGCAAAGCACATTGGTCGTAAAATCTGTTCCCGGTGTGCTGTTTCTCCTGTGAGGCCGGCGACTACAGTAGCTAAGTTGACAGTCTGATTTGATGCTTGAGTCCTCAACGATTGAATTATTTAGTCCAGACATAGGTGATACAAACGTTGTTCTTGCTGCCAAATAATGCGTGGTGTAAGATTTGTTTAAGTCATCGCAAGTTTTTCCAAATTCTGACATTGATCATTATTGTGTGGCTTCCAGGAGTCTGGCGAAAGCACTGCTGTGGCCGCCTTACCCAGTAACACAGGGCTAGATAAGCTGCAGCTCACCTTCATGATCTGCTCACTTCGGTTCACAAGTCCCATGTTGTTTGATGATAAGAAGATGCCTTATCATCTACTTCTCCACTACTTCTTCCAGTGTCACGGTCTTACCGGTGAGTGCAGTATTTTACCTTATCCTCCTGTATGAGGTGCTACTACTCTTTGTTCTGCCGTCAACTCCAGCACTATATTCTGGTGTATTCATAGCTGAATATTTGTTTGTCTGGTATTGATCATTTAGTTTTCGGTTGCGTGATAATGACTTGACTGCCAGGACGTCGTTCGTTTCATCACCTTTTTTTGCGCAAGTTTCAATGAGTGCGTTTGTGCGTTATCTACTGGATGATTGGATCGTTAAATCTGAGTATAGTTTTCATTGTATTTAGTGGTCATAGTATTAACGGCGGAGAAAGTTCGGAGATTCTTTTATTCACTTATCTTTTGACATGAGTATACCATTTAATAAGCAATGGTTGAATTGTCAAGCAATTGATATGGGTACGCGGGTCGCAAACGTACGGCCATCAAGCAAGGCCGACGTAGTTTTTATAACCAAATTCTCAGACGTTCCCTTTGACGCCTCATTCCTACGAACTTCACCAGACAACTCGCATTTCACTCATCATAATATTTATGCCCGCGATCTCTATGTAAAAAAATCTTTCATGGTTCTTGTATTTGAGTTAAGTTCCTGTTAATAATAATAGCTTCAGTAATTTCTATAGCTGCTAGCTATTGTTTCAGCGTTTTTCGAGAGCTTCGAATGGGCTTTGGAAGCAGCAGATGCACATTTCAAGAGCGCTGGGCGCGAGAAAAGCGCCGGCAAAAAGGATGAGGTTGGCGACACGTTGCTGGAGTATCTAGAGAGTTGGTGTGCTCTGCTTGAACGCCTCGTTAACCCACGGCACATGCTCGAGTCTCCACACGCTCTGCCGCCTAAAGTCTACCCGCTGGGATGTCTTTCGTTCAATCCCCTCTCATTCCTCATGCACATCCAGAAGGTGGGTCTCCAGACGTTTGTTTTTTGTAGTAGCCAATATGAGTCGATTGTTGTATTCAAGTTGCTAATTAATTGTCCAGGTCATGTCGAATTCTAGATTTGGGACATCCGGGGAATTCAAACCTTGTCCAAAATAATCTCTATAATTATAATTGTGTACAAAAGGTAGGAATCATTGCAAATTCCGAGTTTTGTTATTGCAACAGTTCAATTCTTGCTTTCCAGGTTGCATTCAAAGCAGTACTGAAGATATGGGAACGCTCGTGCGTGACGAGCTACAGCTTGAACCTTACCGAGCTGGTTTTGGGGGTCTTATGCTCCATCTTGAAGGCTGAACTGGTTATTTCGGAGCGTCTGAGTAAGGAGAAGCAGTCATCGCCTTCCACTGGTGGTGCACTCGGTAATCTTGGCTCCGATCTTGTGATGGTGGCATCTGCCCCCTCAACCCACATCCCTGCTTCTGTTGTCACGACCACAACTAACACTGCTGCTGCGTCCGCTCAGCTCCCTGAAGCGAGCTCATCTTCGAGCGGTGTAGCCGAGTCAAGCTATAGCGATGGTCCATTGCGGCCAGCTGCTGCTCTAATAGCGTCGCTCATATCCTCTGCTACCACTGAAGCGGGTGTTAGTGCTGGTGGCGCGGATAACACTTCCACTACCATAATTGTTCCACCGCCTGTTTCTGCTGGTTCTCTTGCAGCCGGAGCTCTTCGACCAGACGAAGATGACGAGGACGATGATGAAGATGATCTGGAGGCAGAGAACAACCGACAGCGTATGAGAGCTCTCGTGGATATGGGTTTCCCTGAGAGGCGTGTAATGCGTGCCATTGCTGAGACTAGCACACTTGAGCAAGCCACAGAATTCCTCTTGATGAGTCCCGCCACCGATCACTTGGCTCTTGGTATCTTGGGAAGTTTGGATCGTGACGCTCCTGACGCCGAACTCTCAGAAGACGCGCAGATGTTGCGTGCCATCGCTATGTCCTTGCAGGAGGACCTTACACCAGCCACCGACGGCACAACTCCTTCGACTTCTACTGCTGCACCGAACGATACTGCCGATCCTGCCTCGACATCAGCTGCAAGTGAGGCAACCCAGCCTTCGTCGTCTGGGACTACGCCATCTTCTCGTAGTAAGATCCCAGTGGGACGTGCGCAGCTCTTTGAAGCTCCTCTCAAGAAAGAAGAGCTGGATGCTTTCACGGACAATCTTCTGGAGGGCTGCCTGCGCCAACTCGACGCTCAAGGAGAAATAGTTTACAAAGTTTGTGATCTCCTTACAACCTGCAGCAAACGAAACGGCCCCAAATGGCTCGAAAAAATGCTGAAAACTTTGGTAGAAGAGATCAGTTGTGAAGCGCTTGAGCTGCAACGCATGGCATCGTCGGCGGCATGCTATGATGACGTGCGTCAGCTCTGGGCATCACCTCTTGCCAACAAGTTTGCTATGCGCTTACACTTGATGACTCTTCTGCTTGAAGAAGTGCGCCACACATGCACTCAGCACATCACTTGTGATGAGCTCATCAACCACCTTACTCTTTTGCTGTGCGATACAGAAGCTGCTATGTCCAGCTACTCCCGCACTGCTGGAACTGCGGGCGCTGCGGAAGAGGAGTGTAAAGAAAAACCACAGCAAGAATCGACTCAAACTAGTTCTGCAACATCAGTATCTGTGCTGCTTATGCCGTTAAACCTTGCCTCTTTAGACATACCTGAACGAAACACCTCGGTCAACAAAACGACTCAATCCACAACACCTAAGTGGATTGCACCCGCGCTTTTGTTCATTGATTTATATGAGAAAATCTTCGTTGCCGCCCGAAAACGAATGGCGCTTCTTAAGAAACACAAACGAGTATGGAAGTGCTTCGACATCAACTCTCATAAGTGGGTTGCTTACACAGCAGCTAATAACAAAATTATTGACGACGCTTACTTTGCGGGCGAGAGTTCAGTACGGATCATCAATGCCCGAAGAAAATATCTCATCCAGTTTGCCTCTCTTGTACAAGTAAGGCACTCGCATTTAGTTGGTTAGCAAAGATGTCCTATTGAAGCCTTTATTTTAGTGTGAATTTATAATAACTGCTATGAGTTTTGTTGGAATTTCATGAAATTGGTTCGTTCTTTTTTTTCTGTAATCACGCATCTGCGTGACTTATAAAAAATGTATTGTAATCCTTGGCTATTTGTGTGCAAATCTCTTCTAATTTATGGGTGATTTTATGTACTTTATCAACTCGACAGATAAGCGAAGAGTCTGGCAACCGCCGACCGGTCATGGTGTCATGGGACGATGATGTCAACAAAACCGGCTCTGCCAAAGCTAGTTCAACCAATATCGCTGGTACTGCCTCATCCTCTACTGCCACAGCTACAACTACTGGTGGTGCAGTAGGAGGATCTGATATCACATCGTCCCCTGCAGAATTGCCTGCAGCAGAACCTACAGGGACGGGTGTGTTGTCAGGTCCCCTCTTTCTCACCATGGAACAGCAGTTCCTAGATTTCATGCAAGGTTCAGGAGAATGGGGCCCTTCAGAGCGCTCTACCCAACACCTGCTTCCTCCGCCCCCTCCTTCCTCTCACGGAGGAGACCTCACATCTCCTACGGCAGACCCAATGAGTGAAATTACTTCCAAGATGCCCGAGGCACAGGAGATGATGGACATGGATGAGGAATCTAAAGAGAGCGAGGCCGACATTGTTGACGAACTGCCCGACAACATTTCAGAGTCCCTTATCAGGTGCGTGCTCAACTTCGATTATTCTGTTAATAAACTTGTCATGAAATTCTTCTAGGGTAAGACTTTTATCCCAAACTTATTTCAGTTATATTAGAACATGTATATAATTTATGCCCACTATGTCGAGATAAAAGGAAAAAAACTCCCTCCAGGGATTACCTTATTCTTCAGCTGTTCTACACATTCACAACCCAGTCTAATACATAATGCTACCTGGAGCCATAGTTTTTGTGACAATTAAACTAGTTAATTATCGGAGCGATAAGATCGCCAATAAAATTACGTCACAAATGAACACCTCATGAGCACTAATCCTCACTGTTGAATCTCGGCTCAAACTGGATGTTGGCAGGGAAAAATCAAAGTCTGCGTCCCGTTAGAATAAACCTTGTTCGAAACCAATTTGACATCCATATTAACTTAAATAAACGTGTTTTCAGAGTGTGTGTAGGCCTGCTGAAACATGGAGTTGACACGGACACACTGCACGCAGTTCTGCGCCTCAGTCTGCGCTTGACGCGGGTGTGGTCACGGGCGGCGCAGTTCGCGCGCCTGGGAGGCATTAAAGCTTTACTCGAGTGCAGCGACGCGCTCGCTTTCAAGGGCTTCTACAACCTCGCTGCTCTTCTCATGCGGCACGTGCTCGAAGAGCCACGTACCCTCAAGCATGCCATGGAAAAGGTTAGCTAATTACTCGGTACAAAAAAGCTTGTAATATCCGTTTGTTCAAAGGGTTCTTTGGAATTTTAGCAATTTAGCTCATAGCATTGTCTCTTATCTTATGAGTTCATTTCCTTTTGATAATCGCCATATCCAAATTCCAAAATAATGTGCAATCCCAGAGTTAGTAACATGTTAGTCAGTTTAATAAGTTAATGTTGTTATAGGCGATCCGAGGCACAGTGGGAAGCAGCAGCAGCGCCCCCGGAGTGGGAGGGTCCAGCAGTGGCCGAGAGCTCCACCATTTGCTGCGTCTGCTGGCGCCTGCATCGTGCAGGAGTCATGATATGATGACAAGTCTTGCGCAGGAGATGTTGCGTATATCTTCTACAGTCCCACAGATCTCCAGGCCTGTCTTACATCAACCTAACAGTGAGTGTCTTGCATGAACCTAACAGTGAGTGTCTTGTATCATCCTGGCAGTGAAAGAATTGTTGTGTATATTCTGGAAAATTCTATTATGATTATGGTCATTGTGAAAGAGTCAATGTACTATTAGCTGTTGCGTTACAGCTTTATATGTTCAATGCTTCAGTTGGACTCGTTCAGTTCTCAATGCCTTCTTCTGAATCGCACGTTTTTTCCATGCAGATGATGAAGTAATAATCTGCCAAATTTCACCGACCTACAAGAGCAGCACCGCCAGCAGCAGCGCAAACGAGAGCTCAGCTGAAGCCCAGCAAGTCATCCATGACCTGCTGGACGCCCTCACAATCTCTGGTGATGAAGACATGTCTTCGTGCTCAGACCAGTCGTCTCCTGCCGACGCGGCATGCGTAGTCAACGGCCCCCCTGACACCGTCAATGGCGCCGCCGAAACCGGAACTTCAGCTCGTCGACAGCTCGATCTCTCTCGCTCGTCCTCTGTGAATGACATGGTCGTTCAAGACGTGGATGATGCAAGTCCTATGGAGAGTGAAACTTCCAAATTACCCAATGTTCCCAAACCTACTAACAAAGGCAAACGCCGGCTCTTGTCTCGCTGGAGTATCTGTAAGCTGCTTGCTGAATTTGTGAGGTGCTACTCTGACGTTGCCAAACTTGTGACAGAACACGTCTATTCCCCTGAGACAACAGAAAACATATCTCATGAGTGCAGTGCCCTCGCATATATGCTCGACTGGTTCGTGAGCGGTTCTTCAAATAGTCCTACTACCACGGACGATGGTCGTGGTTACGTAAAACTTCTAGTAGGTGCTTTGGCATCGTGTAACCACGCTCCAGAGTGTCAAGCCGTTCTTGTTAGCGAAGTGAAAAGTGCTTTGTATCGAGCGTGCCAGGCTCCTGAGAGCAGCGCCAAGCACGATCAGGTGCAGGCTTTAGTTAACCTCTTGTGTACAATGATGGAGACCTGTCCCCCTCATTATTCTTCTGCAAATTCAGTGTTCGCCAAAACCAATGTGGGTATGAATAACATGCTCAAAATTCTAGTGCGCAAAGGTGTGATCACAGACTTGGCTCGTCTTCCTCACTGCCTTGACCTCTCGTCTCCACATCTTGCTGGCACCATCAATGCGGCCCTTAAAGCCCTCGAAATAGTAGCTCGAGTAATGAACACCGTGGCTCTGGTTCCGTCAGCTGCTGTGCGCAGGAAAAATAATCAAGCAACGTCATCAGCCGCTGCCAATGCTCAGGAGAGAGCCGATGGTGCCGTCACGGCTTCAGCTGCTACCGCAGATGCCGGCGAGAGCAATGCTTCTTCTAACCCCACTGCTGGAGATCCTATCCAGTCTTCTCGGGACCACGAACAGGCCGAAGAAGAAGAGGAGGAGGAGGAAGGTGGAGAAGAGGAGGAGGAAGAAGAACAAACTCTTCACGCTGAAGAGGATGTGGAGCAACACGAGGGCCCAGCAGGGGACCTTGATGCCATTCTGAGCAGAATAATAGACAACAGGCGCCGGGAGACAGAGTCTGGTGGGGAAGGTGGAGAAGATGATAATGGTGATGATGACGACGATGACGGTGACCGCAACAACGCCCTGGCGACTCTGACCTTCGTGATCAGTGATCAGCCCATGGACACGGAGGACGACACGTTGCATGATTCCAGAATGGTCACGCATTCTGAGAGTCAATTCTTAGAAGATCATGAGGAGACTAACGATGATCACGACTCATCATCGTCGTCTTCTGATTCTAGCGACGACGACGACGATGATGATGATAATGACGATGATGGTGACAACGAAGATAATGAGGACGTCGTTCATGACGAAAATCACGCTGACGGTAAGTTCTGCTCCTTAACAGACGTTCGTTTGATGTAGAGGACGCCATAACGACATTCGGAGAGATGTTTCAAATCATTCTAAAAAATTTGAAGACATTAGACTTGAATTAATTTTGTTTATTTGTTCTGTTGCATCATGCCGAGTTTGAGGGTACTCAGCAACAGTTTGAGTGATTTACTGTTGTTTTTTATGATTGGTATATTCTTTCACTAACCTGCACTAGACATGGTTGATAATAGTCTCGTCAAATTGTAAATACTCGTATGAAATATTGCAAATTGTAATTACATTGTGTTTTAGGAGACGATGAAGATGAGGATATGGATGACGGTAGCGTGATAGACGAGGAGGAAGAAGAGGAAGATGAAGAAGAAGAGGAGGGAGAACCTGTCTTGTTCGATGACAGTTTCCTGAGGATGTCCGGAGGTGACCGAGACTCCGAGGACATGGTGCTTGTACCCACATACCAGCACTACATCGACACCATTGATACCATCGACCACATGATCTTTGGTAACCGACTTACCATCCCACAGCATGGTAGTAGCTTCGGGCTCCACGATGACCAGGGTTTTATGGCCCTGAGTACTGCTTCGTCGTCAACAGGTGAGTTCTACTACTTGGAAGACACTTCAGCATTCGTATTCTGGAATCTAGAGTAGGTTTCGCCTACGTGTAGCCCTTGTTATCCAATTGTCTAGAAGGTATATTCTAGAAAGTAAGTCTCCTTTTCGTATCCAGTCTCAGTCATGTGTGGTTCTATTAGCCGATGCTGCTACCCCTGTTAAGTGTTTTAATCTTTTTACCTGGTAAAAATTTATTCATTTAAAATTACATGTGTTGTGTTGGTTTAACGATTTCTTCATGGAGACGACTAAAAGTTTGATTTTTAAACAAAGTAAATTTTATGAGCCTTCAGCATGAAGAGCAGTAATTATTTTGCTGCATTCTGAAGCTTTAGTTAGTTAACCCGTATACATCCAGAAAATCGCTTATCACGGATCTTAACATGTACAACTCGATCAAAATTATCTTGAAGCCCTCGAGTTTACTAAATACATTAATTTATCATTTACTTTCCATGTTTGAAATGGCTCTTCTGCTGTAAGTCGGGTTTAAGATTTTTTTCATTGAAGTCGTGTTGGCGTTGCAGGTGCTGGTGGTGGGAACTCTGCCATCCCTGCTCACCCGCTGCTGCAGAACCCTCGTGACGGGGGTGCTGCAGCTGCAGGCGCAGCGGCATCCTCCAGTGGAGGTGCCGGTGGATCACTTCCTGGAGGAGGTGCTGGGGGATCTGGAGGACGCGGGTCCCAGGCGAGAGGGGGCCGGTCACGCGGTGTGCTAAGGTACAGCCACACGCCACGCGTCACCCATAGCGCCAATTCTGCACTGCTGCAGAGGTACTAATGCTAATGATACTGAGGTGCTAATGCTAATAATTCTGAGGTACTAATGCTAATGATACTGAGGTACTAATGCTAATAATTCTGAGGTACTAATGCTAATGATACTGAGGTACTAATGCTAATAATACTGAGGTACTAATGCTAATAATACAGAGGTACTAATGCTAATGATACTGAGGTACTAATGCTAATAATACTGAGGTACTAATGCTAATAATACTGAGGTACTAATGCTAATAATACTGAGGTACTAGTGCTAATAATACTGAGGTACTAATGCTAATAATACTGAGGTACTAATGCTAATAATACTGAGGTACTAGTGCTAATAATACTGAGGTACAGGTATGCTAGAGTACAACCACATGCCAATGCTGCACAGGTGCATTTGCTCCAGTGCATACTAATAATCATTCAGAGGCGGTTTATCAGTGATAATCATGAGTTAATAGAAGACTTGATTAAAGACCAAATGCTCGTAGCTTCGATCCAGTAGCTGCTAAACAATCATTTGAACTGACGGCGTGGTTCCAGTGAAGCGAGTTAAGCTTCTTTGATTATTTCAAAGAGTAACTAAACGAACGAAATTTATCACTTGCAAATGGGCTGTCATGAGCATACTTTACAATGATGATGCCTACCGCGTTTCCTACATTTTCCTACCAGAGCCTTTTTTTATATGCTGGCAAACCGCCTCTTCCAATGACTCTGTGGCTGCTTGTCAAACTAGAGTTTCTTTTCCTTTTTTTTATCAGCTGTGGCCATTATCGATCTGTTTCATTATTTTCTTCAATAAGCATGATGCATTGGATAGTGAAACAATATCAACTAGTAAGAATACGTTTTCAACCCGAGTTTTTGATTATAACTGGAATAGAAATCAGTTGGGAATTATTCGTTCACATTTGTCTAAACTTTCTTTGCATCAACTTATTATCTTGGTATCTGAAGACCTTGTATATCCTTCCTCATGTCGATTTATTTTTTTGCTTGGTACTAAACTTATGTTTAACGTGCCCAAGAAATTCGTTTGAACCAGATGCATTCGGAGAACAATAGTAATAATTTGAAACCAGAATATCGTGCTTAATCTTTAGAATACTAAATGGAACACTAATGGGTCTTCTTCATAAAAGAACTTCACTAATACATAAATAGTAAAATATTAGCGTATCAGCAGCTGTACTTGAGATTATATTTTTAGCATCAATGCAAGCCTCTACCAATAATGTTAATATATATGTGGTTTGGTTAGTGCTTGGTATGTGGTGATGGCTGCATTTAAGGAAACCACGCCAATATGTTATTGGAATCACTGTTACCCAAATGACGCAGTCAGTTTTGTGTAGATTTTGATTGTAATCTTTCACTTTAATGAATTTCTTATAAGGAAATACTTTAATTTTTATTTTTACCAATGGGCGATTCAGATCTCGCGGAGAGGACTACTAGCGTCATTTTATGTCTTATCAATACATATTTTTTTCTTCTCAAAGAAATTAAGGCTCAATTTAAATTCAGGAACTAGCTGAAATTGCCACTATTTTTTACGAAGTTGAAATAATTTTTAGCGCATTTTCTCATTTATGGAAAAAAGGCGCTATTGTGCTCGTTTTGTCCATCCGTCCGTGGCGAGAAAATGCACTCTCTGTCACTCACTGCATTGAGTACTGATCTAATTTTTTTATCACTTGTTGCTCAGGTTGCTGGGCCGCAACCCCTCTGACGTTCTCGAGTTAAGTTCAAGCCTGCGCGACACAACGCAAGTTTGGTTCACTAATCAGGACGTCCGAATCTTCCAACCTGATACCGACCCTCTCTTGTCACAGGTAAGCTCCTAATGCCTGGTGAATGTCGTAAAGAGCTTAGTCTTTCTTTCTTGTTATGGGTACTCTATTAGATGAGTGAAGTAACCTTTATCAAGCCTACAGAATATGTACGTTTGTAATATAACATTCTTGCCGGGTGGTTCGTACTAGTTGCTGCAATAATGAAGTTCAGTTCTTGACACAGAACACAAGCGTGCTGGGTGGAGGCTGCAACTCCCTGTCCAACATCCCCAGCTCTATGGCCCGCTGGACTGAAGAAGCCCGGGTTCTACATTCTGATGCCGTGCACGATACTATTATGCGTGGGTTGTGTGGTGTGGTCTGACTGTCATCATATCTGTGTATTGGCTGATTCAAATTCATCACAACTATTTCTAAGCTATTGCAATTCTATCAGCATCCGAGCTCATAGTACCGTTTTAAATTAGCAATGAGCTTCTTGTATCTTAGAAAGTCTCCTGATTAGGTTAAGATAACACAATAGTGAATATAGTGAATAGGTAGTGAATTATAAGGGTTGAGTCTGTGTGACATTTACAAGTGCTAAAAGGTTCCCATATTCATTCTCTATGATATAATCTGCTCAGAAAATGCATTGACTCGTTCTTTGGGTCAACTAGAATGTTTGCACTGCAAAATTTTTGTTAGCGTTGTGAAGCACTCGATGCATATAAAAAGGCTCAGTAGAAATAATTAAGATCTGCCCACGTATCTAAAGCTCTTTTGCGTAGGTGTGAAAGGCCCACTGCTCTCTGTGCTGGAGACTCGACGAGCAGCTGAACAAGCCGAACGAGACCGCAAAAAGAAGGAACAAGAGGCTGCCTCCGAACCTTCATCCCTGCCTGCCTTACGTGAGTGTTCTTAGCGTTGTAACTGTTGGATCATGCAATTAGCTTGCAATATACCGTCCATTGATAGCCATGTCTTGTGTCCTCAACTTCGATAACTTGAGAACCTAACTTTTTTGGCTAATTTATGGACTGCCATTATCACCAGTAGGTATAGTAATTGTAGAAGCAATTCATGCATAAAAGGTTCTTGCTCTTGGCCAAGAATTAACAAGCAAATCTCAGTGGCTTTTAACCAAAAGTAAGTCAGCCAATTTCTCGCTCACATATAACAAATTGGATCATTCTGCTTACAGTGTCATCGCGCAGTATGAGCGATCAACCTTCAAGTAAATTGGTATCTAACGTGCAAGACGGTGGTTCGGTTACTGATGACCTGCAGAATTCAACTCCCGAGACCGCTGATGTCTCGCATTCTGCCCTTCCTCCTGCCCCCACTACACCACCAGTGCCTGCAGGAGGCACGTTTGAAGAATCTATTGCTTCTTTTGCAACAGCGTCTTCGGAATCTTCTCATGAACCGACCGCTGCTCCCACCGATCTTTCGATCGCGTCGTCTTCTCACCCTTCCCGCTCAATCGTCACGTCTGAATCACCCGTTACTTCTATTGCTCCGGCCAGTATAGAGCCTCCTACTTCTCTTCATAACTTGCTAAGCGATGCGGACGCATCTTCAGATGCACTAAGGCTTACGCCTGGCATGATCATATCTTCTGCGACTCCAGCGGCTGAAGACAACAGATCCAGGAGCGCGGTTAGTACCAGCGCCACCGAGGATTATGGATCTAGTGCGAGTATTACAAATACTGCCAACTCGGTCGATACGTTGTTTTCACTGTCATCCACCTCTGCTGCTATAGTTCCGAGCGAAACCATTCCTCCTGTACCGCCCCTTCCACAATTGAGTCCATCACGTGAACAAAGTCTAAGTTATACCGATTACGAGAGCGCACAGTCTTCTGAGCCTCCAAGTCTTAGCCACGTAGAGACACAGCGCGAAGATACTGATGCAACCGGAGAAGATGTTCCTACCTCTGTTGATGCTCCTGATGTATTACATACTTCAGCCTCTAATATTGATGCCGGCAATGCTGCACAAGGCACCACTGCTGCAGAAACGGTGCAGCAACAGCCTGATGCTTCTGCTCTCCCTGAAGCTATGGCTGTTAGCCCTGCTTCATCTCCAATGCTGCAAGCCATGTGAGTTACAAAAAATTAATTTCGCTTGTATGTTTGCTTGAATCGCACATTTACTATAAACTTAAAAACAATCAATAAGCCACAAAAATTCACCATATCTTCAAAGAAAACGTTTCTAAATCCAGCTCTATTGTTAGCTCGAAAAATCTACTGTGCAGATACAATCATTACACTCGAAATTTAAAATACAGGTGTAAAAACCTTAATTATATAGTCAAGACTGCTAGTGGATACGAGGTATCCAATTAACGAATTTGTATATTTCTGCACATTTTCAAGCAGGCAGGCTTACTTTGAATGCAGATAAATTTGTGAACCCTATGCATATCAATACATTACCGTTCGCGTTTAATTTGAGTTCTGGTAACTATAATTACCATCTGCAGACGACGTCTATAGATGAATTAATTCAGGTCGTCAATAGTAGTAGAATCTAAAGGCCTGTGAACTGGTTACGTATGCTTGCATGCTAAGCATTGCGCATTTTATTCAGAAACGCCGTGAGCGAGTCTCTCTCATCATTGGCTGCTGCGACTGAGTCCTCCAGCTCCACTACACCCGCAGCTGTGGCGAACCCAGGCGTGATACACGCGCGCGACACGGAGTTTGCCGATATTCTGGGCGACATAGAGATACCTGAAGGCGTTGACCCCAGCTTCTTGGCCGCGTTGCCCGAGGATATGAGACAGGAAGTCATCAGCGAACACCTCAGGTGGGGATAAATTTTGCTTCTCGTTCTATCTATTTTTTCCTGGCGATGTTTTTACAGTTTATACCTTTCAGGATCGTCATGTTGAATGCTTCTTCATTTGGTTGCAATAGGAAGCAAAGTATGGTGTTGTGTTTTTTGGTGTCCTTATAATTTTACCATGAAGCATTGCATAAGCCTGCAAAAGAGGAATGTTTCAGAACTTCTCAAAATGAGACTGATTACTAGAATTATGACGGGTAAAAGATCTTTATTCCACCAGCCATGCTATTGATTCTTCAGATATTCGCAACGAAGATTATATTTAACGTTTATTGAGCCAATGCTTTTTATAAGCTTCTTTATGCCTGTGATTCCACTATAATATGCTTACTATAACTGTGAAGGTTGATACGATAGCTTGATTTAAATTCCCAGCTTAAGATGTCAAGATGAAACTTATTAGGAAATAGTACAAGTATAAAGAGTAGTTCTTGGTTCATCAGACTGCTGCGGGCGAGGAACCGCGCAAACGAAGCTCCCGGCAGCCGCCCCCCTGCAGGCGAGGGGGCGCCCCAAGAAGCCACCGGAGAGGTGAACCCCGAGTTCTTGGCTGCCTTGCCTCCCAGCATTCAAGAGGAGGTGCTGGCCCAGCAGCGGGTCCAGCAAGCAGCATCTGCTCGCCACAATCCAGACGAACCTGTGGACGCAGCCCAATTTTTAGAAGCCCTGCCGCCCTCTCTCAGGCAGACGGTGTGTTGCCCAATTTGTTATTTCTGTCAAAGGTTATGTAATATCTGTATTACTGTATGAATTGTGTAGGGAAAACAAATTTTACATGGAATACATCTCTAGTATTATTGAGGTAAAATATAATGCATTATCTGTGTTTAGACTTTTGCGGATTTTGAATGGTCTCACAAAAACTGTAAACTAAATTTTCGTAACATCGGCTACACACTGATTACATCAAAAGTGACAACACTTCCATATTATTTTGTTTCAAATTTTTTTATCTAAGCCTTGTATGAGACACCCATTGCTGCTTCAAAAATACTCTGTTACCATTATTGCTCAACCACTTTGTCGTCTTGCAGATTTTGACAGATTTGGACAACTCTCAGTTCAGCGCCCTGCCTCCCGACCTCGCTCAAGAGGCGCAAACTCTTCGTCGGCTGCGCGAGGCGCAAACCCTCCGATCGCATCATCGCCTGCAGGTATTTACCACCACTTGCGTGCATTTATTTGGAAAAGTTTGTCCAAAGTCATTGACTGTCCTGCTCATCATTGAAACGCATTTCATTGTCTGTCCTCAGCACTAAAAGGGACATTGTCTGTCCTCTGTCCTGAGCACTAAAAAGGACATTGTGCTGGATATAAGGTGTCACGTGTAGGCGTTAATTCTGCCTATGAAATTCTTTGTTTATGTTTTAATTTATCATGCATTATTTGGCATATACTCGCGTGCTATAAACTCATGCACGTTCATTTTATCAGAGAGAGAGCGCCATGGGGTCACACACTCTGTCTCATATCTTGCGCAACACGGCAAGGCTGGGGTCGCGTATTATGCAGTCAGGAAGTTGGTCAACGTCCTGGAACCTGCAACCCTCATCGTCCTCCACAGGCCCTCATGCAGCCCTCGCCAGGTAACTACATTCCTATCCGCCATTTTTGTACATATAACTGGATTCCTGTCGGGCACTTCTTAATCTTTATTTTCAGTTTAGTTGGCGCATGATGCGTTTGTATAGTTTTTTGTGCATGTAACTTGTCCACCATTCCTTAATCTTTCACTAATTTAACCAGCGTAAGTGTGTTAGGTTGTGCAGATTTATTGCACAGGCTATTATCTTATTTGGCTTATTTTCGTGATAGGTTCGGCAGATTTTAGTTCTTATTTACAGTTCCTATCGTTACAGCAAAAACCGCGGACGCCAGCTGCTCGACCACGAAGCCCTGAGCTGCTTGCTGGTGCTGCTGTTCCTGGACGAGGCCAAGCTGAACACAGCTCGACTGCACCGCGTGCTGAAACATCTCTGCAGCCACGCCCCCACCAGGCGATGGGTCCTCGCTGTAAGTATATACCGTTTCATCACGCAAGCTTTTTTTTCATTTAACAGTTTCTATCGCTCGATTCTCGCTTGTTAGAAAATATTCTGGTGTGATGCTTGCTGGAATGTCAAATTTTTGTCAGGTAAAAGTTAAAACTATTTCGACTTCTTAAGACTTACATTTTGAGCTGGTATTGTCATTTGGCATTGTTAAATAAATATGAGCATTATCGATAAAACTTGTATTGCAAAAATACCTGGTTTCATGATCTATTATAGTGCCGTCCTTTAAAATATCCCACTTCTATTTGGGTTCTAAAAAACCTGCATTATTTTGTATAGTTACGATCGAATATTGAACGATTCCTCTAACATGGTCTGTAGTCACACGAGAAACGTGAAAATGCTATTAAATGAAAATGGTGGCCATCATATATCTCCTTTATACCAAAGTGCATTTTGTGACTTTTGTGAGTTCTTCTGAGTTTTTGGAGAACCTTTTGGTTATTTTTGTCATTGTTGTGGAAATATGCTTCATAATGGTGTCAAGCAACTATTTCATGTTAGCTCTATATAAACTCGATTTATGTATGTATTAACTCTCATCATTTTCGACTTTGGAGTAATTATGGTGTGCATATTGTAGTTTCTCAAAGGGAAAGGTCTTCTGGAATAGACTGAGGTCTCAAGGTAAGTTGTATCAAAATAGTTAGCAAAGACTTATTATAAGTGCCTATCATTTCTTCCACAGACGCTGCTTTCAATAATCGAAACTTGTGAAGAAATGCCCCAACCACGCACCCTGCATCCTCCTGCCTCCATTCAAGAACTCTCAGCTGCGGGAGAGGTGTTGCCTTCCACACCTGACCACAGCAAGGGCGCTATCAAGAAGACGAGCAAGTCAACTGTCCTCACCTCAACCCCCCTCGCGCGAGATGCAAAAGCGTCTACTTCTCAAGACATGGCATCATCTAGTAGATCCCCTTCTAGTGCTTCAACTGACGATCCTCTTTCTAGAACCCCTGGTAATTTACAAGAACTAAGTTCTAGTAAAACTTCTTCCTCATCCTCACCGGCCTGGCTCAGCATGAGCATTGATGCGGCTCTTGGCTGCAGAGCCAATGTGTTCCAAATCCAAAGACCGATGCAGCTCGGCAAGAAGTCTTCTAGCTCGTTGCCTACGACCGTGTCTGTGTCCATCCATCCTCAGGCGTCACCCCTTGTGTGCAAGTCAGTTACAACTCTTAAAATTATGTTATTTTCATAACCTTAATAGTAACATGATGGTTCGAAACAATTTATAGGCCGCTAATTTTTTGTAGAGTAACATTTAGTAAAATGTTTAGAAGATTTAAATTTATAAATATATTTTGTTCATAATGTTTACGCGTTGAAGGGAAATATTCACCCGTGTATGTGCGAGCATTCAAGCATATTCGACAATCCTCTAAATTTCCTGCTGTCAACAGTACCATGTGGGCTCATTTTCAGCTACGTTTGGCCTTACTATGAACCAAGATTCCTATAGCCATTTTGTTGCAATCTTAAGCATAGAATATCAGGCGATCATTCCTTCAACTATTCCAAAAAACATTCAGTTAGCTATACTTTTTATTTGATGCCCATCCACATTCTAGAGTAATTTTTAGTGATGACTTTGGTAAGATTAGCTGATTGTTTGTGATGCTTTGTAGGCACACATTGGACGCCCTCATCTCACTGGCCAAGACGTTCCCAGCGCATTTCCTGCCTTACCGCAAACACGCGGACGCTACCGTCAAAACCCCCGGCGCGAGTGGCAAGGGCGAGACCGTCGACGACGCGACAGCTTCAAAATCCGGCCCTAAAGCCCCCTACTCGACGGACTTTTGGGAACTTCTTGTTAAGCTCGACACTATCAACGTGTGTAAGAAGGGCAAGGGACTGGCTCGGTCCCACTCAACGACTGGAGGAAGCGCTTGCGGTACGGAGGATGATAATGAGCCCTTATCTCTGGAACAGTCCCCTCTTGGGCTACTACTGGAGCAGCTTGCACACCCTGTGATCAGACGTTCTGCTCTGCTTACGGACAAGCTCCTCAGGCTACTTGCCCTCGTATCCGCTGGACTAGTGCCTCTTCCATCTTCAAGCCTACAAAATAAACAGAAATATCCTCAAGAAAATATGGACGCGCTGCAAAGATTATTCTCACTCGCTATCCAGGTAAACGGAAGAATTATTCTAAAAATAGAATCAAAATTACGTCGAGTCTGCTGGTCAACAACGTAAAGCTGTAATTAATTTATAATATTTCTATGCTCGTTTTGTGCCATAGCAGTTATTTATGAATAAATTTTCCTCTGAGCAGGTATTGACGAGCAAGTCGTGTTCTGAAGAAGGATTAGAGGATGCTACGTGTATCTTGGTGAATTTATCCCAGTGCTCACCGTCATCAAGATCATTGGTGCTACGACTCTTGCTACAAGGCGCCTCTATGTTGGGACGCACTGTTGCAGTCCACATTAATGCTCTGCTGGAAGATTTGCGTGCACACGTTGCCTCTGCACTGCCTGCTTCATTGGAGCACCACCAAGACACCTCTTCAAGGGGTACTCTGAGAGACAGGTGAGTGCGCGTTGGCAACATAACAAAGAACGTCAATGTCTGTTCCGCAAAACTATTGTTATACAAACTTGATTTGTATAACTGAAATTTTGTATTATCATTGAAGTGGAATCCTTATGACTATAAACACATGAAACAGAAATATACCAGTACCACTAATCGCGGAATTACCTGATAATATTAACTAATATAATATATTTTTATTATTTTTCGTGTTTACTAGGTTCACGCAAGAGGAAGTGGTGATAGTGGGGCAGAGCGGTAGCCGCAGTAAAGCACCGTCAGCAGGCAGTGAACTTCAGCTGGCCTCAATGCCCGCACTCACAAGCAAGACTTCTTCTCAAGCCTTTTTCTTGCGCACTCTTAAGGTCATTGTGCAGCTCAGGGATGCCGCTGCCCGACGTCTCAATTCAGTCAACACCCGAACGGCAGGTTAGTCGCTTGGTTCTGCATCCTTTGGTGTACTGTTTTTCTCATTCATTAATTGCAGGGTAACTCCCTTCTCTGATGACTTCGCGATCCATTAATATCATACTTTATTCGTATTTTTTAACTTGCACGTTGATTCAGGACCCATTGGACTATAAATTTTGCACCCATTAACATTGTTGTTCCATCATTATTTCGCGTTATTGCCTCCTTAATAGTCTATTGAAATCCAGTTGTGTAATGAAGCTAGTTTGGTGCAATACTTTTCTTGTTTTTAATTTAAGATCAAAGTAAGTTCTACTGACGAAGTTTTTTGGTCTATCTGCTTCTAATAGACCTGTTAATCTTCTCGCCCTGAAACTATAAATTTGTATATGTTACTCAGCCAATTAACATGCATCAATTATCAATTACGCATGCAGGGTCAGATGATCATGATGGTACATTTCCAAATGATTTTAAATCTCGTATTTTTTTGTGCTATAGCGACGCGTGTCGATGACCACTCAGGCAGCGGGGCTGGTGTTCCTGATGTTGGAGCCGGTAATGCTGGTGGTGTTCCACGGGACTCGAGCAGTAGCACTACTAATGCTAACACTGCTGCTGAAATAACTGGAGCAAATGCTGCCTCATCCAGTGGAGTCAACGCTGCTGAAGGCGGCACCAGTAGTGAGACAAGTGCTCCTGCAGTGTCTGTTACTGAAAACATTTCTCAGCCTCAACAAGAAGCATCACAACAGCAAGAGAGCATGGATGTACAGCAGTCGGATGAGCCATCAACAAGGCCTCTATCCACAGCATCCCCGACTGCTGAGGAACATCCTGTCGCGGAGGCTTCATCTGAGGAGATGGATGTAGACCAAGGAGAAGAAGGTGGGTTACGACATTGTTTTTTTTTTATTATCTGATGTTATTTTTACCGCTTCGAGTTCATTTGAAACCATCACTAGGAAGTTTGACTTGCCATTTAGATTGCAATTATGATGCTTATTTTGATATGGTTTAAGCAAAGAGGTCTTGATGTCGGTGCTCAACGATCACACTGCTAGATACTAGATTATGTTTCTACGGTGGTTACTGGAAACTATAGTTTCTTTGAACTAATGCTTGACTTTTTTTCTAATATAACTTGTGTAGTCTTGGAGACGATGACGCCAAACTTCAAGGTCGTTTTAATGACCGTTAGTCATTCTCTATCAACGTGTCAGGCTTTTCGCAGTAATCCAATAATGTTCTTTTTAAATTTTTTTCTTGAAAGGTAGAGCTGAAAAAAATATATACCTACTATTGTGAATATGATTTGTTCATTTGTTCTTATGAGCATGCTACTGATCATTTATTGTGGAGTTCACTATCAAAATCAAATATCTTAATATTGTTCCAAATATTTTTCATATTTTGAATGAATAAAATGCACACTCGATATATCTTTCATGGGTTATGACATAATACTATCAACTTGAAACAAGTGAATGCCATTGTAAAAAAAAATTCTCATGAAGTGATTTTTTTTTTTCGTTGTGGCAGAAATGAAGTTGCAGTCGCTGAGTCAGGCATTACAACTAGACGAGCTGTGGCAAGCACTGAGTAAATGTCTAGACGAGCTCGCGGAGAGTCCTGATAGCCATGCTGTGTTGGTGCTTCAGCCGGCGGTCGAAGCATTTTTCCTAGTACACGCTACCAAAGCCACCGCCCAACCAACGACCGCAAGTCCTCGCTCTGCACAACTTGCCGAGTCTCGAGAGAGTCAGCTCGCTCACCTCAACGATCTGGCACCCATGTCACCTTTGCCTCCCGTGCCATCACCAGCAGCTGCTGCTACTAATGATGGTGCGTTCATATAACTTAATATGTGACTGTCGAAATAATGAAATAATTTGCTATGGAGGTTCATGGCCTATAGTATTGGCTCGGCGCTAGACACGTCATGTTTGGGTCTTGTCACTTGTTATATCAATGTACTTGATGTAATTCAGTTGAAGAAAAGATTTCTTCTTAAATCTTGAAATATAATTCTCATTTTATCCAGTGCCTTTCAGTTCAGTGATGCTCAATGGAATAGTTTTTATCTGTCCACAGATGGTGAAAGTTCGAGCAACAGTCTTGGAGCGTTATCGACTTTGAGCGACTCAGAAAAGTTCCTGAAATTTGCTGGTGAGTTTACTGCTCAATTGCCGAGGAGGATCGCTTGTTTAGACTATCGTTCTACTTCATCGCAGTTTTATCCTTTGTGTATTAATAATTTCTATCTCTATTCCCGGATTCCGCTATAGTGTTTTAATACTCGTTACTGTACTGCGTGCTAATAATTTTAAAGTTTTCTGCTCACCTCATGAATAGTTTTTTTAACTCGATCTGGGAAGGGATCCAATCTTTAAAAATTTTCTGTTACCTCCTGATGTAGTCGGGATTATAGATCTGAACATTTTTTTCCAAGCAGTTCTCTTCTTGTCTGTTGTAAGCCAAATTATTTTGATATTAGGTCATCACGCTTCCGTGGCAACACACTTTCAATGTTTGTTTTATTGTAAGGTTATTCAATTCCTAACTGAATTGAAAGAATCAATTCCTTAGGAATTGAAAGTAATCGGGCATAAATTATTATTGGTGAATGAAAAATAAGCTTGAGTGCACAAATATCAGAATACATGGCGTTTTTTCATGTTCATTGCATTGTTGGATGATGCTAAATGATATATTAATATCGGACAACTTGTGCAGAGCGTCACCGTTCAGTGCTGAACCAGATCCTACGGCAGTGCACTGTTCATCTGGCCGATGGGCCTTTCAGCGTTCTCGTCGACCACATTCGTCTTCTTGATTTCGACATAAAACGGAAATACTTCCGCACCGAACTGGAACGCGCTGACGACGGTGTGAGAAGAGAAGACCTCACCGTCCACGTGCGGCGTGACCACGTCTTTGAGGACTCCTTCAGGGAGCTTCATAGGAGAAGTTCTGATGACTGGAAGAATAGGTTCTACATTGTCTTTGAGGGTGAGAGATTGTTATTGTTTCTTCTGCACAATAAATTCTTAATTGCAATTCATTTGTATATGTATCTATTGACGATGTTTACTCGACACTGCTGAACTAAATTCTACGACCGTTCAATTAGGTTTTTGTGAAACAACATTCGCGAATGAGAAGTTGGCTGTTCTAAATTTAATATTCCCTGCTGGATTCATTTTTTATTTTTTTGTCTAATTGGAAAAATTTGTACTCGCTTTAATTTATTTTTTTGACGTTTATAATTACGAAGGAAGGGTTGTCAAATGTCAGGCAGCAAAAAGCAAGTTTTATATTAGATATTCTAAAATATTATGGAAGGACGCACCAGTTGTGCCGTTTACTACTCACATTTGGCGCAAGACGCGCATAAGAAAGGATTCTGTGCATCCTTATTTAATTTGTTTACAGGGCGCAGGATTATACTGAATCATCAGACTAGCCATGTAGGTCTAAAAGCTGCTAAAAACATAACCAATCGTCTTCTTTCCCCTAGTATTATTCGATATGCTTTATTTTATTTTACTTGAGAATAACCCAATTCAAAACATTTTACTGCAGGCGAGGAAGGCCAAGACGCGGGTGGGTTGCTGCGTGAGTGGTACATGATCATCTCACGTGAGATCTTCAACCCGATGTACGCGTTGTTCTGCATTTCTCCTGGTGACAGAGTCACCTACATGATCAACTCTTCCTCGCATTGCAACTCAAACCACCTCTCTTACTTCAAATTCGTCGGCAGAGTTATAGGTGAGTATTGAGCCAAATAGTTGAGGCTGAAACCAGAGTGCTGAGTTATTGTTGACGATCGAAGTGATATGTGGGTGAAACAAGCTGACTTATCATTCGATTTTTGAGAACAATTTAACTTTTTAAGCCACGAAAATATCGTCTGAATTTATTCAAATGACTCGTGATTGTATGTAATAAAAAATGGCTTCCTGGTTTGAATTACAGCTAAAGCTGTGTACGACAACAAGTTGCTCGAGTGCTACTTCACACGCTCCTTCTACAAGCACATTCTGGGCAAGATGGTGCGCTTTACAGACATGGAGAGCGAGGACTACTCCTTCTACCAGGGTCTTGTGTACCTTATGGAGAACGACGTTAATACGCTCGGCTACGAGCTCACCTTCAGTACTGAGGTGAGTGTGATCTCATCTTGGCTTTGTTCCATAAGCTCCTTCTAATATGCTAATCTGATGTGAAGCATCGAATGAGTACCTCATTTACCTCGACGTGCGTAGCCAATGAATATTAAATTGTCAGCCTCTAAGAATAATACATTCTTTCAGGAATGACAATAATTGTTGTAGTGCTCTACTACATTTTTTATTCTGGAATGTAATGATTTATTTTAAATTTCAGCTGTACAAATTAATAGAAACAATTCAAGTTTATAGATAATATGCATATCGTGTTCGTTTGTGTGCAGGTTCAAGAGTTCGGTGTGACGGAGGTGCGTGAACTTAAGCCCAACGGAGAGAAAATACCCGTGACAGAGGAAAACAAGATGGAGTACATCAAACTCGTGTGTCAGATGAAGATGACGGGTGCCATCAGGAAGCAGTAAGTAGCCTCATCATTTCATTGTATACGAATATTTTTTCTTCAGGTTAACTTCTGCATTTGAGTGCCTCATATTAGCTTAGATTTATTCAAAGGAGTTTCGCAACTAAATTAATTTTGTATGAGAACCGCATGATTATAAAATACCTGCCAGATTTAATGTTGTTTTTGTATTTCCGCGGTAATTATTTTATATGATTGATGAACAAAGAAAGCAAAAATGCTTCAGAAGCATTGGTTGATTAACTTGCATTTGTTCTGACATGCTGAATTTCTTCAGTTCCAAATTCAGCTCATATCTTCTCTACCCCCTCACAGACTGAACGCGTTCTTGGAGGGCTTCTATGACATAATCCCTAAGCGGCTTATCTCAATCTTCAATGAGCAAGAGTTGGAACTTCTCATATCGGGCCTGCCTAACATTGATATCGACGACCTCAGAGCCAACACCGAGTATCACAAGTACCAGCCTAACTCTCTGCAGGTATGGTATTTCCGCATCGCATAGTCGGCCTCTCTAAAGCTTATAACTATAATAAAATAGGAACAAAGCATGGTATAACATATTATTATACAAAGCATTGCATAATAACCATCATTGCCTCGAACTCTACAAATAAAAATGTTGCCAATAGTGTGAATCCAGTTCTTGTTTCGAAATTCGAAGATTTAAAAGCGTTTAGTTAGAGATTACTGAACACTTGTCGGTATGAATGATTTTTTAATAATTTTCTCTACTTTGCATATGGTGTAATACGAAAAGTCGATGCAAATGTAATAACGCATCATTTGACGTGCCCAGATTCAATGGTTCTGGAGAGCGCTGCGTGGTTTCGACCAGGCTGAGCGAGCCAAGTTCCTTCAATTTGTGACGGGCACGAGCAAAGTTCCTTTACAAGGCTTCGCTGCTCTTGAAGGCATGAACGGCATTCAGAAGTTCCAAATACACCGCGATGACCGCGCCACCGACAGGCTGCCTTCTGCCCACACATGGTCAGTAGCGTGCTTGCAAGAAGCAGTGGTAGTATTTAAGTTATTAATATTGAACTTCGAGCTTGGTGACGAAGCCATTTTGCAAGAAACGCTTACGTAGATGGAATGCCTCAGGTGAGTGAATTAGTTTTAAACTGGTTCAGACAAGATGCGTTTTTATTTTTGTGTTTTCTTTACCTGCTCTAATTTCCTAACTAATTGAATTAACAAGGGCCAGATTATCAAAAACGCCTAAAAACATTATGTAGCGGCTTGAGTATACGGGGTAGCCAATTTCTCATAACTGATATGCAAGTTAAGTTTAGAATTTGTGAGTTATTGGCTGACGGTGGTTTTGATTTTGGAATCTTTCTTGGTTTTTCTCCGGATTCACAACTTACTTAAAAACGCGTTTCAACTTAACCTCACTTTTAAAGAAACATTTCTGATAGCGCTGAGTAAGGTCAGCTGTTTAGGTTGTCCTATTATAATTTACCTGGATGTGTAGATTTTATTAAACGCTTTTGGAATTTTTTGTGCAGCTTTAACCAGCTGGACTTGCCTGTTTACGAAACTTACGACAAGCTGCGCCACTACCTCCTGAAGGCCGTGCATGAATGTTCTGAGGGTTTCGGCTTCGCATAGACCTCAGTTTGGGCAGCTACGGCAGCGGCTCCTGAACATTCCCTCTAAACGCTCACCAAATCTTTATTATTATTGTTGTTGTTGCTACTGCTGTTGTTGCAGGTGCTCATACCGCCTTCAGCTTCCAGGCTTCAAGTATTACTGCTAGACTATCTAATTCAAAATGCACGTTCCACTTCTGCTACGATTGCCAGATCAATACCTGGCTTCGAAAAACCCTTCAACTCGCGTGTATTATAATAGCTCTTGGAGGTGCTACTTGCACTTATTAAAACAAACTTATTATTTGGCGTGTTCTGCACTGAGAAGCCCTGAATCTTGGTGGAGAGTGCCTACTTGTGTAGCAAATTCTGGTACACGGCAAACGTCGTCGCGAACCGGCTGTGTTTTGCTTTTGTTGTACATTTTACAGGCTCTGTCCTGCACCAGGCATTGTTTAGCTGTGATGTATCTATGGCTTTCTGCCCGTTTATCAATACTTTTTTAAGCGTGATCTTCGTTTATTGAGGAAAAACTATTATTGCCTTAGCGGAATGAGTAATGCGGAAAGGGAGAGTAATGAATTCACGATTTTTAATGCAGGTTTTCTTATGATTGTCATCCCACCACATGTATGGAGATATTGGTGCATCAATAATAAAATGTATTGAAGTTGTGTAAGTATTTTTATTTTACTCCTGGTAACCGCCATCATTTGAAGAAATGTAGATGTCGGAAGGCTTTCTGGAGAATCAATTAACGATCTTTTGTCATCTAATCATGTCTTATTTTTGTATCAGTAGTATGTTTTATAACTAAGCTACGTACTGATCTTGGTCATTGTGGTAACCATTGTTTATGTGATTAAAGCCAGCATTGCTCTGAAACGATTTTGTTAAGTCATCTCTTATAACCGTTTCGTTTACAAGGCATGTTAACTGTTGCTCCACGTGTAAATGAATAAGTCAAATAAAATCTGCTCTTGAATTATTAATCTATTTTTGAAAAGATTGTCAATTGAGAGGGAAATTTCGTTCATTGATGCTCCTGGATTGTGCGCTTTTTATACCAGTGTTGTGCATTAAGTTACATACTCTCTAGTAGTTACTACATGCATCAAAATGCCGCAACCTTGCTGTATCGGCATTGTGACGACTCGTGAGTGCCGTGAAAAGGGTAATGATATTGTAAAGCTGTGTTGGAACAAAATTACCAAATTGGTGATAGTGCGGGTTATTGGTTGTGCACAATATTACTGAGCTTGTAGTGCTCTTGAGCGCACCGGCAATTAAGGTTTGTATCAGTAGATAGTGTCAAGGAGACTTGTTCACTAGATGGAGGAGGCTTACATTTTTTATAATGGATAACACTCGTGCTTTCATGTGTTTTTCTCGTGCTTTTTTCCGACGATATGTGTGCGAGCAGTAATCGAAAATGCCAAATATTCTACGCAATAGAACTATGCATGGACGAACTACGGACGTCCAGCTGTACACGAATATCGTCACAGTACCGAATTAATCTTCGTGACCGGTTCGACTCTTTTTTTCGAACTCAAGCTTATGAGAGGAAAGAGATTCCAAAGTATGAATGCATATATTACTGTAGTAGTGGTGGGGCCGAATGTTCTGCGTGAGAGCGAATTCTTTGAGTGTGAATGCACCGACGTACTGGTGAAATGCAAGATGAGAGTATATTTGTTTCATGTTTTACAGAGGTAAGAACGAAACTGATGAACATCTGTTGATGGGGTGTGATACATATGAAATAGACTGGAAATGATACGAGTGATAGTGGATGAGAGGGGTTATTGTGTGATGTATCTGTATTGGAGAACGGGAGACGAATGGAGTGCCGTGATTGTGGGTCTGTCGCAGGGGTGACTGCTGCCGTGACTGAGAGTGGAAAGAGATATGGAGAGTGCATGGAGTATGAGGGAGAGGTGGGCTAGAATGGAGGGCGAAAGAATGTGCAGAAACAAGCCAAAATATAAAAAAAAGCTAAGATGCATGGCCTGTGAGCTCCAATCTGTGGTGTAATAAATAGCAAACAACAGTTTTAGTCCAATGATCTTCCCCCAAGAACTTACCTTCATATGTGTTTTCAACTTTCCCGAAACACGAACTTTCCCATCCCTTTAACCTCTGCTCTGATATCGCTCCTATCTTAACGAATATGTGACACTTAGCAGATGCGATCCAAATTCAAAGTACGGAGAAGTGAAGAAGGGTTCCGTATCCAGCTGTCGGGAACGGCGGACTGCTCATTACACGGACGACTTCACGTCAAATATTTATGTTCGCTGATAAAATTTTCTTCATTGGTATTTTTACAATCACAAACAAACAACAACAAAGCGGTTTCAGCGTTTATTAGGCCGTAGGCCTGTCGCCGATTCTTAACATCGCAGAACATTCACAGCATTTTGCGGTCTCTAACTCGCAACGCACTGATTCAAATTCTACCGTGCTTAACCGCCCGGCCTCCTTGTCGATTCTGACCATAAACTGGCGCACAGAGCTGGGATCGAACCCGCGCCTCTCTGCGCCAATCTTGGTACTCTGAACTTTTAACCACTGGGCCACCCTGAGTGGGGTCACCCTGAAGTCTGAGTCCATATTGTTGTTTGTTGTTCACCCTCTAAATTCCAATAGGAGAATATCTACATAAAAAGTACTGTAAATTTGTCTAATTCGGTTTGAGTAGAAATTTAATTAAATTAATAAATGCCAATGGTCGAAATTCCTGTAAGGTTGTTAGCTGTATCATCATGTAAGGTGATTGGTGCGAACCGTGCGATCATACACAGGATGACCCGTGGATGATTGCACCGTGCACAGTATACTACTGTCTACGCATACTACTGTCTATTGCAGGAAACTATTGTCATCTTTTCAGTAAACTTTCAGGTTTAAATAAAGTTGACGTAGTTCAATCATTTGATGACTGTCGTCAAACGGGGTAATAAGGGGTATTAACTGGGGTAACCATGAAACATTTCATGAACAAGTTTAGGCTCGCAAGTCGCAGCCTCGCTGTAAAAGTCTTTGCAAATGTAAGGGGCCAAAGGTTATTGTAATTTGTATGGCATCTCCAAAAAATTCCATATTCTATTTGACAGTATTTATAAGGTGGAATAAAGGTGCCAGACTGCCAGGTGCAAAATAAAAGCCTCCCACCAAAATAACCAGAATTTGAATTAGTACCCCTCAGCCCTCTCGCTCTCAGTATCTGTAAGACTGTAACTGTAAAGTCTATTAGGTACTCTGTAAGCTTACAGATAGTTACTGACTAAAGTCTAAGGCCCCTTTCACACAGGGCGTGGGCACTGGGCAGGAAATCCCGCCGGGCTGAGATTTCCAGCCGAACCTCATCGGACTGCGGACATAGAAAATGTGCACTGCTGTATAGCCTGTAATGCTATTCACACACATTCTGACAGAGAACAGTTCATTTTTATTACAGGCTGGTGGGCACATTTGTCATCACAGTAACCTGCAGCATACTAAGAATACCATTTTTTTTGGAAAAGTCATTTGCCTATATAACATAATTAACAAAATTAACGTAACAAAAGTTACGTTAACGTAATGGTACAGTCTACAGAGTACAGACCACTATGCAGAGGGTGGATGCAGCGTCGCCAATATATGGATTTTTAAGCCCAAACTGAGCTACCTATCTCAGATAGGTAGCTGATAGCAGAGTGCACAGCACTATCAATAGATCTACTAGTTTTATGTCCTATAAATCTACCAGACTCTACCCTTTATAGTCTATACACACCGACAGTAGTGACTGAGTGACTGACTGCACTGTTCCCATTTAATTCAGACCAATAAATCAATACCTACTAAACATAAACTGAACAATAACCAAACAAACCTCATACGACTTGAAATGAGACTCAAGTTATGAGAAAAGCTAACACTGTTTGAAATGAACATGTGCACAATTCAAATATTTTATATCCATTCACTGCATTTAATTATTTTATATATAGTCTTATAATTGTAATTATTTTGTTTCTAGATTCAAATTCACATATTTAAAGATTGAAATTAAATATTTTAATTAGAATACTCGTATTAGGGTGGAAAATCTTTCTAATTGCCTAAAAAGTTGATACAATGTCAACCTCTCAAATAACAGGGTGGGGCAGAACTGATTGAGCAGTTTTGAAGCAAAATAAAAGAGTAATGGAGGTACATAAAGAAGAAAGTTTATTTTCCTAGAGGTTAGCATGACATACCATTTAGAATACCCATGTTTTGAAAACAATATCTGGAAGATGGGGGCCGTTAGCTGCAACACACTGTTGGAGTCGTTCTCAGAGGAGGGAGTAACCGTAACAGTGAAATTTGATCACTATGCTGCAATGATGCAAAATTTCTTCCAGCCCAGGATGGAAAACATTGTTGAAAATGAAGCATTGGGAGATGTGTGGTACCAGCAGGATGGGGCTACAGCTCACACAGCCTGAATGTCACTCAATGTTTTGAAATGCATGTTTCCCTGATGTCTTTTGTCTCCGAGGGGTGATTTACAGTGGCCTGCGAGGTCACCTGATTTGAGCATTTGTGATTTCTTTCTTTGGGGACATCTAAAAGAAAGGGTGTTCAAAAGTCACCCTTGCACCCTACCACAGCTAAGGGGATGGATTATTGAAGCAGAGGTTATGGCTATACCTCGCCATATATCTGAATGTGCTGTAGGAAACTTCCGAGAACAACTCCAAAAGTGCGATGCAGCTACAGGACACCATCTTCCTGATATTGTTTTCAAAAGATAAGTATTTTAAATGGTACCTGTACCTGTTATGCTAATCATGAGGAATATAAACTTTCTTCTTTATGTACCTCCATTACTCTTTTATTTCACCTCAAAACTGTTCAATCAGTTCTGCCCAACCCTGTATAAGCTAGCTAACATATTTAAATTGTATATTGTAATCAATATATAACAAATAGTCAAATAGTTACACTACTTATAGCCTTATAAGAATTAGCTAAGCTGCTAGCTGCGTACAATGTATTGCACTCTTGATGCCTCTGTACCAAAAACATTCAATTTATTGGAACCTAATACACACTAAAGGCAGCAAGTCTACATACCAATTTGTCATTCATAGTACATTTATACTAAAGCATGAATAACAATACCTCGATATAAATTAAAGACTGCCACTCAATATTTTTAAATATATGAAAAATAAAAAAAAAATTGAAAAAAAACATTATTTTTTTGATAAAAAAATCAAATGATTTAATCACATGATTTAATCATTTTGATTTAATCATTGCCCACCCTGTGCACAATGCATTTTTGTTAACCTTTAGATAGGAGGTAATTCATCTGGTGGAAATCTCGCAGTTCCAGAAATGGCAGAAAACCTCTAGTTGTGGCCCTAAAGGTAGATGTTTTCCATGCTTGAGTCAGGTGAATTCAGTATAAGGAGGAGGTGAATTCAGTATAACAAAAAAAAAAAATTGTGAAACATACCTGAAACAGAAAAAAATATTTTAGTGACAATATAATATTTTTATATATTTTTGCCAACTGCATACATACAATATAATATTTTTGGACAAATAAATTATAGTGTAGGTTTTAATTACTTTTAATTTTATGTTGCCTGTGCCGCTGGTGGCCAGTGCACAATTCTATCTAATGACATTCAATGCACAATTTTGTGATGACCAAATCAGACCAATGATGCATTCATTTATTTAAGTGGAATTTTTTTTTGCTGACCAATGTAAATGTAATTAAAATTCTTTGTAGTTGATTGTTTTTTTTTTTTTTTGTTAACATAACCCATGCTAGCCAATTTTCTATTGTAAATGAGATTTTAGGGGTGTCCCTTATTTAGTTATTATCCCAAGGACCCAAGGCATTTAGGCCAAGTGATGTCCCTTACTGCCCCCTTGTGCGGAGGCAATTTGCTACAAAAATTCCATCAATCAGGTTTTCAAGCCAACACCTGTATGCAACTTTTATGTCAGTAAGATTTTTAATACAGCCAATATTTTTTGGCTACAGACCTTAGTACAGGCATGGATCCATGGAATATATGTACTTGGCGAGCCGTGACTGGATTTTTCAAGCCGTGGTTTTATGGGTTTGCAAGCCATGATTTCATTTCTTTGAGCCATGTATTCCATTTCTTTGAGCCATGAATTCCATATCTTGGCCATGAAAAGCCATTTAGGAGCCGTGAACTTATTTACAAAGTTGCGTGCACATGTTACCTCAAATATTTATAATTTTACCCTCAAAACTCCAATCATACAGCAATGTTTACTAACATTTGTCTTCACTTGACACCTGAAGGCTGAACATGTGATTATGCAGTCTGACCACTCTGACGTGACCACAACTATGTGATCTTCAAGGAAATGTTTTGTGTTGTCTTGTTGTTATTACATTCTGGAGCATTGAAGTCATGCGGATTGTGGAAGTTGAAAATTTTATTAAACGCCATATTTGCAAAGAGCAAACTGCAATTTTTTCAATCAAACAAAAATACATGACATTAGAGCCACAAGATTTCATACTTACTGAAATTACGATATTAGAGCTGCAATATTTTAGAAAAAAGTAGGGCTTTTTCTGACCTGCCTTAGCAGAGATACTTTTCCAAGAGCTCACTTATCACACTTTTGTTCATGGATTTTTTAGAGGTAGTAAATATATGATTTCTTAACTTGCTTTTTGCTACATTGATAAGAAAAATTTTGAACTTTATGTCACTTTTTTTAGTTTTGCAATGTTTCAATTAGTTTAGCTGCTACAACATTTCTACAAAATGTTGCAGGACTGTCCCTAATTACTCCTTTAGATGATATATATTTCAATGGTATTGTCAAGCTGTGTAATAAGGGACGGTTTTGAGCATTTTTTTAAATAACTTCTTACCATGAAACATTTCATAAATAAGTTTGGGCTCATTTTGTAGCTCTTTGCGAGGGCTATTGTATGGCATCTTTAAAAAAATGTTATGTGCTATTTGTAAGGTGCCAGTCATAAAATAGAAGTGTCTCGAATTACCCCTGTAAACAGGGTAATTCAGGACACTTGAAAATTTAAATAAAACTTGATTTTAAAATGTTTGAAGCATGCAGAGTGTAATCATCTATTACCTACTAATAGTAATCTGAACTCTGAAGTCCTCCTTTTCCTTTGTGTGTGTGTATGTAATTATCCTTTTTGGCTTATTTTGCCATCCTGGTAGTGGCGAGTAGCAAGGGGTGGTGATAAATCCGTTTTTCCGGGCACTTGGTGCCACTGGTAGTTCCACGACCATCACTGGCTTGCTGACCCGCCAGAACCATTTTTATTGCATTACACGACACCCTGGACTAGCCAGGTACCGTAAAATGGGGTAACTTAGACCACTTTTTTTATAAATGATGCCATTTTTTTACTAGCTAAATTAAACTTTATTTTTTAACCTATTAGATATGCAAACTTTTTAAATCTTTCTATTGTGTTATGTAGCCTCAGTATTAGGCCTTTAATGCCCATTGACAAAATTTTTCTATGCCAAATAGTTTTTGAGTTGTGTTTTTTTTTTTTAAACTAAAAGTGGTCTAAGTTACCCTGCCGGTCTAAGTTACCCCATTTTACGGTACTCATTTATCAACCAGAGTTGGATGAATGGCTGAATTGACCATGAGCTGAGCTTCCCGGAAGAACTTGTCCTCAGTGGACTCAAACCTGAGAGCTGGGTGTGAGAGACATAGTCTCTCACGACTGCACCACACAGCTCTTCCTTTTCCTTTGTAGATGATGTAGATGTAGAATAAATGACACTTTTAGTGATTTTTACTGTTTTTTTTCTTTATTGATATGATATTAGCGTACTGTATTATTGATGTGATACTACTTTATCCATGAACATGCCATTGACCATTTACAACGACCTTGTCCACTGTAAGCTTCATATCAGCAGCCTTCTAGCACTTTTCTGTATCTGTAAGCTTAGAGGACAGCTTGTAATTTCACACCATTTTAATTGGGTCAAGTGAATTCACTAAAACAAAAAATGATCATAAAATCATACCTGAAACAGAGAGGAATATTCTAGTAACAACCATCATATTTTTTTGGAGAAATAGATCATAGTTTAGGTTAACTATTTTTCATTTTATGTTGCCCGGTGCAAAATTCTATCAATGACATTCTCTGCATAATTTTTTGATGACCAATGATGCATTAATTTTTTATAAGTGACATTTTTTTTTCACCAAGCAAGGTGAATATAATCAAAATTGTTTGTTGTTATTGATTTTTTTGTTAACTGGAGCCCTTGCTAATCGAGATTCTACTGTAAATGCGTTTTTAGTGGTGTCCCTTATTACCCTGAGGAGGTGTCCTTTATTATCCCATCTTGTGGAAATGGCCACCATTTTTTTTTTCATTGAGATATGCAAATTCTGTCAATCACGTTTGTAAGCCAACACGTGTGTGCAACTTTTATGTAAGTAAAATTTTTTGATACGGCAATTTTTTTTTTTTTTGCTACAGACCAATGCAAAGGTATATTTCCAAAATCTCACTTTTCACACTTTTTTCAGGGATTTTTTATAGGTTTTAATTGTCTGATTTCTTAACTTGCTTTATGCTACATAGATAGTAAAGATGTTGAACTTTACACCACTATTTTTAGTTTTGTAATATTTTAATTAGTTTAGCTGCTACAACATTTCTAAGAAATGTGGGATGACTGTCCTGATTTACCCCACCCATCCCTTATTACCCTGTTTGATGGTATTGTTTATTGGCCTTTATTTCCTTTTTTCAGATTTTTATATATCTCAAAAACCAGTTTAAATTTATAACTTCAAAATTCAACTAATTTATCATGGCTGGAACTGGATCTGAAAATACAAAGGAATGGAAAGTCCTGTTTGTTTGCCTTGGTATGTATATATTTTATTTATTTCACTAGTATTATGCATTAATGTCACATGGGTGATGGGTCATGGGTGCTTGACTTACCAATGTTACCCTGTTATTCAACTTGCAATCTTTTGAATTAGATAGTTCTAAATCTGAAAAATCAAATAAGATTTTGTTTGTTTTGTTGTATTACCAGTACTTACAGAAAATTCCCTGTCCAGCCCATATTAAATTTTTTTCATTAAAACATGGCTAGTTAAGTGTAGGAATACAATTACAATGTAGCATTGACATTGAATGATTGACATGATTAACTTCAGATTCATTATTAGAAAGATCTTTCTTGGCTTTGATGCAGATTTTCCTTTTCAGACAAGCTGTTTGCATTCATCAGAATTATCCTTTTCTCTGACTAAACTACAGTTCAGGAGGCTCTAGTTTTTTACTGAAATTACCAATGTACTTGAAGTATTTTTTTTTTTTCAGGAAATATTTGCAGGTCACCAATAGCTGAAGCTGTATTTAAAAAAGAAGCCTTGGCTGCTGGATTGAAAGTTTACGTAGATTCAGCTGGTAAGTTTTCTAGAACTTAATATAAGGACTGCATTTATATAACCCATAAGTGCATGCATTTTATTGTAGAGACCATGCCATGTCACTCACTGGCATTTTTATGTTTACTGAGCCACATGACACTGATGTAATGCATTTTATTCACATCTGACTTGGGATGTATCGGACTTGATATGAGACCCAGTGCTACAGGCAACGAGTCAGATTACCTTAGCATTTAAGGGGAGCATTTTAGCGCATCAAAAAGTAAAAAATATTTACTTCTCCGGATTTTAGTATCATTTTAACGCTCCAGTGAATTGCGTGTCTAAAGAGCCCAAAGCCATGTTTGTGAGTTCATATGGTTGTTCATGGCAGCGGTCAAAGCGCAAGTAAAACCTATACCCTCGATGATCAAAAATTTAAGTTTTTTGGCTCTCCTGAAAAGTTAAAATTTCAATCTTGAAAACCTATCTCCTCCTATGATTTCAAGCTACAGCATTGAGAGATGTACCATTTGATTTGTAAAGGAAAGATCTAGAAAATGGTTGTAGCTTTTTGTAATTTTGTTATAGTTTGGATTGTATTTTACAAAAAAGGGAGGTGGGGAGGAAATTGAAAAATGGACAAAAAAATCCCTCCCCACCCACAAAAATCCGAATTTCAGAAAAGCTATGACTAATCATTAGATATGGTCTTTATGCAGTGGATGATATGTATCATGATATTGTAGCTAGGAAATCCTAGGAGGAGATAGACTTATTTATACAGTACCCCCTTTTTTGCTCTTTTCAATGGATTTCACATATTCTTTCCTTTTTTGGAATATTTATATGAAAAAAAGGCTAAGATTTCTGTTTTACATATGTGTACCAAGTTTCAAAGTGATCTGTCCATTAATAAAAAAGTTTTTTTTTTTACTGAGAAGCTCCTCTTAAAGGCATAAATTTGGCTTCTATCATTCATGATACATAGTGAATTTAAGGGTTAAGAGCACTGCAGTGAAGAATTCAGAGGCTAAAGATTTGCATTTTTTTTTTTTTTTTTTTTTGATATATTTTGGCATTATAATTGCTCTGTGAAGTTCAAGACAATGTATCAAAGCATCAGCCAACCTGTTCATTTGTTGAAATATCAATTTCTCTACTTAATATTCTATGTTCAGAACTCATTACGAAAGCCTAACTACAAAATTATTATTGCTAAATATTTGCATTGCGTCTTAATAATTTTTTTCTTTAATTTGAAGTTGGGTAACCTTCAGGCCCCATTCTACTTGATTAATTTCTCATTGAATCTTTGCTATATCACAGAGTTGGGGTTGAGCCCTGTCAGAAGGCAGTCGTGCATTCTGTGCAGACTCACAACTAGCCTTTTTGCTATGCTGGTTTAAGGGTAGTGTGTCAGTCAAAAATTTATAAATTTGACTTTTTAGTTTTTTGGCTCATTTTGTAGCTGCTGAAAAGGCACATCTAACACAGGAAACTGCATGTAGGTATGTGCATGCTCTAGTTTTTGGGTAAAGCGATTTCTAGAATACATAAAATGAACATTTTTAAACAATATGTACAAAGTTTTCTTTAAATCAAATCTGTATTTATAGATCATTATTCATGTTAATTGCAAAGAGTTTTTACTCGCTTGAAAGCTACAAACAAGATGCCTTCAATAAAGCTAATATCATGGATGTACATGCAATAATTTTTGAGCAAGACTGTACCATATTGAACTTTTATTAAGGGACCATTTTACTACATCTAAATATTGCGGAAAAGTACCTCTGCTAAGATTTGTTAATAAAATTGTTAATCTCCTTCCAAAAAAAAATGGTAGCCACTTCCAAAAGACAGGGTAATAAGGGACAACCCCCCCCCCCCTGGGGTAATAATGGACACCACTAAAAATGCATTTATGGTAGAACCTAGATTAGCAAAGGCTCCAGTTAACAAAATAATCAATTGATAACAAAAAATGTTGATTATATTTACCTTGTTCAGCAAAAAAAATTTCACTTAACAAAGTTTAAAGCATCATCAGTCATCAAAAATTTGTGCTGAGAATGTCATAGATAGAATTGTGCACTGGGCAACATGAAATGAAAAGTAATTAACCTAAACTATGATTTATTTCTCCAAAAAATATGATGGTTGTTGCTAGAATATTCCTTTCTGTTTCAGGTGTTTTTTACAATCATTTTGTTATAGTGAATTCTCTTGATCCAATTAAAATGGTGTGAAATGACAAGCCATCCTGTAAGCTTACAGATGAGATATGTAAAAGTGCTGTAAGGCTGCTGATATGAAGCTTGTAGTGGACAAGATCGTTGTCAATGCTCAATGGCATGTTCATGGATGCAGTAATATCACATCAATAATACTGTAAAGTATAGATATGGTAATATTTCAATGCAGGAAAAACAAGTAAAAATCACAGAAAATGTCATTTATTCATTATCCAGATCATCTACAAAAGAAAAGGAGGACTTTAGAGTACTGTTAGTAATAGAGGAGTAGGTACACTCTGCATGCTTCAAACATTTTAAAATTACATTTTATTTCAAGTGTCCCAGATTACCCCATTCCCAGGGGTAATTTGGGATTCTTTTATTTTGCATCTGGCGCCTTAAAATAGCATAGGTATAGAATTTTTTTTGAAGATGCCATACGGTAGCCCTCCCAAAGAGCTATAAAATGAGCCCAAACTTGTTTATGAAATGTTTCATGGTAAAAAATTATTAACGAAAAACACTCAAAACCGTCCCTTATTACCTCATTTGATGGTACAGGACAACTGCTATTGGCTCAACAATAGTGTGACCTAGTGCTGTTCTTTTTTTCTAATTGATGTCTCAGGTGGGAAGTTTTCCTTGAAATATGTTATTCAATTTCCATGAGGTACTGTATCAGTGATTTAACTTGTACTTTTACTTTGTCTCCTTCTTGAAGAAATCACTTCGTAAATTTGTCAAAGCAGATGATAAGGACAGCCATGGTAAGACACCAAAACAATTCAATATGCTGATACTTACTGTAAACTTAATAATGTACTTGGATGCGTCAATCAGAAAATCAAATTTTTGTTTCATATCTATTTACAATTGTGCAAATATTTATAAACCTAACATGAGCCAATCAAAATTTACACCTTTATGCAGTTGGCTTAGGACATTTCCTACTTAGAATTATTTCCAAGCATAATTAACTGTAATGTTGCAGGCATAATTGACTATCACCATGGGAAGACACCTGACTCCCGTGCTCAACAGACCATGAAGAAACACGACGTGCCCATGGATCACAGAGCCAGGCAGGTGAGTATGGTTTGGCTTCTGCTTTTGAATGTCACTTCTTAACATAGTGCAGTAGTGTTGGTGTTTTATATCATTTCAAATCTGGATTGTTACTGATTCTTGTAATGTTCATTGCTTGTTCCCAGAATGTCTAAAAACCGTTTTTAAACCAGATCTATCCAAAATTGAATTTTATGGTCAAATATATTTATCTTTTACCAAGTCAGATGGTTGAATTACTGAACATCAGTGCTCAGATAATAGGATTGTTTCGTTTTTCACCTAAATTGTCCACAGAAATAATAACATCTTTTAACATCTTGGATAGATCCAGTCTAAAGGCCAGTCCTCAGATTTCAGAGAGACAAGTCATGAGAATTATAAGAATTGGCAACAGGCCAACCCAGCCTATTCTTGAACACCAATATAACTGTGTTATGTAATTTTATTGTGGTAACTGCATTGATTAGGCCAAATTTAGCCTGTCATCAATTCTAGACATAACAGAATTCTTGCTGCTTGGGCTTTGAACCCAGAAATATCTCTTCTCCTATCTCTAATACAACACTGAACTTTATACCACTTGGCAACTCTGCATTTGAAAAGATAAATACAGGTATATCTAAAATGGGGTACATATTCAAGGCCATTTTTCTCAGCCAAGACAAAAGCACCAATCTTTGCACCTATGTCTGCCATAACCATTTGCACTTTTGAACTCCTTAGGACAGGCAGTTGGCCAGAGATCAGTTGCCTGTCCTCTTTGCCATCTCACGGTGTCCCCTTATAATATCTATTGCTCCCACAAGGGGGTGGATGGTGTTGGATGTAAATAGATATTTCATCTGACTGCAAATAAATAATTATTCAATATATATATATAATAGTGATTAAGTCGTGCATTTTGGAATGTATTGTTGCCAAAACTTCTAATGAGTAAATTCATTGGGAATTTACAGGTCTGTAGAAATGAAATTGTGAGATGGAAACGCGCAATAAGATTTGAGAGATATGTTGCTATGGATTGCTGCATAGGTTTTTAGGAGGCCAAGGTTTTATGCCAGTTATTGCTCTCTTGAATTACCAATGAGAAACGTGCCTGATAGAGGTACAAACCCAGTGACTTCCGGCTTGCATAATGATTTATTTTTGTGATTGATTATCACGAAGAACTTTACCTACAGGATTGTTAATTCAAACGGTTACCTGACAAAATTAACCATTTTTTCGTCTCTTGTAGTAACAGTGAGACATTGTAGCTCTATCTTAGGTTAGATTAGGTTGGGTTAGGGTAGGCAAGGTTAGATGAGATTAGGACTTAGGTTAGTTCAGGTTATGATAGGCTAGGTTATTTTATCGATAAAGTGAGTAATTTTAATGCTGTATAAGGTTTTATGTGTTATAATATTTCACAAATCATTTAGATCGTGAAATATTTAGCCCGGTTCCTAATGGGACCAAGCTATAATTTTTCACATACAACGAAAAATGAATATTTGAACATATTTATCATTTATTACTGTCACAAGTGAAAATAGTATCACAGATAACCAAAGAAAATTTCAGGAAATAATTCTCGGCATTAATGGGTTAAGTTAAGGTCAGGTCTAGTTCAGGTTAGGTCTAGTTGGGTTTGATTAGGTCATACAATGTGTTGTTAGGTTATGTTGTGTTGCACTAGCGTATAGTTAAATATAATATAATGTTATTATGTGTTATGACAGTTATGCTATATCGAGTTATGAACTGCAGACTCAGAAGATTTTCACCCACCATATACCGTATGCATGGGCGCGTGTTTAGGTTAATGTTTTGTTTTGGAAAATTTTGATTGTTGTGTTTATTGTATATATTGAATATATATTCAATGTTTATTGTATTGTATATATTGAATTGTACAAGATTTTGTAACTAATGGGGGTATGTGTATGTGTCGATGTTTTCTGGTTTAAATGAATGTCCCTACTTTGTGTTTTTTGAATAATGACTCAGATACTGCTAATCTAGGTACCTATATCAACATTTCCTTCATATTTTTTCAATTTGAAAGTTGCTCAACTCTATACAGAAGAGAAGAAATTAATTACAGAATTACAACTCTATACAGAAATTAATTTGAAATAAAATTAATTAGTTTGAAATAAAAGGAATTAATTAAATTGAAATTAAATACTGTACCTAGTGCTTGAGTAGTATTGAATTTTAATGTAGTAATCATGCACCTAGAATGGTGAAAAAAGTAAAATATTTTGTCTTTTTGTATGAAGAATGATATAATGTATAATGAGTGAAGGATTTGTCACATTATTCAGCCACATGGTGGGTGAAGATCTTCTCAGTCTGCAGTTCAATATTTTGCTTGTTTCAGATAAAGAAAGAGGACTTCACAAAATTTGACTTCATTTTCGGCAAAGATGAGGAGAACATGGATGATCTAAAACGCATGAAGCCTGCCAACAGCACTGCAACAGTCGAACTTTTTGGCAAATATCACACCAAGAAAAACCTCATCATCAGAGACCCATACTATGTTGGTGGTTTCAATTTAGTTTTGCAATATAACAGCATTCAAAATTGATCTGTCTTTTTTTCGGAAGTTCATGAGTTATTGAGCATAGACATGTGTGTGTAAACTAGTAATTCTTGTGCTGTATTTTTCTTTAAATGGTTCTTTTCTCGTTTGTTGAAATATTTTATCAATCAATCATTGATTACATTTTCAGGACGAGGATTTTTTTTTCGGAAGCTCATGAGTTATTGTGCATAGCCATATGTGTGTAAAGTAATAATTATTGTGTTGAATTTATCTTTAAACAGTTCTTTTCTCGCTTGTTGAAATGTTTATCAATCAATTATTGATTACATTTTCAGGACGAGGGCTTTTTTCGGAAGTTCATGAGTTATTGAGCATAGGCATATGTGTGTAAACTAATAATTATTGTGAAGTATTTTTCTTTAAACGGTTCTTTTCTCGCTTGTTGAAATGTTTTATTAATCAATTATTGATTACATTTTCAGGACGAGGGCAGTGAAGGCTTCGAGGAATGTTACCAGCAGTGCGTTGTTTGCTCTCGAGGCTTCATAGCACATCTCAAGTCCTTGAAATAATTTTGAAATCTAACTTTCATTATTCATTCGGATTCCATTTTCGTCCATATTTACGTGTTACTTCAGTGTTCGTCGGAATGTCCAGCATTTATAATATTCTACATCTCAGTCTGCCGTGACAAACCGCGGCGATATACATAGTTTAAGTTTGTTCCACTTCTTATATAATTTAGATTTTACTTAACAGATCTTATTTGATAAGTTGTCTTCCTAAAAGAATCTACTTTGAGACTACAGATTTGTGCCGCTATGTAACTTTACCTTCACAACAAAAATGTTGCGAGTGAAATCGGTCATTGAGCATAGAAATGAAAAACCGAAAATATAAGATGTTAGCTCGAGGCAATGAGATTAATTTGGTACGCATCAAGTTCGTTTTTCAGTGTAATAAAACACAGTGAAATTGATAATTCTCATTTCAAGCATCTTTTTCTATTTCAGAGTACGAAGTGGCTCAATCTGTTAGGTTTTTTCATAACTCTGTTTTGTTATCCGTCCTTCCAATAAGGTTTTTCATAATTCTGTTTTGTTATCCGTCCTTTCAATAAGAAACATGATTTTTTAGACGAATGAAGATCTTCGAAAGGAGCATAATTATCACCTGTAATTAAGAGCGTATATAATTTATAACAAAATTATAGATGGAAAATTGCTTAGTTTCCGTTTCTGTTCGTATGCCTGAATTAAAACGAAAGGATACAATGTAGTGTATTTAGGTTGCTTTCTCCAAATCGTTAATGCGATGAGCGACATTAGAAAAATTCTTTGCGGTAATACCTGCTATATTTCTGGGCGATTTCCTGCTATATTTCTTTTACGTTTTGATTGTTTTAAATCACGTTAAATAAACTGAAAATTTAAGGATTATTTCATTTTTTCACTCCAACTATGTTTCAATTATATTGATAACTTTCTTTACTTTCTTAGCTGAATTTTAATCGTATAATGAATGATGATCGAGTGTACATTTCAAACTCGTCTAGAAACGCTAACACGCGTGATGTGTAATCTCCCTTTCGACAAATTTTCAAGCGACTCCAATTAGTCTACATTAAAATGAAGTCTTCCTGCATTCATTAGCCTTCGAGGGACATACGTGTACGTACCTTCGTGCAACCCACATGATTAATTAATTACGCCAAATATAATCGAGTTCTACCCCTATCATTCCACTTGACAGCTTTGTCAGGCGGCCTCAGCAAGCGATACCTTACCGATTACTATATATTTCTACCTGCGGACCGGTATCTACCGGCAATTCGTTGACCAAGTGTGTGAGGGATAAGTAAAACACTCCTTTCTTTCTACAGAACTTATCTTGATACAAGAGAGATATTATGGATATACAAACAAGTATAGGCTAATACGTCGTCCGTTAGGTCGGAGTAACTTTAACGAATGTTACATGGCGGGGTGCTAATTAGTTACAGGGGTTCTTATAAAGGTTAACAGCCCTTTTAAAAAATTATGACTTCTGGCCACCGGGTTCTTGTCCTCGTGCGCCAATACTTCAGTCGGTGACGCGCCTCATCTTAACCAAGTAAGTTGTCCTCGTGTCACGTATGATGTTTAAGCGGTCGATTCAGCGTCTGAGGCAAGCTCTCAGTGATACTGAGGACTCAATTGAAGCGTACAAGGGCTGCTTCTAAACACGTGAGTATTTGTATCCACAAACTATTCTCTGACAACTTCGTGAGCTAGTGGCACGCTGCTGCCTATTGTATGTGAAAATGTTACTGATTAAACGTCGCTAAAAAGAGAGAAAACGGTACGGTCTCGTAACTAACCTTTCGGATGTTAGACTGTAATAGGGTGCTGACCGCTGGCCAATTACACTGATTTTAATTGTCGCGCTTAAATAGGAACGATATTACGCATCACTTCTCAAAATATCAAACCTAGACAGCATCAGTTAAAACAGGTTTACTAATATTCATTACATACAAGGAATATTTATTTGAGGGAGGCTCTAACAAAGAATATGATTCGAGCTTATAGTCGCCATTACTACCCTAATTTCAATTTGCAGTGTTGGCTCACTCGCCAAAAACATCCTGGTCGCTGCTCTAAGATTTAAATAATGATCCATGAACGACATTTGAAATGAAATCCTCTCGTAGCGATATCACAAAGTGAATTCATAAATGGCACAAAATATTTCTTACTGTCGCTGGTAAGGAATTTTCGAATATTAAATTAACGTCACCTGCCTCAGCGACTGTTAGTCTTAACGACTATGTTGATTTTTTTCTCTCGAAGTGCATCGGTATCAAATTGAACCTTGAAACCACGGAAACCATAATCGTTTAATCAATCACGATAAAATCAGCATTCGTGTCACAAGAACACAAAAGAAACCTTTATGACACACCGAATACAAAAAGTAGGAACAAGATGATTCAAAACTGTATTTGTATTTTTGTATTTAACCAATAATTTGACTGTACCTATTTTTACCTAACAACAAATTCTTTTTTTTTTAAATCTGGAAAGGTGAACGGTACAACTGTATATACTCATAACAAACATGGAGTTTAGTCGCGTGGAGCTGTATAAGCATCGCCACCTATAAGCAAAGTCCTGCATAGCTCAATAGTCAGAAGTTCATAACCTTTGTAGAACAAATGCTTGCATAATTAAAAACGACTTCGACAATAATTTATATTTTTATATGAATGAAGATTGCCCATCGTTTTTCATTTTAATTGAGTGCTTATTAATTAAGGAGATCTAGAAACTAATATGAATCTTAAAAATCTGATATGATGGTTGGCTATTAAAGTTTTTAACTCCATGACATTTCAATGATTAAATGAAAAAAAATAGGTATATACTTGAAAAATAATATGCATATTCGAAAAACTGACTCCCATTATTGAGTCTGGGGTTCACAAAGATGATAGGAATTAAATCATTGCATAGGATAAACACGTCCGAGGTTAATTTGTTGATAACATAACCAAATATTAATTGACAATGAATTATCGAACACATTGACAATTTATTAAACAGTTAATCAATAATTTTCGATTTTTTCAAGTAGTCATAAGTCCAATTGAACAATTACTCTTCTCTGACACAACGTTGTAAATAAATATTGTTATCATTTGGCAAAATTCAATGTTAAGGATGACAAATTAGTGGTTTTCAACCGACAACTAGTATGTAGATATTTCTGTGACTTCAGTGCTTCATGCTCGACCACCACAATCATTGTTGGCGTTGAGGCAATAAGTTAATGTTAAAATAACGCCTTACGTAAAATTCGATTAATATGCAAGCGTGACGTGAACAACTCAAATTATTTTTTCATTATTATTTTGAAAACGCCCACAAAAAAGAACTTGGTCCGTTATGAATTGATATGAACGAAATTAATATGATAAACACATGCTTATGCTGTCAAATCGTGGTAGTCACAATCATGGTTGAACTATGGTCACAATGCTCAGCAGCAAACGTCCTCAAAGCATTTTCCCCAATTTGTTTCAATCATAATGACAATATTGCAAAGTGACTACGTTGCATAAATGATAAAGTTTTTAATTTCGATCGATTAGCAATCAGCTGAGTTATGTGCCACTGGATTGGCTAAATAGTGCGTTTTTATGACTTAGTCTGCACGCATGGTTGAACTATGGTTTGCACGTCAGTTAGAGAGTCCGCAGCCTGGAACCGAAGAAACGTCGATGCGGAGTCGACTTGAGGCAGTTGTTAATCGCGGAGTTCAGCTGAACAGCTGCTGGTGAGCTGGATGCCGCTGGTGCTGGACTGCTGGCGGCTGGCCACGGGCTTTAGAATGACTGCAGTCATCCGAGGGTGAGGTACGCTGTCGGACTCCTCCCATGAAGTTCAACGATGATCTCCTCTCACGTTTGGGGAAACTCTTCTTGTCACCCAATGCCATTCTCTCATATAATGGTAATAAGCTAGATTAATTACTTTTATACAAGTGTTCTAACTTTCGATTCGTATCGCCAAATCTCAGTCTGAAGGCCATACACTGTTGTGGATAGATTTCCCAAAGCTTCACAATGAACCTATTGATGAACGATAGTGCAGCTTAACTGATTTATTTAGTGCTGTTATACTACTAGGTAGTCGTCGGTAAGTTATTAGGTGAAATGCCATCTGAAACAGAATACAACATAACTTCATCTTCAGCAGTTCCTGTCATGGCATTATTTAAAATGGCTTGGCTTGGAGTTAGTTTCACCAGTATTTTTTGGTTTCGGCTTCAACCTCTATATTTGAAGGTTGATATTCATATCCAATAATTGCTTAAAAATCTTTATAGGTATATATATACGTATATATTAATTTATGTAATTGTAAGAATAGTAGTAAAAATTACATTATGGTAGACCATGCAAATAATTCATCGTACTATTGTAGCTATTGGGACCTGGTAGTTACTGAATAAATTTAGTTCCAAAAACAATTATTAATCCTTAAAACTTCACGACTTTCCAGAATGCAGCCCCAACTACCACGATAAAGCTCCTGCTCGTCTTTCTAACTTTGATATCCATTGCCTGGGGTAAGACTACGTTTTATATAAAAGCTCAAGGAGTTATTTGAGTAGGAAATGTTAGGTTAGGTTAGGTAAACCTAACTGACTTAGCTAGTGTAGCAAAGTTAAGCGTGAATTTGCCAAACAAACTTCCCAACACGTAAATCTCGTCTAACCCTTTGTGATGACTTTTCAAGGTTGTAACGTATAGGATATCTGCCAGTGGACTATTTAGGTTTTCCTATATTGGTCGAATACGTATAGTGTGAATGCAAGGGGGCATTAGAGCTGAAATACACCATTATATTTATGTGGAGGTGGGTCGGGCTTTGCACACCTACATGTTCATGAAACGTTCATGAAGTTTCTTTTCTGTACTAATGTGTCACGCGACAGCTGCCCGTTATTGAAGCCCCGACCTTGAATTCTTTTGTGTCAACCAACACTGCCCCAATCTCAATTTTATTTGCATGCGCTTTTCCACATTGTCGCTCATACAACCTACGCCAGCGTTGAAATGGGATTTACAATTCGATCTAAATGAGGTTAGTTTCAGCTCCCCAGCTTTTGTGGTAGCTATTTCATTCAGCTTGGCGCTTCAGTTCTAAGTCATGTTAGGTGCGGCCTTGCGGGGGATAATACCCTAAAATTTCATTCGTCGAAAGTGCCCCTTTTAGGCTCTAAGGTGAAATTTAGCAAGGAGTCTGTCAATCCTAAGCTTTGTTCATTATTTGTTAGTAGCCAATGCCTTTCTGTTATTCAACCACGAAAGATTGGTATGCAATGATCGTTTTATGCGCATGCGTGCGGCTGAAGTATTGAGATATTATTCATGATGCACGTTCCGTTTGATAGTATCGTTTTCTCAGCCGCTCAATAGTCTGCATTTGTAAAGAATAAATCGACATTTCCCCAGATTTAACTACGGCCCTATTAAGTTCATTAAAACGTTATTTTGGTAACCGAATGACACACAACTGAGTCGCTATATATGAACCTATCAGAACGAAAGTTACCGGTAATCGCAATGCGCCGCCGTCAATGTCAGCAAAATTATTTGCTCTGATAAGGTTTCAGTTAAAATTAAAATTCTAAACAATAACTGCAGTTTTGAGTTAGTTTAGGTTATTATTGTGTGGTAAGAAATTAACGTATTAAAATTATAACCTAATCTACTCCTTTTAATAGTGAACGGCATAGATAAAAAGTACTTGTAAAGTGTAAACTGACGATGCATTGCTTTCCTTGCTTACCACGTCTACTGTTTAGCAAGTTGCTGAGTCCAGATTTATGTCGATTTGTTGAGTTCAGTGCTGTATTACGCGCGGTTTGCTTGTTATGTTTTATTCAAGAGAGTTAATGGTGCAGACTTTCTCCCAAGCCTTTTATTTCAACTTACTCACTTGGGTACGAATGTAGCTATTACTTCTTGAAGTGAGACGTTGGGACGTTTAAAACAAAAAATTGTTGGCAAGTTTGCCCAGAGAGACGAAGCCATTGTTATACACAGGCTATTCAATATATATAGGATTATATATGACCTTGGTAGTTACGTAGTTAGGTTTGTGTTCAAGAATGAAACGGACAAGCTGCTGTTGGATTAATAAATTTTAGTCGAATTACTGGACCCTTTGATGAGGGTTTTATATATTATGAGAGAAGATAAAAAATTTTAAAACTGTGACATTTGGATGTATTTGCTTCGTCTATAATTGCAGAGCCTAACATTATTTCGCCTGTAACTGCGGAGCCTAACCAGCGATGGCCTCCTATATAGCTAAAGAGCCTAAACATTAATTACTTCATCTGTATCTTCGTCTTCATATCTGTTAAGCCTAAGCAATGATAGCTTCATCTATGACTGCAGAGCCTAAGCAATAATTTCTGGAGCCTGGGCAATGATTGCTTCATCTATGACTGCAGAGCCTAAGCAATAATTTCTGGAGCCTGAGCAATGATTGTTCCATCTATGACTACAGAGCCTAAGCAATAATTTCTGGAGCCTGGGCAATGATTGCTTCATCTATGACTGCAGAGCCTAAGCAATAATTTCTGGAGCCTGAGCAATGATTGCTTCATCTATGACTACAGAGCCCAACCAAAAATTGCTCCGTCTAACCAGATTCAAACGTTGGTTCCTATAATTTTAAATAACTTTTAAAAGTTTTAAGACTCACTTGAAATGCAACATAACCTTTTTTATACTTAACTGCTTAATACTTTTAAGGTACACTTGGAATCAAGTGAATTTTGGTGTAGAGAATTCATAGATTTGTTAAATAAAATATTGGCGTTCATCTACCAGAAAATATAACCATGAATTATACGAAAATGTTCCAATTAAGTGTATCACGCTTAAGTTCAAGTGACAGTGTAAAAACATTTATTATCAATTAATAGTGATAATTTTATTACTATAATTCCAATTGAAATTACAATACTTTATTTTGAAATCTTAATGATAAAAAGACGTAAAAAAAGAACAACACTGATAACTGAAACTCGAGAACTAGCAGGTGTCGAACTGGATACTTGGCAAGATAGTTACTTTAACATTGTTGAACGACGGAAAAGAAGTCAGTTACGTTATGCTACAAGTTCGTTAACCTGATATAGGTACACGTAGCGGGATCGCCACGCACTTAGTCATCAGATACTTCCAAGCTTATAATCGGTTGGAGTGTTGGCGATCATCTGCTGAAGAATGTCCTCGTTAATTACTGAAAAACGGTTTTCCAACTGGGTCAGACCACTCTATTCCCGGAGACACTGCTCCATCAAGTTTTTTTTTTACAAGAAGACCGAATGCTAGCTTATTGATGGCAAGCACGCAAAAAAACGACGATATCATCGAAAAAAAAATAATTATTGCTTCAATAATGAGGATTGTGGATCATACCAACTTAGCAGCCTGTTGTAACGTTGGTAGTATCAATATGAATTAGTTCACGGCTGCGATTTTAGCAATCATTCAACCAGACTAACCTATTTCACACTGTTCGGTCAGTTTACATTTATGCTTTTCTGGCACGGTCATGAGGCCCTTCTTAAATAACATCTAACACAAATAACATATTAATCTCGGCGCTGAAGTGTAGGCCTGATGTGGCCTGTCGCCGATTCTTTTCCTTTTCGTGCCTTGTTCACAGAAGATCTAATATCGTTTCATTTGACCGAATCTTTTCATGACTGACGATAGTTGCAAGTAGCTGCTAGACTTCCACCGGGTTCGATATGGTGCTAGGCATTTCAAATCTGAACATATATTTTTCCATAGCTTTATATAGTCTGTTCTTGAACGCGTTCATACTTGGAGCGCCAACGATGTCATTGGGGAGGCTGTTCCACATGTCGGTGACTCGAAGCGAGAAGAAATGTTGTCGCATGGATGTGTTACAACGCAGTATTTTTAGTTAGTTTATAGCCGTGGCCCCTGGTGTTGGTTCTTGTTTGAAATTCTAGTAATCCTTCTGGGACCTTGTATAAGCCATGAGTATACTTGTATGCTTCAATGAGTTCCCCACGCAGACGTCGATAACTGAGGCACGATGCTGTTGCTTGCTTCTCGCCGCTGGTAGTGTTGCAGGGAAGGTCGAACAGGGATTGTGCCCAGGAAAACGTCCAGTCGTCTCTTGAAGGTCTCCAGAGCGAACTCCGTACCCTCTCGTAGATCCTTTGGTAGGACGTTAAACAGCCTCGGCCCTGCCACTGAAAAAGATTCCTCCAGCAGGGATTGAAATCTCACCGCGGCAGATCTGTTACGTAGTGGGGGATCCTATACAGTCTCCCCTTTCTCTAGTTATGGTTTGTCTCAATCCTGAAGGCCTCGCTTTCGAAGTTTGGTGCCATTCCGGATATCATATTCCATGTGTATAGAATGACATACTTTGCCAGTCTCCTCTGTACTGAATACAGACCCAGGCACTTCAATATCTCCCAGTAGTTCAACTCCTCCATCACTCTGATACTGGAAGTTGAGGTTTGTTGGACCCCTTCCAGTTGCCAACCTGCGCCGAGTGTAAACGGGGTCCAGAGCTGGCAGCAGTATTCAAGGACAGGTATTACAAGAGCTCTGAAGAGTGTGATCATCGGTTCCTCTTCTCTTGTTCTGAACGTCCGCCTGATCCACTCCATCTGCTGTCCACCCCTTGCGGTTATTGCCGCTTGTGATCACCAAACTTGACTGATCACAAGCGGCAATAACCGCAAGGGGTAGACGATCACCAAACTTGACTACGGGCTGTGGTGGTGCAGTTGTGAGAGATTCAGTCTCTCGCACCCAGCTTCCGGGTTCGAGTCCCACTGAGAACAAGTTCTTCCGGGAAGCTCAGCTCATGGTCAACTCAGCCATTCATCCAACTCTGGTTGATAAATGAGTACCTGGCTTGTCCAGGGTGTTATGTAATGCAATAAAATGGCTCCGGCGGGTCAGCGAGCCAGTGATGGTCGTAGAACTACCAGTGGCATTAAGTGCCCGGAAAACTTGACCTATCACCCCCCCTCCCTACTACCAGAATGGGTAATTACAACAACAACAACCAAACTTGAATTGAATTTTCATCAGCACTCCTAGATCGCGAAGGAGTCGCTTTTCTCCGATTTCCGAGTTGTCAGATGCCAGGTAGCGGTGCTCCATACCGGGAGCGCAGCCGTGCACCACCAATTTTGTGCACCAATAAGCCCTTAATCGAACGCCTTGGATCTCTCCGGATATCCACCAATCAGCCGTGCACCACTCTGCATTGTCCTCCTCCGGCCTTGACCACCACCTGCCGTGCACCACCAGGCCGCGGATCGAATCTAACTTCCGGGCATCGTTGAATTACGTAATTTTACGTTCACCGCATCTGAGGTTAGGTTTCAGAGAGCATAGTTCTGTTGCAAAATTTATCGTCCTTCGACAAGTGGCCGTTCGACCGAGGGCTGGTTCGACCCACGGCCTAGATACGGACGGCTTGAAGTGTTGAAGGCTACGTTCCGGAAGGCAGGAATCATGACGGTCCATTACATCCAGGGCAGTGGTGGTCTTCGGCAGGCGACCCCTCCATACCAGCCCTTCCGGTACGCCTGTATCTCATAACCTCAAACTTGCTCCCGTTGAACTGCTGTTCATGTGGGCCCAGTCGAACCGAATCGGACAATGCTACACGCGCAGAATAACATACCGAATAATTATTTTACAATCCCTGGATATTATTAATTTTTTTTCTTGTTAGGTAACGTTAATGACAATATAACTTCCTGTCCTAAAAGTCCGTTATTGTGAGTACCAAGTAATTGCAGTCAATGCAGCTTGCTTCAGTACGCCATTTCTCATTTCAAAGATCAATTGCGTTGGGGTATACACAAGTAATAACTAATTTAATAACTAAAACGACTGATCTTCGTGAAAAATTAGTTTAGTTTACAGTAAATTTGATTTCCGCGTCAACTCTGAATCGGCCATAACAACTCTGAATCGGCCTAGAAATGTTACACACTACTTTTGAAATAAATTGTACAATATTCTGACTTACCTTAATAGGACGAACTTTCCCGCTCATAGTTGAATGATTTCGTTAAATATTTTTTATGACCTTCTCAAGAATGAGCATGACATCCATCACACATACAACTTAGAAACAAAGAGGTTTCTAGTACACTAATTTGTGCATTGTAACTCGCCACAATTTGATAAGAGTCTAGGGATGCGGAATGGATTTGAGCTTTATTACATGTTATTTCGTAAACTTTTAGGCAATTTTATATACATTTGATTGAGATGTTAGCTATCGTTGGGAGGAACGATGCGTTATAGATGCCAGCTCAACGTTACTTCATGGGTGTTGCAACGGTGGTGGCGATTTTTTAAGGAATCATTCATTGAGGATAGAAAATTAAGGCATTTTTTCACTGAAGCAGCATTCTCTGCGGGTTGAAAAATCTACGTTTTTGAAACGTTTATCAAACGGGTAACCTGCCCATGCTCTATATTAGATATTTTTCATTATTTGCTGTGGGATGTCCAAGCTTTAGAGAATATAAATAACAGATGACAATAATAGGTTCTTATTCGACACACGAAATGCATTTTTTCAAATTTTACTTGTGATTTGCAAGCGAAAATTTTAAGGTCGTTTCTGTGTGCTGTTCCAGAGTACTAAAATTACACGCGCTCTATTCATTAAACTTACAGGTGCATATGATGTACCCTCTAAATATATTCGCGTGCCAAGCAAAGTCTTTGAAAATTAACATTATAGTTCCAATAGAGTTTCGTATGTGCGTTCTACCGTTCACATGACTCGCACGTGGTTATGATATCATATGCTTGGTGTTTGCTCAGTTGATTGTTCCATGAATTTGATACAAGGTCAATAGCTGTTTGAACGGATTTGACAGTCGTTGCGTGCATAATGAGATTGAAAAATTGTAAAATTGTCGCAATGCTGGCTATGCGATTCTACGAATAACCGTTGATTTATTAAACGCACAGACGATTAATCGGATTCTTATTTGAAGTGTTATGGATTTAGCTGCTTTGTTCCATTCCAACAGAATAAATAATTCTGTCGCCATACTCGGCGTAACCGTTGAATAATGAGGTCCTCAGTAAGTAATTCACTCTTCAATTGTTGCTCTATTAAGTCCTTTACGGTAACTTCTGTTATTTTGTTACTTCATAGAACACCGTATTTATTTACCTTTGTATTAGAGTTGTGCATGTATCCTTGTGTTGAAATGTTTGGACAAGAGCAGTAATATTGCAATAAAGCAATAATATTGATAGCACCTTTCGCTTGTCGGCTCTCTGCATGAGGTACGCTGAAGGTATATTAAACCTCATTACATCAATTTGTGTGAACATTAGACGTGAATATTCAAGTATTTTACAAATTTGCATCGAATACTTATCGTTAATCATCCTTATTATTATTTATTGATATCAGGTGATCTCGAATCACGTTCCCTGCGTGCAAAATCTTTAAATGTATTGTCCATGGACAAAGTTATGTTTTTAAGTCTAACAAGGATTTATAATGTGTCGTTTTGGATAATTGAAAAAAAACACATTGAAGTTTCGGTTGCTATTAATTTAATTATAAAATATTTCTTTTCGTGCCAGGCAGCGACTCTCTTGACGTGATGACAGAAGATTGTCCCAATCGTTCTACCATATCGGCGAACCCGCCAGAAGAAAACGAGGATCCACGGCCGCTCATCGTCTCAGCGTTAGAGTCAACATCTTTCGAACCTTCCCTCACGCCTAACAGATCAACAAGAGACCATGCAGGTTTCGAATCCTATATAGTTTTGAATTTTATTCAAAAAATATTTTTTGAATTGTTGAATAATTTGAATTATATTTTGAATTATTTTGAATTTTATTCAAAAATCTATTCTCAGTGTCATAAAATTCAAGAGTCTTGAAATCTGTGAACGAGTCCAATATGGTAGAATCAGTCTTAGACCCTCGCGTGGATATATTTTCCATTTCTACAAATTCTAATAAAATTGCTTCAGTTTTTCATCCCCAAGTCGAAGAACTCTCCTCTGCCTCAAGCGGGTCCGTGGAAATTGCTTCACCGCAAGAAAGCACGTCTCTTGGGTATCTTGTTCCTAACGCATCTGCAGAATCTTCTATGTTGTACCGCAATGTGCCGAGTGAGGCAACGAATCGTGTGAGGATGATGATAGAGGCGCTCGTTGAAGTGCTTAACCGTACGAGGCTCTACTTGCTTCAGTGCATCGTGCAGGATGTCCACATGGGTAAGCATTCAGCTTCTCTATGCCAAAATTCAACGAGTTTTTTCAAGTTTTCAGTGTACTGTATGTCTTAAATTGTGTTCAGTTGAAACCAGCTCTTTCTAACTTTACGTGCAATCGAAAATTTCGTTCAAACGAGTGTGAGAAAAATTCGAAGCTCAATGCATAATTTATTGAGTCACTCATATAATATGTATCAGATCGATATGAATTTTTTCTATTCCGAAATATTATTTTATTATTTATTCCCTCAGAGCATATCTGGTTCATTTCTATGTGTAAAGAATCCGCAAGACCGTCTCTAATGCCAGAATCGGTCAGAAAATTCAATGAAACTTGAATTGCCCTTGGGGAATAATAACGACATTTTCACTACGGTGGCGCTACAGGCTATAATGATGCTTCTTGAATTTAGCACAGAGCGTCCGACGTTTTGATTAATCATGGTTTTCGTGAACACTGTGATCCACATTAATGGATAATTTTTATTTCATGTTAGTGTTATGCAACACATGATTTTTAAGTTTACTTATTACTTACCTTTACCATTAGGCTTTACTTTTTCTTATTAAATCAGAGGTTTATCTGATAATCTCACTTAGAGCGTATCATGAGAAATTGTAGATCCTCTGGCTCTTGTATTTCAAACGAATCTAGCGACATGGCCACCCATATAATCAGTGTTTTTATGTATATTGGAACGAATTAGGTACTCAAGAACTTCAATTCAATAAGAATTATTCCTTAATTACGCAACTCTGTTTATTTTTAGGTAACAAGCTCATGGCTGCATTGAGCTCACACGGCCTGCCAGCTACGCTGTATGTAACGTCATCAGCTAATAACCCCTCGTGGTTACCTGCTATCTTGCACAACTACGACCCTTACTTCAGCCCATCTGAGTTGGTGGTGTGGGGTGACCTCAAATATCTCACAGAATTCGTTAAAAAGGTAACTATACTGCATACCATACGTAGTTTCCATGGTTTTATCGTTCTCCTAACGTGATTAACCAGTTGCTTTGATTGTTGATACAAGTTCAAAGGGATAAACATTATCATTTTTTCTTTCAATTTTTTTCTGAGTTAGTAATGAGTTTTCCTGCATTATAAACCTAAACAGTTGAGGTTAATGATGTCTAACTCTCAAAATTTTCTTAATTTTCAAACGTCAGTTGATAGTCACGGATTTCATAGTGACATGGTATTTTCGCGACAATGTCTGTACTTCGCTATAATTACGAATAGACTTCCGTATTGGACTGCACTGCAAATCATGCGATGCATTCCAAATCGTCAGAAGCAAACGACTGAAATAATTAATTTACGTTTCAATGTCATTTTATTATCTGGGATGCGTTGCAGTCTGAAAGCCGTATTTATTCGGGCTGTTTTAATTACGAGTAATTCATGCAAGATTTCAAATATTCAGCTTCGATAACGCGCAGCTGTCAAGGTCTTTGCTATCATATCTGTTCTTTGTGTGCCTGTTAATATTTTATTAGGTGTGCACGGTATTCGCTGTACAAATATATACCTTGACATTAAAAATTGTAATGAAAAATTTATTTCTGATCAAGTCGCACGACCTGTTCTATAATGGAATCATAAGCATATCGGTAAGTAGATTTGATTGTTATTTCTTACAAAAGGCTGTTTAATTTGAATTGCACTTCATTTTGAAATATTGACGATTTTTCAATTTTTTCCTCTTCTTATTTTCAAAAATTTAAGGCCACGGTTCTTGCCTTACTTTAACTTTACAATTTTGTTATTATGTGTTTCTTAAAAAACTGAGTGTTTGGCAATTTGAATTTTTTGTTTAAAATTGTTTTTGAGAGTGCATTACGTTTGTGTCTATGTGCCATTTATGAGACATCAAAGTACGTAAATCAAACGTTGACATTGCAAATAACGCGCCTGTCACGTCAAAAAACTGTCACGTGGAAGTACAAGTATTCTAATTGGTCAGTTGCCTCGAACCAAATTAACAAACGTCTTGGAAACTGCAGAAAATGCCTATAGGAAGTTTCAAGTGAAAACGACTAGGAACCAGCTCATTGGTTCCATCTATATTGAAACTTATACTCTTGGACTTTTTAACTAATGATCAAGCTGGTCTCCAGGAAGTTTAGCAGTAACTAGCAATTCTTGGATAGGTACATAATTCTTGATAAGCATTTTAACTTTGGTTTTTTAAAGCGTGTGAAATTCCTGTGGGTTTTGAGTAAAATTGATTTATTAATTTTCCTAGCATTTCTTGGCTACATAATTCTTGATAAGCATTTAAACTTTGGTTTTTCAAAGCGTGTGAAATTCCTGTGGGTTTTGCACCCGAGCGAAGAGCTGACCGAAGCTGGAGAGTCAGAAGTGATACGTAAACTGGAGCCTGAATTATTTTTCGCCTCGCAAGGGCTGGTCTTACTCATGAGTCAAAGTCTAAACGACAGGTGAGTTAAGTAGGTAATTTTTTGTATCAAATTTAATTATCCATTTATATTTGAGGACTTTTATTAACTAAAATATTAGAAATGTATTACCGAAGACATAGAATATGCATTTAAGAAAAAATTATCGGTTGCACTTGCACCTATAAATGGATGATAATTTTGGTAATGCATGAACGTAGTTTTTACCGTCTATTTAATTCGTACTGAAAATATATGAAATTCACTGCTGGCTACTCTTGACTTCAAATGAGTACATTTTCAAGAAGAACTAAATTTTTATATAGAAATTTCAAGAAATACACTTGAAGAAATGCTTTCTTGTCGCAGCGCCAACGCGTCCCAGGTTCTGGTGCTGAGAGTTTTCTCCTCCGTCCCTGAGGGCGTGACGCTACAAGCCGCAGCGCATGTACACAACTTTTATAACGACTCCAAAGTTCAGGTGGAAGAACTGGAGCCTTTCTGGCCGACGGTACCGCGCAATTTCATGGGTTCTCTAGTTGTCGTTACGTGCTTGGATGTAAGTGTTGAAGATTGGAATTGCGACTGTTCATTAAAGTTAATAATTATATTACGTTGAAAAATAGCCAGAGTTCACATAGTCATTGTCAGCTGGGCAGTCGGCATTCAACAGGGCCAGCAGATTTCACTTGAGCAAGCAGGCTATTGAATTTATATGATGAGCTCCTTCGGTCCAAGTTATGTTCTCAAGTTCAAAGAGTGATTTGAAGCTTAAATAAATTAATTAAGTCACACAGAGCGTTGGGGGAATTGGGGAGCTTCAAAACATAAGGCGTATTGCAACATTGGCAAGAACGCTTAGAGTAGATCATGCGATTCAGTAGATTGCTCTTTTGTGTATCCAAATCGTGTAAATATTTCTTCCAGCTGGAAGTTCACTGCTTTTTTAACTCGCCACGTATACCAGAAGATCAAAGTCAGAATACAAAATAAAAGCTATTTTATAAATTATAAACGTGGGTAATAATTAAATGATATACGGTAGCATTTTTTTAATGGGACCTGCTAGAGGCAACGTTAAAAGGTTTAATTACTTTGCTGGGCATTGTGTTGGTATACTGATGAGAATAGTATTCGTAATATATAATAGTATCCTGCTTTTGCTACAACGTAATGGTCTTGCAACTCTTGAGTGTGTAAAACCGACTACTCCAAGGACAATATTGTCTTAAACATGGGGCCCTTTTTATGAGCAGAAGCCTGGCTGTTTTGAACTGGAAAAGGATGTATCCAAATCCACTTTAGAGACCGCGAGAGGCTTTTGTGCCGAGGTTGCTCGTGCTATCGCAAAATTCATGAATTTTACAACGGTCCTACGCCCCACCGACGGCTTCGGTTCCCAGCTGAAAAATGGCTCCTGGAATGGCATGGTCGGCCTAATCAACAGAAAAGTAATTTTTCTACACTTAGTCACTTACAACCATTCTTGTAAATATTCATCGCAAAAATAACTTATTCCTTCTTTGATAACACGTTGACTACGTATTGATAGAAATATGTTCCACCGATAATTTAATTGAATGCAAAAAAATTGTGATAACGTCAGTAGCAAAGTGGTACCCTTGAGACTTTACCAAGACAAAGTGGTACCCTTGAGACTTTACCAAGTGGTACCCTTGAGATTTTACCCTATTAATGACTTTATAGTCATTAATAAGCCTCATCCATTCGTCAACAGCTGCAGTGTGTCTTTTTTTACACAAAAAACATGTTGCGAAACTGAATCTATTGCTCTCATTAATCGTTATAAAAAAACTCAATGAACTAAAGGAGAGTCAGGGTTGGGTGACACCGAAAACCCCGAATATCGTGGCTTGAACTCGGTTTTGAAAAGATGTTTAAATGATAGATAAATTTAAATAGAACAAATTTGCGAAATCTGTCATTTCATATGATCATGTGGAGGATATCATATTTTAAACTTGAATCGAAATAATCGCGATAAACTAGAAGGATGAAACTTCGAAAGATCTTTGTTAACATAAATTCGCAGGTACTTCATTCTTTAGAAGAGTTTAAGATCGGAAAATGATTTGGATTGTGAAATTATTGCTTTGTATTTCTTGCTATCAGCGTTTAGTTTAGTAATATTCATCATAGTTGTTAGAATTCTGTGCATTCAATTATATTTTTCAACAGTTCCGCCATTTATTGAGATTAAGCAATACTATTTATTTTTTTAATATTCAAATGTCCTGATATTGAAAAATCTCAACTGAATTATGAATTCACAATAACGTAAACCTAAAATAGCAACGTCTTTGCTAGGGATGTCCTCAAACAAAAATAACACAAACATTCAAATAAATTCTACCAGCCATCTTCATCCCTATCACTATTCCAATTTGTACGTGGGAGCAGGAGGCAGAAATAGGACCTCTATACCAGCCATCTTCATCCCTATCACTATTCCAATTTGTACGTGTGGGAGCAGGAGGCAGAAATAGGACCTCTAGACTTCTCGCCTTCTTGGGATCGTCGAGTTGCCATTGATTTTGCCGAGTATCTGGGGTCAGAGGGACTTGTGATGGTATCAAACTCAGCCAGGCTCGTCAAACAACCTTATCTGCTCCTGAAAATCTTCAGCCCCGAGGTGAGATTACAAATAAATTTGTATATACCATATCTTGGATTTTCGAATTGATTTATTCGTTGCAGAGTCAGAATCGCCAAACCAACTTACCTGGTATAGTAGATTTTCAGCCCTGAGCTTGAGACCTCAAAAAGTTTTGTGTACAGTGTTGCGTGTTTATTTACGTGATTTATTACCAATGTGATAACAAACAAAGGAAATTTTTTAGTGACTTTTTATATGCAATAGTGATATAGTAAATGTTTAGCCTTTCTCATTATCTCACATTGAATAGATAGGATAACAGAAACTAAAGGAAACCAATCTTTCTAGGAAAACGTTAGTGAGCTACATATAGGTTTCTATATAAGCTCTATAACGCTGAACGCTCGACCCGCTTATTAGTTGCCGATTCAAGACAACGCGGGTGTTTGTGTTCTTGTATGTTATCTGAACCAACGTCAGAGTCCTGGTAGCCCTACTTTGTGGCCAAAAGAATCCAGTGAGAAAAATGTTCTCCGCGTTAAAGTTACGTCCTTTAGAAGTTGAACCACCAAAATGAAATCTCTCGCCGCCTGCAATAGCACCATGGTATCCTGTTTGAAAGTCCTCAGCCACGCTGCCAGCACTATTTGTCATCAGGTCACCGTCAGGCCTCATAAGCTCTATCTAACGAAAGACATAACATAACATAGTGATGTCGGCGCTGAAGTGTAGGCCTGATGTGGCATGTCGCCGATTCTTTTCCTTTTCGTGGCTTGTTCACAGAAGATCTAATATCGTATCATTTGACCGGATCTTTTCATGACTGACGATAGTTTGAAGTAGCTACTAGACTTCCACCGGGTTCGATAAGGAGCTAGGCATTTCAAATCTGAACATATATATTTCCATAGCTTTATCTAGTCTGTTCATGAACGCGTACATACTTGGAGCACCAACGATTCGTGGGCTATCCAAAAGAATCCAAGGAGAGTCAAGCTATGTCAGTACCAGAAGCAACAGCATCAGGGTTACGCAAATGTATAACAACATTTTTCACGTCCCTCTAATGTGGTTGCTTAGAATATTCATTTTTTTGTCTCATCCTTCCTTTACAAATAGAAACGTAATCTCGAGGTCAAAACGACAACTTTGTTATCATGTATCCAAGGAAAGCAAAAGCCATGGGTCGTACCCATGCTGCCCCTGTAAAAAATCTACGCATGGACAAACAATATTTCGAGAAATAATAAGGCACAATCAATAGATATAGAATCTATTCAACGTGATATCTCAGTTTTCGCTGTATCCATTGGAACTATTACATTCGGATACATTTTTTTCTTTCTGGGTAAATGAAGTTTTAAATTAACGATTAAAGTTTCATCTAAATTTTACCAGGTTCTGGTCGGCATCTTCTTAATTAATCTTTTGGCCACTGGAGTCATCCTACTCATCACGCTCCGTCACTACAGAAAGCCAATCAATTTCGAGTCCCTTACGTTCATTGTCGAGAGCCTTCGGTTTACCTTCAGTCAAAGTGGGTTGCATTTTATTTAGTTAAATATCTTATTTATCTTTGCTCTTAGTCGAATGAATTGAAACTAGATGGAGCTCTGTTTTTTTTTTGTGCATAGTTTCGTGGCGGTCTACCACTTAATATATCGAAGTATTGTCATATAGGCAATACTTCATCGTTGCTCTGGAAGAAACGTGTTTTTTATGAATTTAGTTTCATTCTGCCGATATATTTGATAGCACAGGTCAGGCCATAGATATAGTCTTATTTCGTTCATTTTTGTGTTATGATCTGTAAATCTTTTATAGGTGATAAAATAGGGGATAGACGAATTATTGTTCCATTTATTACATCAAGCACCAGGCTCTAATGTGACTGACATAAATAAGATCTTTGGATCAACAAAAATTCGTCTATTTCAACTTCAGAAAACGATTAAGATTATTTAAAACCATAACACTTTGAATACCGACAGTTTCACCTAAAGACCCAAAGCTGACCAGCGTCCGTGTGCTGACCATCCCAGTGGTGCTCGTGGTGCTCGTCGTCACGGCCACCTACAATGGAGCGATCACTTCCTATCTGGCCTTACCGCTATGGTGGGCCTCATATTCAACATTGTTAGGGTCATGTATCATTTTCAAGAAGGGTTTGTCTCACTACATCGCTAGAAACGGATATTTATATATCTTTTTTTAGGAAGGGACAACCTTGGTTTCATTGTTACGAAGGCACACCTCTGGATCATTGTTAGAAGGGGCACCTCTCCATCACTGTTAGGAAGGAAAACTTCATTATCATTGCCAAGGAATGGCAGATCTAAATCAATGTTAGGAGGAACACCTCTCTACCTTATTGCAGTTTGGTCACTCGACTCGCATGTCTTACCGGTTAACCGAACCACAAGGCGCTCGGAACAACCAAGCGTGTGCACATCACCCAACCACACGCACATCACCCCACCACACGCACATCACCCAACCACACGCACATCACCCCACCACACGCACATCACCCCACCACACGCACATCACCCTACATCACCTCACCACACGCACTTCACCCCAACACACGCACATCACCCCACCACACGCACATCACCTCACCACACGCACTTCACCCCAACACACGCCCATCAGACTTGTAGGGCCTCGTAACGCGCTTCTAGCAATCCCACATCATACAGATGCATTGATGTTTTCGAATGATTCACGTAACTTTCCTATTGTTTAAAAATATATGAAAGTCTTTGAAAATTCATAAGTGAAGCACCTTAGTTTCATATAAAACAATCTCTCCATAGGGTAAATTTTCTTATAAAAATCTGAGTATCGTGAGATTCCAGTCCCATTGAATGGGTTAGCGATACTGTTTTTCATCAGTTGCCTTCTCAGAAAAACAATCGAAGCGATAAGCAACCTACTTTCTCGCTGCACGAGAAGCTTTCAATGTGTTTTCTCACTTATAATACTTTCTTTTTAGCTTTTGATTAAAGAAAACTAATGATGTAAATATATAATTGTCTTAACAATTTCTATTTTTGCGCAGGTCTAAAACCATCGACACGGGCGTAGATCTCGCAAACTCGCCCACCATTCCTTTCGCCCGCCCCAGCACTTACACCTACCCTTTCTTTATGGTATGATATCTTTCAATGATTCGTTTTGTTAGACCTCTTGTGCAAACAGATCCATCTTCCTAGTATAATTCCTCTAAATTTGTGCAATTGATTAGCTCTTTAACCTGAATTTAACGCGTTGCTTTATGATGACATAATATAGGAATAGCGCAGCGAAAAAATATTGTGCGGCGATGGATCGATATGTCAAACCTATACGGTGTGCATTCGTAATATTATAAGTTTCACTCATTTCGTACGTTCAACACTTTACAAAAGTCTTCTAATCATACAGCTACCGTGCAAGGTTGAGTCAGTAAATAAAATGTAGCAAGTTCTTTGTTTCAGATGCAAGATAAACCACCTCTGAGTCAAATTAGGGATAAGCTACGAATGGTCGATGATTCTAAAGTGGATGAAGAATTCTTCGAAAAGGTTTCTGAAGGGAAGTACGCCCTTATAGGTGAGCTGAATTTGATAAGCCCATAATATCTGAAGATGGGCAGTAAATAATATTCACCCCCGACTTTTTGTATACATACTTACAGTATTAATTCAGTAATTGAATTGGAAATTAATTCCTCGTTCAAGTTTAGAGACTGGTCATAAAATTTCAGGTTCATGTATTCTCTTTGTATACTTTTGATTCTTTTCTATAAGATGATAGATAGATTTTAACCGGCGTTCCAATGAACAAATCAGTCCTACTATAAAATTTGATCAGCCAAGTGGTCCTAACGTTGACTATTACTTCTATCAACAATTCTTCAGCTCATCATTATTTCTTCCCTAGATACCTACTCGTCTGCAGTCGGTCGGTCCAACCTATACGAGAAGCGCAACCACGTTTGTCGTTTCTACGTCGGTTACGAGGAGTACGCGACTCGCCTCGACTCCTTCGGCTTGCAGCGCAACAGTCGCCTTACCTACCATGTGGACATCATGTGCGTGTGGTGATGTGCGTGTGGTGGGGTGATGTGCGTGTGGTGATGTGGTGATGTGCGTGTGGTGGTGGGGTGATGTGCGTGTGGTGGGGTGGTGATGTGCGTGGGGTGATGTGTGTGTGGTGGGGTGATGTGCGTGTAGTGATGTGCGTGTGGTGATGTGGTGTGGTGATGTGCGTGTGGTGATGTGGTGTGGTGATGTGCGTGTGGTGGTGTGCGTGGGGTGATGTGCGTGTGGTGGTGGGGTGATGTGCGTGTGNACTTTTGATTCTTTTCTATAAGATGATAGATAGATTTTAACCGGCGTTCCAATGAACAAATCAGTCCTACTATAAAATTTGATCAGCCAAGTGGTCCTAACGTTGACTATTACTTCTATCAACAATTCTTCAGCTCATCATTATTTCTTCCCTAGATACCTACTCGTCTGCAGTCGGTCGGTCCAACCTATACGAGAAGCGCAACCACGTTTGTCGTTTCTACGTCGGTTACGAGGAGTACGCGACTCGCCTGGACTCCTTCGGCTTGCAGCGCAACAGTCGCCTTACCTACCATGTGGACATCATGTGCGTGTGGTGATGTGCGTGTGGTGGGGTGATGTGCGTGTGGTGATGTGCGCGTGGTGGGGTGATGTGCGTGTGGTGAGGTGATGTGCGTGTGGTGGTGTGATGTGCGTGTGGTGATGTGCGTGTGGTGATGTGCGTGGGGTGGGGTGATGTGCGTGTGGTGGTGTGATGTGCGTGTGGTGGTGTGATGTGCGTGTGGTGGGGTGGTGATGTGCGTGTGGTGGTGGTGTGATGTGCGTGTGGTGGTGGTGTGATGTGCGTGTGGTGGTGGTGTGATGTGCGTGTGGTGGTGATGATGATTAAGTGACTGTCCATCATGTGTATGTGGTTTAGGTGGCCAAGTGTCCAACTAGTTAATGGAATAGAAATCAGTTCGTAAATATGAAACTGAAATGAAAATTTGTACTTCTATAGAGCCTTTATTGTGGGAGAATCCAAACAGTATCTTCGTAATGGTGGGATCTGATGTGATCTACGAAATGTGATTTTTATTTGCTAAAAGTGAAGCTTATTTAAGTGCAAGCCTTTGTTGGCATCCGTCAACTGAATTACCGTTGGACATATGCTTCCTTAGTATCCATAGTATTTGTTTGGGACATAGCAGTCCCAGGCCACGATGGATCGCCGCCTCTGATTATCGTTCATCCGCCCTCATTTGGGCCACCTGATGCACGATGCTGTTGCTTGCTTCTCGCCGCTGGTAGTGTTGCAGGGGAGGTCGATCTGGGATTGTGCTCAGGAACACGTCTAGCTGTCTCTTGAAGGTCTCCAGGGTGAACTCCCCCTCTCTTAGATCCCTTGGTAGGGCGTTGAACAGCCTTGGTCCTGCCACGGAGAGTGATCCTTCTCGCAGGGATTGAAATCTGACTGCGGATCTGTTACGCAGGGGAGGGATCTTGCACAGTCTCCCCCTTCTCTCGTTGTGATATGTCTGAATCTTGAAGGTCTCGCTCTCGAAGTTTGGCACCATTCCGGTTATCATTTTCCATGTGTACAGAATGACATACCTCTCCCGTCTCCTCTGCAGTGAGTACAAATTCAGTCGCTGTAACCTCCCCCAGTAGTTAAAATTCTCCATCCCTCTGATCCTGGAAGTAAAGGTTCGTTGGACTCCTTCCAGTTGCCGTATTGCGCCTAGTGTGAACGGAGTCCAGAGCTGGCAGCAGTATTCAAGGATAGGTATTACAAGGGCTCTGAAGAGTGTGATCATCGGTTCCGCTTCTCTCGTTCTGAACGTCCGCCAGATCCACCCCATCTGTTGTCTACCTTTTGCGGTTATTGCCGGTATGTGATCACCGAAATTGATCTGATTGTTCATCAACACTCCTAGATCGCGAACGAGTCGCTTCTCTTCGATTTCCGAGTTGTCAGGTGCCAGGTAGCGGTGATCCATTCCAGCTCTTCCGGTTCCTCTGTACCTCAGGACCTCAAACTTGGTCCCGTTGAACTGCATGTTGTTCACTAGGGCCCAGTCATATATTGCAGAGAGGTCTTCTTGTAACCTCTCACTGTCCGTCCTGTCCGTGATGGTCATTAATATCCTGGTGTCGTCCGCGAATGACGATGCAGTGGCGTGGTTCACTGCCACATCTATGTCGGCGATGTGGATGAGGAAAAGGATTGGGCCGAGTACCGTTCCCTGTGGTACTCCACTCTTCACCTTAGCCACGCTCGATCTCGAGCCTCCAACAACTACAGCTTGTAGTCTTTCTGTTAGGAAGCTGTGGATCCATGCCAGCAATTCACCTCCGACTCCCAGCAGTCTTAATTTTCTGAAGAGCACTCCATGGTCGACTTTTTCAAACGCTTTCGCGAAGTCCAAATACACCACGTCCACCCCGGCCCCCTCCTCCAGCATGGCCAGGATTTGGTGGTGATGCTCCAGTAACTGAGATAAACAGGAACGATTTCGTCTAAAACCGTGTTGCCTTCTGTTGAAAAGGTCAGCGTCTTCCATGTACTGCACCAACCTTCTGGCAACAACCTTCTCAAATACTTTGATTACTTGTGATGTTAATGTAACCGGCCTGTAATTTTGGGGTTTCCCTTCTACTTTCTTCAGCAGCAACGCGTTCTTCATCAGAAACATCAATTATCCAATCTAAAAGAGATCATCACAACGTTACCATAACAAATATCATATTCTGAATTTCAAAAGCTATCACCTCATAAAGATTCTGAAATATTTACTCAGTATCAGAAGCCATAACCTATAACCACACTTGCATCATCACGGCACGATCCAGAAATGAGGCTTACTTAAAATCCTTGTATTTTGCGTGCAGAATACAGCGCCTACGCAGCTTCGGCATCACGAGTTACTTGCGAAGGATCGCGTATAAAGTTCCGTGCGATCTGCACCCCAGCCTCAGCGAGCTCGCCCCGCTCAATCTATCCCAGGTCTTGCACATTCCATTTAGAATTAAAATATTTTACCGTAGGAACTGGAATGATCGAAAGTCTATGTTTACTAAGTGCTAAGTTTGTTTAGTAAATATGGTTGCGTTTGTAAATTTGCTTGATGTTTGGATATATGTAAATTATTTTACTAGATAGAATTGTATATTATATTTGGCACTTGGCTTTTTTATAGTTTCGTTTCAATGTGATGAAAATCATGTGAAGACTCGGTTCAGACTTGCACAATGATTATCTCAACACTTCTGACAGATTTGCCTATTGATTATCGCAACACTTCTTAGAGATTTGTATAATGATTATATCAACACTTGATAGAGATTAACATTATGATTATCTCAACACTTCTTAGAGATTTGCAAAATAATTATCTCGACACTTCTTACAGATTTGCATTCTGATTTTCTCAATACTTCTTAGAGATTTGCATTATGATTATCTCAACACTTGGTAGAGATTAACATTATTATTATTTCAATACGATCATATTACTCCCATTATAACCTCTCACTATTTCCTGCATTCCCTATACTGCGGGTTCATCACAATACATAATATTTCAGTACGAGGGCCTGATGTACGTGTTCTGCATCGCTTTGGGCGCCAGCTTCGTCGTTTTCCTCTTGGAGCTCACGCTGCACAAGTTCAGAACCCCCACGCTGACGCCCGTAACCGTGCTGCAAGTTAACCATCAGGATTACGGTGGTGCTTAGAAATGTTCATCTTTTCCCACGCGCACGCCCGTAACCGTGTTGCAAGTTAACCATCAGGATTACGGTGGTGCTTAGAAATGTTCATCTTTTCCCACGCGCATGCCCGTAAGTTCGTAACCGTGCTGCAGGTTAACCATCAGGATTACAGTGGTGCTTAGAACTGTTCATCTTTTCCCGCGTGTACGCCCGTAACCGTGCTGCAGGTTCCATCAGGATTACGGTGGTGCTTAGAACTTTCCCACGCTGACGCCCGTAACCGTGCTGCAGGTTAACAACCATCAGTATTACGGTGGCCGATATTGCTTAGACCAATATTGTTGATCTGTACCTCACAACAAAACCAAACTGAGAGCTGATGGGTTCCTCCAATATCCCCTTAACTGAACGTAACTTGGCCGCAATTGCTATCGCCATTTTTAGTCTCTCCTCGTCTTTAAATTTTCCCTTCCTCTTCCTTGCCACTCAGTTTCACCGACTTGATGTTTCACCGTACATCGGGACTTGATGTTTCATCGTACATCGGGACTTGATGTTTCACCGTACATCGGGACTTGATGTTTCACTGTACATCGGGACCTGATGTTTCACCGTACATCGGGACTTGATGTTTCACTGTACATCGGAACCTGATGTTTCACCGTACATCGGGACTTGATGTTTCACCGTACATCGGGACCTGATGTTTCACCGTACATCGGGACTTGATGTTTCACCGTACAACGGGACTTGATGTTTCACTGTACAACGGGACTTGATGTTTCACTGTACATTGGGACTTGATGTTTCACCGCACATCGGGACTTGATGTTTCACCGTACATCGGGACTTGATGTTTCATCGTACATCGGGACTTGATGTTTCACCGTACATCGGACTTGATGTTTCACCGTACATCGGACTTGATGTTTCACGTGATGCATGTGGCGACTGACCAGTTGAAGGTATGGAGGACGCACTTCGTAGGTAGTCAGCTCCTAATAGCTCACAGACGAGGTAGCCTGCGTATCACGATAGTTACCTTCCTCGGCGACTTCAAGTAGGAGTTCCTCTGAGATTTGACGATTACAGGCTACGGTACACTATGTCGGGCTGAGTGGTGAACGCTGCCACCTCATGATTGAGAATCGTTTGTAAACGTGAAGCAGGTTAACCGTCAGGAACAGAGTGGCGCTTGGAACTGTCCATCACGACCCGATTGGTTACTTCTTCCCCCGTTTTTCTCATTTCCCCAATAGACCGTAATTTAGTCGCAAGCTATCGCCATTTTTCATATCCATTCAATTTCGCATACCGCTTACTGGTCACTAGGTACCACATCTTCTCCCGCTATCGCTAGTGGCATCCACACACTAGCATAACGTCCAAGATGTACGCCCATTTAAGACTGATGATTGAGTCCTGTGTACAAGGAACCCATTGAACTCCTGTAATAAATGTTTGCATGCCGATTGCTTTCCGTTCCGTTTCGCCGTAATGTACGAATATCTGACAATTTCCTCTGGCATACCCTTACATTTTCTCACCTTCATTTGCTTTTTATTCCTTCATGGACATTTTCAAAAATATGGCAGATTTTGCTCGTATAGAAAGCATTTGATACCATACGGTATGAATTATTTTCAAACTTGTGAAACTTGAAAAATATACAAAAGCATGTCTGCAAGATTTCTAATCATTTTACATGTAGTCTGTACATCGGCAGCTACTTCTTAGTGCTCTATTATTCCTGAGCGGCAGGATAATGATGGACATTTTAATTCATATATTTCAGATACTGGTAGAGTACAGGGCCCTCACATAGCACGTGATGTAGATCGCAGAATCAACTGAAAACAATGTTATGTTTGATATTTGACAGTCATTGCAAGATGTATACATCTGCATATTACGATTCAATAGTTGACACAAATTTTTCGGTTGAATACATCCAGATTTAAATGAACAAATTTTCATTTATACAATTTTCCGGTTCAACATTACGGAGAGGAGCGTGGAAAAAGTTGAATCGAACTTAGCGGTCATGAAGAAAATTGTGCAATAGGTCGGTCATTTAATATGAAACTTCCTGAAAAACTTGCTCAAGTCCATTTGCAGATCCAAAAGATCACGGCACCGAATTGCACTGGCATAAATAGTTGCAGTATTCGTTATAATAGTTTCAACATGTACGACATCGACTTAACGTGCAACTGGCAGAATAAGAGCGTAGCGCATGATTGATAACCTTCGAAAAAACTACACTCGTAGATTTCAAAACATTAATGTTTGCGAATATAAGGTAAATAGTGAGCTATTTGTTGTATAGATTGATAACAAGCAGTGAATCGGCAAATCAGCGATAATGTAATCACAAATCAAGCAAAGTAAATACTGTCAAGGCCGAGAGAATTTAGAATGAAAGTTAATTCCAATTTACGTCAGTTTTACGAATAATTCTGCTACTAAGTACTGGTTTGTCGTCCAAGGATATTCAGCCTGTCCACCTTCATGTTCAAGGAAAATAATTTCACTCTAACAGTTAATACGCATATTATTTCAAACAAAACTAGGCAGTACACACCTCGACTCGAGAGTGGATCTTCTCACACTTCAAGAGGATTTTTTTTTAGTTGTTCACTCGTAGATATTCTAGAAGTTCATGAATAGTAAATTATACTTTAAATAGGGGTTTTCAACGCAAATGGAATAGGAATAAGGTAATTCAAATGTGTAGTTTTGAAAATGCTATACGGTACTTGATAACTTCAAAGCCTCCCACCATTTCCCGTAAACGTTCGTCATGACCAGCAAATCGTAATACTTGACAGATTTCATCTTGAAATTGTAAATAGATAGGCCTGTCTCCTCATTTGTATCTGTTTTTATTTTGTCAATTTATGTTTTTATCTTCGATGTGAATTTAGTTTTCTAATTTATTCTGATTTTCTTATAGGTTTTGAACTTTTGAACTGACGATGGAGCTGGACTTCGAAACGTTTTCATTCTTAAGAAATGGTTAATATCCTGGCTGTTTTCTTTGCTTTTAAATTCCTGGTAAACTTGCTACTTAAGCAATCTAGTAATTTTTGACAGATTCAATAGCAATATGATTATTTCCTATGTCTTATACTAAACTCGTATATTAAATTTTCTTGAGAATAGATATGAACGCAAATACTACATAAAACACACACAATTACAGAAAATGCATTAGCATCACACACTTTACATTAGAATTAACATCACATTGAGGTTATATTAAAGTTTACATTGTACTCGCTAAAAACACGGCGTCACTAACACGGAGCTCGAAATATTACACTTATCATACCTAAAATAAGTTCTCTTAAAAGGAGACCTCTGCAGAATTATTCTATGACTGTCATCGGTGATACAATGATTTCGAAGACACCACGAAATTTCAATAATATGATAGGCACAATAATCCGAATTATGCTTGCAGATGATGCAAATACTTTGGAAAATGATTGTGAACATAACCGTCGTGTTTTATATAGTCATTTTTCATGATACACAATTACCTTCAGTGAGAGAGGGCGTTTATTGAACTCCTCATCATACACCATAATTAGATTAATTCTTTTTACCTGGAAAACATGAAATGATCACTAGTAAGTTTACTGACGGAAAAAACACAGATCGCATAACTACTAAAAGTTAAAGACAAGACCTGCTTGTGCAGAAAGACACGAGCCAAGATACAACATTGACGACATAATACACTGAACACACATCACTTTAGGTAGAGAAAAGGAAATGTTTTGGTCACACATTGCTATGAACGAGAACTGGACGTCACTCCTAAAAAAAAAGTTGCTGATCCAAAACCTACACATTGCTATGAACGAAAACTGGAAAAAAAGTTGCTAATTCCAAAACGTGTGTATGTGGAAAACCATCACAAAGGATCTTTGCAGTAAGTACCCCGACGAAATGAACTTAATAAAAAAGAACTCGTGTGGCCATGCAATAGACGTACCAAGGCATAAATATACCAGATATTGTCAATACTTTAAATCCCCCTTAAATGTTATGAGACATCAAGAATTCGACAACGTACCTAATTTGAGAAGGGATGACTAACGTTTAGATACATTCTAATTACGCCAATAATCTCAAGCATTGCTTCCTACCTAGACGAGGAAAATTTTTCTGCGTATCACAGCACCATATCTCTACTCAACACTACCTACCACTCTACACTCTAGTTACCAACACTGCATTAACTAGTTAGCTACTGTGCATGTACCTAGCTAGATAATGTGCATATAACTAGTTAGCTAACTAGTTAACTACGGTCAATATTTGTGTGTAAACACGCAAGTCCGCTCAATTTAAGTATTGGGACGACTCGTTTTCAGGCAGCCACCAAGAAAATCAGCATCTGGTAGTTAAGCTAAAAAAATTCGCGTAGAAAGTTCATCTATTATTTGATAAGCTTATATAAAAAAGGACATCATTCGTATCTTCATCTCGTTCAAGGATAAGATAGAATAACTTTCTATGAGATTAACAATGAGCTTAAAAAAATCATCAAACAAGCTTGCTTGATATGTAGCGCCAAAGCTCACGGAAATGACAACTTAAATAACAAAAAAAAAAAACAATCAAAAAATACTTAAGAGTTATAATATAGAGATAAAAACGCGAATCATGAAGCTGAAGAAAATTTCCAAACTCTAGGCATATAAATCGAGATATTAGCGAACCAGTAATGTACGTACACCAGGTAAATGCTGCACTAGGTCCTTGGTCCTTTCCGGTGACATTTTCGTGCAGCTAGCGAGCGAACAATGCACCATATATTGTTGGGAGTTCGTCGGTGTTGAATTTCAAACTTAATTAACATTTAATTAACACAATATCATGATAATATAAAAATCATGCAGTAAATAAAGTTATTATCAGCGGTTGGACACACAATTGTGATCAAGAGCAACCAAATTTTTGATGCACATTACACACTCGTCTTTGATGTCAAACTTTTCTATCCTTGGTTAGTTTTAGTTCTAGTCCACGCTGGAGCGCCACCTCCAACAACACTTATTTCAGAAAAAGAACCTGCACCAGAAATCAAGTGGACGAAACGAATAAGATTTTATTGTTCTTCAATGAACTGCATGAAAGTAGTGATGAAGTACGTAGAGATCAGGTATAGGTGTTTAAGATTAAGAGATTAATTGATAAAAAGTTAGATAAAAATATGAAGCTAAAATCATTACGAATGATCAAAGAAACCATACAAATACATATACTATACTATTTTCCAGAATATATAGATTTAATGTCGCAAATATAAATAAGAAGGACGGAAACAGAACACGAGAAACAAAATTAAATAAAGTTACAAATAACAGGCCTACAATAAATCGCATGTAGCGTAAAAGTCACAGCAGGAAAAATTGCTCATTAGATGACTTGTAAATGCATGTATGAAATCCAATTCAGAATTTATGCAGAATGCAGTTAATCAAATAGAGTGCAATAATGCAAATAATCGAACAAAGTGGGCGAGTGCACACATTTCGTGTCCAAAAGCTTAAGGTGCTTGTACACGGGGATAGTACTAGCGGCTAGTAGATCAGAAAATTGCCAAATTTCAGCCGCTTGGTGTCTAAGGTTCCTTGCGGGATAGACACCAAGCGGCAGACATTTGGCAATTTTATGATCTACTAGCCGCTAGTACTAGCCCCGTGTACAAGCACCTTTAGTAAGAATATTTACTGTCGAGAGAAAGGGTTAAGCTTAATCCAACATAGCCATCACTTGTGGAAAATTATCAGAACATATCAGCCTGCAGCCTGGGTCTCATAACATAAGAGGTTCGGGGACCGACCTGGGCCTATACTTTCAAAAAAAGTTAAGAGATCGTAAGTTCATCAGCCAATCATTGACGGCCTTTCAAGCCAAATCCACCAATCATAGACAAGAAAATAGAGCGTAAGTACTTACGTTCACTTAGCGAGTTTTGAAAGTATGGGCCCTGGTTGCAGAGTCTAGCGAACAGAGTTTACCTGAAGGATGGACGTCAGTTCCTAAAAAAATGTGGAGTTTGAATACCTGAAGTATTATGTATAACTGGCACTATCAACATAATTCAAGCCAAATAATATTCAACAAGTTATGATGCAAGGAATTTATGGGCGGCATCTCTTACGTCGCTCGTAGAAAATCATCAATCTACATTTATCAATGAAAATTACTCGTAACATTGACTTATAACAATACCAGCTAAGAAATTCAATTTAGGATTTAAGAGTTTCATTCTATCATCACATTAACACGTTCGATAAAAATAAATTTTTAAGCGCTTTGAAATACATCGAAGTGTCTTAACTACGGTACAAGCCTAGTTTCTAGCTAAAACAAGAAAATTATGCCAGTCTGGGGCGACTCGTGAAGTCTCCCCAGATGATAGCAATAAGTACATACATTGACGATGGAAAAGATCACATTCAGAGGATTAGAAGCTAAGATAGCAAAAAAGTAGCAAAGAATGCAGTTGTAGCTTGAACATAAATTTGCAGTGTTACAAAGTGACATGATTTCCACCGAGAGTTTTCTTTAAAAGGCTTAGGATTACTTTATACTTAAATACATGGTGGCAAACAATTAAGCTACTACGATATTTTTTTTCTCACAATAAAATTCTCTACGATTTACGAAGTCAAGACAACATTAAATACTTTTTCCAGAAGAAAAATCAAGGCTCCCAAAATTGAATAGATTCAAATAAAATCCTGAAGTAAATAACTACATTCGATCAGACAGGCCTATTTATGACATATATGACAAGCAGCAACTACTATATCTCTTTGTTATAGCGTTATCACCGTCCGCTCCATAGATGTTAATATCACATCACACATGTCAAGTGTTTACACATGTAACGGTTCTCTCAACTTATAGCCTCAGAACATGGAGCGCACACAAACACGGTATTGCTTTCCTGGGGCCGGATTATCAAAGCTTCGTAACTTTTTGTACTTACGACAAAAAAGTTCTGTGGTACGTAAATACACCCTAATTTTGGCATTATCAAAACTTTCGTACGCAAGTCTTAGCTAAAAGCCTAAATTTTTTCCCGCGCAAATGTTTTTATAATTCCACCTTTAGTATTACGTTGTCATAGCAACGCCACTCGTAAGTCGATTTTGCGTACCTACGAAGTTTTGATAATACGGCCCCAGATCTAAGAAATGGTCAGAGGCAAGAGTGTCGTAGCAGACGATTTGAGCTTAGCGAGGGAAGACCTATGTAAGACGACACTTGGATCCCACCACGAAATTACACATTGTAACTTACAGAAGGTAGCATTCCAACGCGCACAAAAAGGTTTATTATTGATTAAATATGGAAGGTATTTATCATCTTTGAGTTCAGGTTCAATATTTGAGTTTAGGGTTATAAGGAATAACTCATCACATGGATCGTTACTGGGAAGAATGGTGGTGTAGGTGAGAGAGATCAAGAATTACAACAAAAAAAAAAGCACAGCAAGTTAGATTATTACATAAATATTAATCATTACAAGCGATCAAATGGACCGAGGTAGAACTAAGTGTAAGGTATCCGTAAAATCCATCACAGTAATGCAACAGGGTATGGTACAAATTCGAGACACCATCTTGGTAATCGCACGCACAAGTAAAGTTACTTGAAAGGAACAATTTCATCGCACTCTTGCTGTACTGACTTCAGCTCTACGAGTTAAGGAAATCTCTAAATGAAAAGCTCGACTCATTAGAAGAAATGCGAAAATTAGAGCGAGTTCATTACCCGAAAAAAATTATCAGGATTAGACACAGCTAGATAATCAACTTTGGTTTTACTGTTATCACCTTGTTTGAATGTAAGTATAACCAATACATTTTCATAATACTTGACGATCATAATTTTCTAGCAAATACGTTAGAGAGAAATGTAAGAGTTCTATGCTGAATTATCAATACGATACTCTAACAAAGCAAGATGAATATATTTATATGGCAAGCCACAAAAGCAAGTAGAATAAAAGACATTAACAATAATAAGAAGTAGGTACAATAAAGGGATTTATGATCGAAGATTGAAATCTTTGGCAGGACAATTAATCAACATAGAAGAAAAACACAAAGCACACAAAAATATAAGGCATTACACGATGACATTTTAAACTTTATATAATGATATAATGTATATTTCTCTGCTTAAGATATTCAGGGATGACTTATTCTACAGTAACTAATCAAGTACTACAAATTGCTTATACAACACACTTCTAAAGATATATGTCAGAGAAGAAGGAGGACCTTACAACGTGTAGAACATCACAAACTTTGTCAAGTTTTAACAACCTTCAGATACATTTACCAGCGTATACAAACCTATACCATTGTTATTGGTCAACTGTTTAACTAATGTTAGCCTCACATAGATCTAAGTGAATACAGGTGACTGGTATATGCAAGAAATGAAACTAATCGCATATGCGATTTATAAAATCAATGCAGAACGCAAGGTGATCGAAATACCGTGAATACGTGCAAAAAAAGGCTAGGAGACGCTGCTTTTTTAAAAGAATCATGGCTTGTTACCTTCCCTGTGGCTGAAATGTACCATCATAGGCTCTCGTTTCTAGCATAGACAATTCAGGCATACTAGTTGCAATGCTCGTGGTTGGCTAGAAACTCTTTGGCATTACCAAATCCTCCGCAGCAAAACTCATAGCCTTCAGTGACGAGAAATTCTTCAGTGCACTCCAATTGACCGTCATAGATCACAGGGTCTCTTATGTTCAAAGTTCCGTTGGTGCCGCTGCTGCACGCCATAGCACTATTGCTGTCGTTGCAATTCTTGTCGTCGTCACCATCAGTTTGGTTAGCACCATTTGTGTTACGGCAAGTCTTGTGGCTGTCCTCATCATTTTTATTACCATTGTGGTTTCCGCGAAATCTTGCACCATTTTTGCTGCAGCCAATTTTCTCACAACTGCTAGCTGAAGTTGAGGCAGAGGAAGTGCTGGTGCTCGAGTGGATACAAGGACACGTGGCATGGATACAGGAGCCTACAGGAGCATGGATACGAGATCCGGTGGCAGGGTCTCCTATGATGGTATGTGGACAGACATGCCGCAGACCGTTTCTCGAACGTGCGTCGTAGGCGCTGAACGACACGTCGCTGCCAAGCACGTCTTTAACCTGCCCATGTAAACAACTGGTGAAGTTTATTCAGATCTTTTTGCAACTCAACATTTATGGATCTAATTAATCATTGATGTCCATTTCATACCTTTTAGTAAAAGTTTGAGATGTTTTATGGGAGTAATATTACTTTGTAGCCTACTTAATGAGCTTGAATCCTTCACAGAACTACCTATTGCCAGAAAAGTTGTAAATACAAATTTACAAACAATAACAAGCAGAAGAAATTGTTGAGAAATTCAAACTTCATTTAATGAATGAATGCATCACATGAATACTACAGTGTACGCCAAATTAGAATCACACTGAGGTAGGGCCATAACATTTGAGAGGACGGGCCAACCACGAATGAAAAACTTTGCTTGACAATTAAAAATATTGCTCTCTTTGTGTTCACTGCATTCTTAGTTCTCAATTTTCTGGCGAAATGAAGATGTAGGTACCTTAGTGAGAGGGAAGGTCGTAATGAAGAAAGTGGCGATGGCGCAGAACGTTTTGGCCACCAGAGGGATACACAAAGACTGGTGCACGAGAGCAAAGAGGCGGTAGTTGGGGCCGTAGAAAGGATCACTGATAGCCGGGCACAGCATGTTGTTCAGGTTCACTTCAGACAACTGTGGTGGTAGGACACACTCACTTGAACAATTCTTTTCATTCCAAAATGCTTACATTCCAAATGATATTAAATACTCAAAAACTTTTATTACTTAAAAGATTTGTTTTACCTATTTTCATCTTAAGATGCTTGAAATGCCCTGAGAATTCTCTCATTCACAGATTTATTAGAAAGGTAATATAAGTTTCCATATAATATAGAAAAATGACTACTATTACTGATCCCCAGTGAGGGGTGTAAAACAATTCAGATCAAGCAATTACACAAAAGAAATTTTTATACAAATAGCCAGGCTACTCACGAGACCGATGGCCTGGAGCGGCAGGAAGTGGTAGAGGAAGATGATGCCCGTAGACAAACTGGTCCAACTCATGTCTTGCAGGTCCTCTATTGTGTATACTCCTGCACAATAAGTCTACATGATGAATCATGTCTTGCAGGTCCTCTATTGTGTATACTCCTGCACAATAAGTCTGTATGATGAATCATGTCTTGCAGGTCCTCTATTGTGTATACTACTCTTGTACAATAAGTCTATATGATGCATCATGTCTTGCAGGTCCTCTATTGTGTATACTCATGCACAATAATTATATATGATGAATCATGTCTTGCAGGTCCTCGATTGTGTATACTACTCCTGCATGATAAAAATTTAAATAAATAAAACAACTAATATCAATAGATTACAATCTTAATTTAATCCAAAAAATTCTAAGCACAAAATAGGGTTATCACAGTTAGTCTATTAGGATACCCCTTGCATGATAGTGAAATTCAAGAATGCGTTACTGATTTCTGAAGAAAACCCTTATATATTTGTTCGGGATCTTCCAAGTATTGTAGCAGAATATCAAAATTGGTTGTGTAAGCCTGTTAGGCAATGAAATCATTTAATTATCAATAAATACCCGACAGGCTAACATTAATGAGTGATTGTTGCATATTTCTTCCAAAACTGTACATGGATCTTGACATTAATTGAATAAAAAATATTTTCAGAGGAAGAAACTGTTAATGCAACGTTTTTAGGATAAGGATTGCGGAGTTATATGTAATGCGGAAATGAGATAAATTGACTACAATGCATTCCATAACTTTTTATGCAATAGAGGTGTTAATAAAACTTTGAAGATAACGAGATCAGACTAGTTCCAAACAATGCATGAACAAGACCTCAAATCTCAATTTGCAAGCTAATCATGAAATGACATGTTAGTGACTGGTATATATACGGTTTCTACATTTGATAAAATACAGGAAACTGCAGATTAAAATACCAGAAAAACTACATAGAATACCAGAAATATTTATTCGTATCATTACATATTTTTTTAATAAAGGATAACAGTTTGCCACAACGTCTTAAGGAATTACCGTCAATATCCATTTAAAAATGCTGCTGTACCTTTTGAATCACCAGTATCACCTATAATAGCATGCGTCACATCGACCACAACAGTCTCATCATTATCACTCAAAAATGTGCATCGAAGTGATAGGACATCCTACAGTAAATGGGATGTAATATACTTTAGTCCACATATTATTTTCATTAGCTATTATTTAATGATCAATATTCTATGTTCATCACATATTCAAAGATATCATATTCCATAGTGCAGTGGTGTGGTCATTGTATCATTATATGTCACTGCACCATGCATTCTTCCCCCTCACCCGTTCTCCATACTTCCTAGGCTCAATAATGTAAATCTTTAAATGTCAGATCAGGGCTAATGCATGTACTTGTCTTGCTTTGTCCTCTTTTATCTTTAATTGATTTAAAAAAAAGTTATACAGTGTATTTGATCCTGCAGCATGCCTTGCTTGATCCTGCTGCATGTCTTGCTTGATCCTGCTGCATGTCTTGCTTGATCCTGCAGCATGTCTTGCTTGATCCTGCAGCCCGTAGATTACCTGCCTACTTGTGCCCCATTACGGGTGACTTGCGGCGTTTGCTTAAAAAGGTTTTGATGATCCCACACTTTTACTTGTCAATGCATTTGTCACATGTTAGAATTTTGTCATCATATTTTTGTCAATGCAATGTTTGCTTCCTATTGTATTATGCTACATCCTCCATCATGTATCACTTGCACACCTATCATCCCCTCAAGCCAGTTCCTGCTATCTGTATGTCTGTTCAGTCGTAGTGCAGCAAGAGTTGACTAAAAAAACTAGAGACAAGACCAAGTTCAAGGACGTTTCTCACCCCAACTATTTAGTCTCTAGTAAGACAAGAATGCTTCTAATGATGCCACACCACTACAATTCCTGTTGGCATATCAAAGTCCAATGCCTGACATACAAATATTGTTTGAAAAGATCCGCATAATGTTCACAAGTTATTTCTTAATATGTACTTCATAAAAGAAGCATTACCAAAAGTCACTCAGCTATTGCAGCGAGGCAAAATAAATAAAGATCCACAAAATAAAGATCCACATAATGTTCACAAGTTTTTATCTTAATATGTACTTTGTAAAAGAAGCATTACCAAAAAATCACTCAGCTATTGCAGCGAGGCAAAATAAATAAAGATCCACAAAATAAAGATCCACATAATGTTCACAAGTTTTTTTCTTAATATGTACTTTGTAAAAGAAGCATTGCCAAAAATCACTCAGCTATTGCAGCGTGGCAAAATAATCATGCACTTGAACTAACCTCCGAGCCGCAGGAGATAATAAGGTGTGACAAGCATGAGCGTGTGCTGCAGCCAATACAATTCTTCTTCAAATGGCAACTGGGAAAAAATATACATAAGAAGGTAAGCAATGTAACTCTGAGTTTTTACTGCAGCTAGCTAGTGCAATAGTCGGCTTCAAACAAAAGATGGCACAAGACTTAACCAAATCATTATAAAAAATCTTTAATCAGTATAAAAAATCATCCAAGCTGCAAGAAGTATATACATGATAAACCCCTAGTGAGTTGAAAGAAATAGAGTTCTACAAATTTCATGAATTGTAATTATGCATATTAATGAATCAAAAGGATAAAAATTTAGTAGGTACAGTATTCTCTCTATATTTTTAAACTTGAATATACTGAGAAGAATACCTACCTAGCTTTCTTTATGAATTATCAGATATTGTTGAGAATTTTATGCTACATCATGCATTTATGGAGAGACAATTTTTGTGCTCCTCTTTGAAAAGTGAAATTTCAGATATACTAAAAGAATATTATGAATCATAAAATTCCAATTGCATAAATGCCATACTTTCCCCATCAAAAAAATTGATGAGTGGAATCTAATTGAAGATCTACTTTTTACGTAGTAAATAATGTAAAGCATTGAAATTACTTTTTTACATATCATTTTTGCAATGTGAACATACTTATTCATAAGAAGAATAGGACCAAATTAAAAACATACGGTATATAGTTAAGACATTGTTGGTAATGTTCCAACTATCTAATTTAGAAGCAGAAGTGGTTCATGAGGTGATATTTATAGAATGTAAGATGTAAATGAGCTGCACAGAATTCCTGAAGTAATCTGAAAAGAATTTTATACTAAGTGATGATTTATTCTTGTAATTGTTTATTTGAACTGAGGAAAAAATTGATATTGCTCATGAAATTTGGGAAAATTCTGTAATGAATCTGTTTAATACTTATAGGTATTAAACATACGTTAAAACGTATCAAACGTATGTTTAATACTTATAGGTATATAGGTACTGTACATAACATGCGATCTCTGCAGTTCAAAGAGTAGCCATAAAAAATAAATCCTAAATGAATTTTCTCATCCAAATTTTCAATGAATATTGCATTTTATCCCCAGGATAAATATATGCAAGAACAACTCAGTTTCTAAGATCATGCCAAACAAGCTTGTGCATTAATTAACTATTTTAAAATCAAATTGAGTACGTAGCAAAATATGAAATATCTCAAAATCTATTTTCCAATTCCACACATAGAACCATCCAAAAAGGCATTATTAAGCATTTGTCAGTACGGTATATACACTAAGTCACTAATGGCATTCATCCCATTTTCATAAGTTGAATGTATGTAACATTAAAACTGCTAAATCCCCAAATACTATGAGATATACCGGTATAATCATTCTACTCCAAGGAAGTATTACTGTAGTGCAGAAGAGCAGCTTTCAAAAGCCTATTAAATACAGTAAATGTAATTTTGTTAGCAAAAATCAACCCTAACAACCTAATTCAGCCCAAATATAGAAGTCCCTAGACTGCACCACCTCACCACTCGAGTGTTTGTGACAGGGAAGAGAATGGCCAGGATGGCACCATTGAGGTAGTTCAGGTGGATGCGGAACATGATAGTCACAAAACGACTGGGAGGAGCAGCCAAAAGATATATCTGCAATCATGATCAATGTTTAGCTCCATGTATTGAAATTCAGATTCACTCATAAATCTTAATTTCAATTCAAAGAAGGAAAGAATTTGAACAACAAATGCCAAGATAAATTATGATTATTACAACAAAGCGTCTTTCTTATAGAGCCAGATTACAAGCCTTGATTCACAGTTTTTGCAGTTTTTAATGAAAAAAATGAATTTTTTGGACATCTTGGAACCTAATACTATAACCAAAATTACAAATATATTGAGAAAAGTATATATATATAATCTTTGGGAATCGAGGCAATCAACATTTTGCTAACAGACTGAAGTTTGATTGGAGAAATCAAAAGGGTCATCAAGCAAAATTCTTCTTAAATTATCCTAGTTAACTTTTTGTTCAAGAGCACAGAGAAATGTAGGAGTTTCACTTTTACTTACCTGCAAAGCAGTGGTAATGTGGCAAGGATTTAATAAATATATCAATTGCTTAGATGCAAACTTGAAGCCAATTTCCATGCCAAAGACCATAGACACTACAACCAACAGCAGCCTCTTGCCACCACGATCTTTCCTGGAATTTACAAAATATTTCAAAGCTGGGATAAATATAAAAGCAAATAACATATTGATCAGAAAATGATTTTTTAATCAGAAAATTTGGAACAGCACTAAAATCAAATACTCAATCTCCTCAAATGTTAGCAATACATTTTCTTCTGCACTGAATATCATAAAATTCTAAAATGTATACAAAAAGTTTCAAAATATATATAAGAGCAACAATTATTGGAATTTACAAAATATTTGAAAGCTGGGATAAATATAAAAGCAAATAACATGTTAATCAGAAAATGATTTTTTAATCAGAAAATTTGGAACAGCACTAAAATCAAATACTCAATCTCCTCAAATGTTTGCAATACATTTTCTTCTGCACTGAATATCATAAAATTCTAAAATGTATACAAAAAGTTTTAAAATATATATAAGAGCAACAATTATTACCTGACAAAATGTAAAGTGGGAGGCATTGAGAGACAGCGCAAGCCCCACCAAGTGTAGAAAATAGATAGGATAGATGCAAGTGTTGTCTCAAATATTCTTCGCTCGACACTGGAGAAGGAAGCACACAAAGGGCCTCCATTGCCAGGTAAGCTGCTATTGACTCCACCATAACTCCAGTCTAATGAAGTTGCCAATGTGTAACGAGAAATGTCTGGCATTCTTTACCACTTGCAGTCATTTATTGTCTGAAAAGCTAGAAAAAGTATAAATAAATTCCAGACATACGGTATATTCCAGATGCTTTTATTTTCAGATGAGAAATTTATCAGTAAAAAAAATTATTTACCAAATACTAATAACGAATCACAATGCACAATTTTTGGCTCAAGCTTCAAGTTTGGACTTGAAGTAAAAAATCATGTGTTCCAAAAATTTCAAGTCAAGTATCAAGTGGACAATCTGACTGTTGAGTAGGATCTTTTAGGTCCAGATATGGTATTTTTGAAGCTTTCAAACATGTCATGGATATAAACCTTAAATTGAATTGGTGCCCATATTTAGTTACAGCTTGTATTGCTCACAAATTTCTGCCATGTCTGTATCTATCAAGTGCCATGTTAATAAATTGCAATTTATAAAGTGGTGGTGACGTGTATGGCATTTTATAGAAGTGGAGTAATACCAACTACTTTCTGCCTACTACTAATTCCAAGCTGTGTCAGAATTTGTTTTTATGTGTCTAAAACTGTCTCTTAACTTATTCATCTATTAATTTTTTTACCACTTGAAATCAGCAAATACAAGTATCCTTAAAGGATTCCTAATATATTCACACATATTTAAAAGTCTCAAACCATAATATTCTTTCTACACAAACAGTTTATCACTATTTGGTAGAGCAAGGTCAACATCAACTTTGACACATTTTTCGATGTTCTCACTGGGTGACACACACTGTCTCTCTTTGGATCTCAACATTTTTCCCGCCAGACGGCCCAGACCTAGTGTTTTGGCAATAGTATGGCACGCAAAAGTATAACGTCACTATTTAAACCATCAACAAATGCAGGGAACTAAAAAAAAGCTTAATGTAAAGGAAAAAAGTCGAGAAGTGTCAGAATTACCCACAATGTCAGAATATACCGCATTTACCTAAATGTTTTGAAGATCGCGCATAGTTACAATCATGTCAAAGCGGTCAGCCTGCATTAACATGTGCTCAACTTACAGTAAAGACAAATTTTATTGTTGCCATAATGCCATTTGACTGTTTTAGGGTAAAATTAGAGATTTGGGGCATAGTGGCAAAGCAGAGAGTTTTTTTTTAGACTCTACCTCAAGTTCATTTTTGAGTCCTATAAGTAGACAAGTAAAGTACTACTTATCATTCATGGATACCAGCATTATCATACATAAGAAATTGGTTCAAATCTTGAGTAAATGAGGAAATTAAAAATGAACTGATTCTAAAAAATCTCTGCTTTGCCACCATGATTTGGGGTAACACATGCATGGACTTTATAAATAAATTTGCGCCTCGTAAATGGCTTTTCATGGCCGAGATATGGAATTCACGGCTGGGTGAAACGGAATCATGGCTCGAAGAAATAGAATCACGGCTGCAAATCCATAAAACCAAGACTCAAAAAATTCAGTCGAGGCTTGCTAAGTAGATATATTCCATGCCTGCAGGTGGGAAGCAGAGGCCATTTAAATTTTAAAGAGAACCCATGGGCCATGACTATGCAAAGAGCAAAATTTGGTAATACTTTAGATTAAGTGCATCCAAAAAAAAAGGTGTATTTTTAATTATATGTTTTTTGGGTTGTAGACTATGAATCTGAAATCCGTTTTTGGCGGTCGCCGGTCGGCATCGGAAATTTTTAATGGAACCTGTTCCTAATTAGACCTAACCTGCGAGTGTGAGGTTTTCGTTGATTGACTAGGTTTTTCCGGCTGCCGGACGGACTCCATTTCACTCCAAACATAGAAAAAACCTATTGGCAAGGTTTTTCTGGCTGCCGGGCCCGGACGGATTCCAAACATAGAAAAAACCTAGCTGATCAACAAAAACCTTGCAGGTTAGGTCCAGTCATAGTGACAAACCAGAGATTTTTTAGAATCAGTTGAATTTCAGTTCATTTTTAATTTCCTCATTTACCCAAGATTTAAACCAATTTCTTATGTATGATGATGCTGGTATCCAGGATACTTTACTGGTCTACTTATAGGACTCAAAAATGAACTTGAGAGAGAGTCTAAAAAACTCTGCTTTGCCACTATGGGTCCAGTTAAGAACAGGTTCCATTAAAAATTTCTGATGCTGACTGCTAAAAACGGATTTCAGATTCTTAATCTTCACCCCAGAAAACATACAATTAAAAAAACACCCTTTTTTTGGATGCACTAAATTGCACTTAATCTAAAGTAATACCCAAATTCCCAAAATTCTGTATGGTTTGCAACTTAGAGATGGCCAAAGTAGAGAGGTGCAACTCATGCAAGCCTGAGGGAACTAGGCAGCTAGGCTTGACATTGAATGTCATTGATAATAAGGTGATGTGATGAAGCACACTTGCACAGCACTAGGATAAATGGAAAAGTGAGCAAGGAACATAGGATTACAGGGACGTGTACCTATGAAGTTATTGGTTAATCGTTAATGGTTATCACTTGAAGAAAGTTGAAGTTCAACTGTGCAAGTCTGCATCTGCAATACTGCCATGCCAGCCATGGTGCCTTCATAAATCATAATTCATTCACGCAGTTAAACTTTTCAAGTTCAATGATTTCATTTCCTTGCTCAGTCAATCTATGATTCTATTTCTAGGGGCAGGCAGCAGGCTGAGCAGGGCAACTTTTTAGCAGATTGTAAACTTCTATTGAAAGGGAACCAATACCAAGGTTATGTAATTAATGTTAGGTATCCTAGGTAGATGTGAGTGGCAACTGGTAAGAACAGCAGACTCAGCAGTAAATGCTTATTAAAGATGAAAATACTCATGGCCTAATTTCTTAAATGACTTGTCTGGAGATCTAGAAAAGCGCAGCAGGTGAACGTGTAAGCTTCGGTAATCATTATGAAATTTATGATTAAACTAAATTACTAAAGTACTATAGCATCAGACCATAGAAATTCCATTTTCAAATGATTACATCAACAACTGAAAAAATTTAGCACTTGCGCGTTTCAGGCTTATAAGTTGAGACTTGGGAGCAGGGAGAACATGGTGGTGGTGGTGGCGGGTTATAGATGCATAGATGACCTCACTTCAGGCCAGCCGTTGCACCTGGACATGGCAGAGGTTGATGAAGTTTCTAGATTGTTTTCTTCACTTTACTTTATTTCTTCTGGTTCTTGTACAACATACATGTCCACCACTGACATGATTCTTCTCGCGTTTTGTTGATTTTGATGCCATGTGCTTGAGGAGGTCAATCCTGCGGATAATGTCAGACCTCAAACCGTTGATGTGTGCTCCCCAATGTAGGCGAGGTGCATCAAGAATCATACCCAGTACTCTGTGTTGGGGTTTGTAGGTGATGAGCTCTCCATCAGGGAGAACATGGTTGCTTGACTTGCTTCGAACTTTGACGCAACCAGACAGACATGAAGATAAACTTGGCAGTCATCTGAGTACAATTTTCCGTACGGCACTTCAGTACTAGTCGTAACTCCTAATCACTGGATCACGTGGCGTGTCGAAACTCGCAAGTATTCCTCGCGCTTGCAATGAAGCATGCATCTTAATGACCGTAAACCGTTGCACCTCTGACGTAGAAAAAGTGTCACCAGAATCACAAAATATTTTGTTAATTTCTCATGGCATTAATATATAATATGCACACATGTGTGATTTTAATTTCTTGCCGATTTCTGTAGGCCTGGATAGAAGTCTAGCCTCAATTTATTCGTAATAAAATGGGCTAGCTTATTCCACGGGCCCGATGCGCAGATATCAAGTGTTTTCAACAATTCATTCAATTTGAGGTCGAGCTTTTTTGAGAGGTTCCAAGTTAGACCTAACCAAGGGGTATTTTCAAGGATTGCTCATTTGCTTCGGCAATGAATTTTCCCGAATGATCCATTGCAACATAACGAAATTTGAATTCGTGTACCACGAAAGAACGATGAACAATTAAACTATATTTGCGACGCCCGTTGAGCTTGAATATGCAGTGCAAGAAAGGTTCGAGAGCACGCCTGAGTTCTTCTTGAAATTTACTGAGTCCTGCCAGATAGGCTTCAACGAAAAATTATGTTCTCAAGGGGGTTTTTCGATCATTTCATTTCAACAACATGCAATCACTGATCTGTCATGTACAAGGGTTAAGTTCGACTCCAATTAAAGGCTACAACATGGTAATGTAGTTTGACAACATCCTCACACCATGTACGCCATTTATTTAGCCTGAGCCTATGTTTGGCATAGTGCCACAAAGTTGATGTTGAGGGATATTGCATAGCCGAAGTGTAGGAAGAAATGCAAAGTCTGCTGCACACTCAGTTGCTGGGGGAGACTTAATTGAAGTTTCCTGAAGATTTTAAAGATGATCATACAACATTGATCTCATGGGCTGGTTTCCCCAGTGAAAGAGCGAATTGAAGAACATGAATTCATGATCAAGAAGCAATGTTCTCGACTGAACATCATAGGCATTATATCAACCTTATGGGCACTCGCAAAAGCCTGCCAGAGAATATAGTATGGGCACCAACATCCATCATCCATGACCTTTAAATCAGCAAAGATAGGCGTTCAGAAACCCACAAGTATTCAATTGAATTTCGTTCGATGGAAAAACGAGGACAAACAGTATAAGCTTAACAGGTCTAGTACCTTCAACAGAGATTAATATTCTTTTCCCATTCCTATCACACGCAATGTCGGGATGGCCGAGTGGGTTCGATCAAGAAGATTGGGGCAAGAGTTGTGGTGGGTTCGAAGCTCGCGGGTAGTTGTGAAACTTCTCTGACGATCAACTATCCCGATATAACACCATAACTTGTTACACAATACCTCGCAACATCTCTTGCAGAACTTGCTAGCCAACATTTTGCTTCCGAAATTAAGTCAGTTTGTATGATGTTATAAAACGTGCTTCAACGAGTAACGTGTTTTTTTTTATCATATGAAGGGCAGATATCGTTAAAATTTATTTACAGTACCTGCCCTAGAACTGTATCCACGCGCACATCTTGGGCAATAGGGAGAAAGAGCAGAATGTAATCTGTAGCTTGTCGTGCGCTGTTTCGTCGCATTTGTAATTACCCTTTAAATAACATTCACTACCTCTTCCTCACACCATGTTGTGGGAGACCGCAGACGCCAGTACGGAACCATCCCCTAGTGGTCGACATTGCATCTCTTTACAGGAGTTTAAAGTGCCACATCTTGTGAGAATCCAGCCGACAGTTAAGTGCGTTCATTTCTCTGTGCTCATGGCTTGACATTCATAAGCACTTGACATTCATCAGTGTAGTGCATGGTGAAAACATTGTGTGTAATGGAATGGTGCGGAAATGGGATATGCCATTAGAGATGGCCGCACAAACATAGATGATGAGCAACGTAGAGGGAGACCTTCAGTCACGCCCGGAGATCTAAGAAAAAAGTGGTGTGTATAGTGAGAGATAACATGATTTCGTCCTTGTGTGAAAATGTTCCTGCTCTCCCAAAAAAGTGTTTTTTTTTAGAAATTGTCTAATCAGTTAGTTTAATCAGGCGGCAAGCTACTGACAATGACATACAGAAGCTGTCCTAGGATAAGATAAATGCCTCAATTGTGACTATAAGTGGAGTGATGTATGGCCTTTCAAGTGAATAAATTATCTTCGGAAAAATTATTCATTTTTTTCTATGTCGAAACGGTACGTTCAAATACGCCTTGTATATACTAGTTAAATAACATACACAACCTCCCAAGATGAACTCAAGATGAACTGGAATCAATGCAGCTAAAGCCAAAACACATATCGATGTTAGTTTAACATCTTCTTAATTCCCTTCCTGTCAGAAGAAAGTGAAACAACTGTACTGCAGGGACGTATAAACGGCAAAGTGCGGAAAGTTTTTTTTTCAAGTTCATGACGCTTCGTTTACCCATATGCTGAGTAAGTAGATTTAATCCGAAAAAATACGACCAGACAAGAAAAAAGTATAAAATTCCCATCAAAAAAGTGCCAGAGAACCGAGATGCAGTCATCGAAGTTGACTGCGTATTTTAAACAATACATTAATGATATAAGCACTTTCCTATTTTATCATCCGTCCCATTACTTACTCATATGTAAACTAATGATAGGCATGAAGTTACACATCGAATTATTCCTGATTGAATCCTGCTTTTTATGATATAATATCTAGATGTCAGCGTTGAAGACAATGTCATGTCTAGCCCGTCACCGATTTGGGAGAACGCTGAATTTCCAAAGCTATCTGGGGGGCCTTTAACACGCAACTCAATGCCGCTGCTATCATGCTGTTCATAGACCGCTGTCACCTCATTGATTGCGATCAGAACTGTCACTGATAGCTGCAGTTTTAAGTCTGTAATTTATTGTTCTTATCGTAGTGATCTCAAACGCCGGGATGGGTAAACGAATGGCTGCAATTAAGGTAATATATATTCGTTTCTCCGTACGCCAAGCACGCATGCTTGGGGAAGCTGTTCAAAAGTTTTCACAAAATTATCCAGAGTACAAAATATTCCCATTTGATCAGCAATATGTTATCGTGTATATTGTATAAGTAGATGTAGTAGGTGAAACATTCGAGCTCGCATTCGAGCTCGCAGGCCAGTTCGCAGGCGAGTTCGCTGAAGTGTCGAATCGGTTAGGTGAAATTAAAACAACAACATCAAGTGGTACACAAAAAATAGACAGGTCCCAACAAACAACAAATAAAATAAGTTTCAGATTATTCTGCATGCAACAGAAAATTTTTCACTAAATTTTCACTGATACCAAACGGAACGATTTATTTTAAAGCCAGACAGATTCTGTTTAATTGTTGCGCTCTGGTTGTGTTGGTTTAAAATAATTTTATGAAGTATCTCAAAATTAGGAATTGATATGCAGCGTCTTGTGAGATCAATTTCAAAGCTACACTATGATTTTTTAATGTCTATTAGTTTTTTACAAATATCTAATGATATTTTACATCATACAGGTGTAGTTAAGCTCCGATTTGTGGCAACACTTCTGTTTTTATTTCGGCAAAGTTTTTCTTCAGCGAGTGCGGCTGTGATGTTGATGAGGTAGTAAAGATTATCTACTTCCACTTGTACTAAAAAAGTAAAGTAAGTTTAATGGTTGTGTATAAAAGTTTTTTTTATTCTGAATCTGTTGATGTGATCTGTATTTTTGTGCCTTTTGTACGAGTGCTCATACTCCCGTGAATAGGAATATCATAACGTCAACCTGATCAAAGTCCCTACTCCCTTGAAAAGAACTATAGGCCTACAACTTGCTACAAGTATGTTGTCCAAGTATCAAGGAGAGCGTTTCTCGTTGAAATTCACGGTGTCGGTGTTTTTAATTCTATTTCTTGCCACCAAGTCACCAACCACTGCCAATTATATACACCATTCACCAATGTTATTTGCGAAAGTTATTAATATTCATACCTACGTTTCCAACTTCAGAGTATCTAGCTAGGACGGTAGGACCTACTCCCTAATTGATGATTGAAGTGATTGGACGAAGGGAAATATTATTGTATGAACAGAATGATTTTATAGCTAGGGCCTTAGATCCAGTTTATGGCACGATAAGTTAGGAAGTTAGCATCCTAGTGACTTCGATTGAGGGCAATTTCCCCAATTTCTGTGGCCTCCCCTAATTCTTATAAAAATGATATTAGGTAGCTATATGAGAGTAATGAGACTAGGCTATTAGGTTATTAAATTCAAATATTAAATTAGATTAATAATTAAATATAGAATATAATTAAATAGATATTAAATTGAATATTGAAGGCAAAAATTGAATATTTTGCCTGTCCTTTTCTAAAATCACCCTTAACCCTTTCCTGGGCAGACATAGAAATTTGATGAAATTGCAATATTTGATGATTGTACTTAAAAGTATGACCAATTTTAAGATATATTTACTCGTATGCATTTTTTTAAAAATATTATCTAAAAGTAGTAAATCACAATTCTAGTATGGAATATATCTACTTGGCGAGCCGCGACTGAATTTTTCAAGCTGTGGTTTTATGGATTTGCCAGCTGTGATTCCATTTCTACGAGCCGTGATTCTATTTCACCGAGCCGTGATTCTATTTCACCTTATATGGGAGGGGGAGGAAGGTGGGGGGTAAAAATGTGAAAAAATGGGAAGAACGCAAAAAAAAAAAAACGATGAGGAAAAATAAAAAATCGGGGCTCTACAGTCGCTAGATATTGTTATCACAAATCGAATGATATGTGTCTCGACATTGTAGCATGTGATTTGCAAAAGTTATAAACTTTTTTAGAGTACCCCTTATTTGCCGTTTTCTATTAATTCCACGTTTTCTTTCATTTTTTTTTTTTAAATTTACATGAACAAAAAGGTCTTAGATTTCTGTTTTACATATGTGTACCAAGTTTCAAAACGATCTGTCTGTAAACAAAAAAGTTTTGTTGGAGGGTAGCCGGTCTCCTTAAGTAAAATCTGAAGGCTTTATCTATAAATGTAGCGGTAGCGCTGTAGCGGCAAAACCTTGTATTGCTACTTAAATATGTAGCAGGCGCTACCGCTACATTGCCTTAAATGTAGAGCTGCTACCGCTACTGAAAATGTAGCGGCCACTACTAGCGGCCGCTACATGTAGAGCGCTTCTGCCCACCTCTGTCAATAGTTCATGATTGTACATCAATGCAAATTTAAGGTCAAGATGGCTTGGTGGAGTGATTGAAAAGGCACTGCACTGCATCTTAGGCAAAATAAAAAACAACTTGCTCCTATGAATTTTATGAAAATATCTAAGAAAATGTGGATTTAATAGAAAATGGCTGAAAAGTTGTTTTTTTAACTTTATAACTTTTGCAAATCACATGCTACAATATAGAGACACATTTCATTAGATTTTTAACAAAATTATTTAGTGGCTCTAAAGCCCCAATTTTTATTTCACTCTTATTTTTTCTTTTATAGGTAAATTATTCCATTTTTTTCACATTTTTCTTGCCCCACCCCTGCTCCTTGCCATATGTAAGTCAGACCTTGCACAAATACTAAAAAATTGCTTCAAGAGTCGCTAGGTGTGGTCTTTACAAACCAAATTATATGTCTTTAAATATTGTAGCTTGAATACTGTAGGAGTTATAACACTTTTATTATAAGTAGAAAAAATAAAAATTCAATTTTTAGGAAACCCAAAACTTGAAAAGGTTGCATACTAAAATCAACCTAGTGAAAGAACTAACGCACACAAAGACATGCCAATTACACCGTTAGATGTGCCAGATTTGAACCTTTAAATTCCTAGCAAAAACCCAAAATGTCCAAGTTTTAAATTTTTTACTGAGCCGGTCCCCTTAAGCTAAAGACAATACTTAGCAGTCTGACCAGTATTCATGCATGGTGGGCTAGGACAAGGGAAGAAATTTTTTTGTTGATCTTCTGAGTCCTATCAATAGTAGTCAATAATCATCATGGTTGTTGAGTTAATCTAACGAGGGAAACAACTACTCTCTAAACAGTGACGGGATTTTGTTGAGCCGTGATTTTATGGATTTATTAGCAGTGATTCCATTTATTTGAGCCATGAATACCATATCTTAGTGATGAAAAAAGCCATTTATGAGCTGCAAATTGATTTGTCAAGTCCTGTGCATGCCCAAATCTTTAATTTTACCTATTAACAGCAACAAGAGCATTTCTCTTTACTTAAGAGGCAACTGAATATGTCATAAGGTATGGTTTGTTTTTGTTGCTGAATAAATGGTTAAAATGCAGTCTGATGTGACCAACACTATGCAATCCCTGACGAAATGTTTTGGGTTACTGATTCTTAAAGGATACTGATAATGATTGGGAACTTAATCTAGGGGATGGACCTTCTGGGTGGTTTGGGCTGACATAAATGCTACTTCACAATAGAACATTTATTTGCTGTTTTTGGAGTAGGCATTTTTATTTTGCAAAAACTAAAACCCACAATTATAAATTGAAATGCATATCTTGTTTTGATGTGATGATGCTTCCAAGTGATGCATTATATGTGACATTGAAGTACACAATAGAATATTTGCTTTCCAAGATTCAACAAAATTACCTCTTTTTTTTTAATTTGACATACCTGCTAGGCAAATTATTACAAATTAAATCAAGATATATAATGCCAGATTTCGAATTGTCATTCGTGATAACTGCTCCAAACTTACTCATGTTGGTGGAGACTTCAGGGACTGATTTCTGCATGACATATGTGAGTTTTGTCAGCACCAGCCTTAATATTCAATATTATTTTTCAGATCATGTCTGGAGGATTGCCTATTCTTGCTATGCAGGAGAGCGATGTCACTCGCTTCCTTACTGCATCCACTCACCTCGGCTCCACCAATGTGAACTTCCAGATGCAGCAGTATGTCTTCAAAAGGCGTGCTGACGGTTAGTCTCACTTGAACATAGCAGAATAGTATTGTTAGAGGTCAATGTTAAGTATTGTTGTTTCAAATTGAAATAGGTGCTGATTATATTAAGATCTTGTCATAATTGGAAAAATTTTAATTTTTGAATCTTCCTGACTACAGGTGTTCACATCATCAACTTGAAGAAGACTTATGAGAAGCTTCTTCTCGCTGCACGCGCCATTGCTGCCATTGAGAACCCTGCTGATGTTTACGTCATCTCTTCCCGTCCTATGGGCCAGCGAGCGGTGCTCAAGTATGCCCGCTATACTGGCGCCACTCCCATTGCTGGCAGATTCACTCCTGGCGCTTTCACTAACCAAATCCAGGTGGGTTGAAAAAAAATCCAACCCATACCTCCTTCATTGAATTGTTTCATAGCCAACCAGCAAAGTAAAATATAGTTCATGTACTTTTCACGTCTCCGAGTACTGGTAATGATAAATTATTTTTGCTTGTAATAAGGTTTTACAGTTGAAATTTTTGCAGTAGCTTCCAAATAGAGATGGGGCATTAAAATGGAATGTTTTTATATAAAGTAGAAATGCTGTAATTTTGTGGCATTTTAGAAAGGCAGTTGCAATTATTTTGTGCCATTACTTGGTACCATAGATACATCATTAGCCAATTCTTAATTTGCTACATAATCTTAGTTAGAATTATTTGTTAAACTTTACTATACTCTGAATGTCAACACTTTTTAGGCGGCTTTCCGTGAGCCACGCCTGCTGGTGGTGACAGACCCCATCCAAGATCATCAGCCTGTCAACGAGGCCTCGTACGTCAACATCCCCGTCATCGCCTTCTGCAACACTGACTCGCCACTGCGATTTGTCGACATCGCTATCCCCTGCAACAACAGGGTAACTTTCTGAGTATTATTTTTAATTGCAAGTTAAGTTAACATTATTACTTCATCATCGAAAAAAATTCTTATGTATACTCGCCACTGCGATTTGTCGACATCGCTATCCCCTGCAACAACAGGGTAAGTTTCTGAGTATTATTTTTAATTGCAAGTTGAGTTAACATTATTACTTCATCATCGGAAAAATTTTTTATGTATACTCGCCACTGCGATTTGTCGACATCGCTATCCCCTGCAACAACAGGGTAACTTTCTGAGTATTATTTTTAATTGCAAGTTGAGTTAACATTATTACTTCATCATCGGAAAAAATTCTTATGTATACTCGCCACTGCGATTTGTCGACATCGCTATCCCCTGCAACAACAGGGTAAGTTTCTGAGTATCAATTTTCATTGCAATTCAAGTTAGAATTATTTCTTCTTCATTGGAAAAAATTGTCATGTAAGTGAACGTAATTATTTTTCCAATTAGTTGATCATTCAAATCACTGCAAGCGTTCTGAATTTTTGAAGAATTTTATCTGTTGTGAATTTGCGTTGAATCGGTATCTGTGAAAATTATTGATACCCATTCATGATTCAATTTCGATGGCAACTTTCAATTGCAGATCAGCTAATGTTTTCCACTGTGAATGTTTCTTCCAAGGACAAATTTTCCTTGAATCATTGATGAAATTTTGAATTAAAGTGACTTATTTGATCCTATTTTTTATATTTTAATTTTAACGAAATATCATACTGTTGAAGAGTTCTGTAAAGTTGATTAGTACCTTTCCGATTGTGAGCTAAATAATATTCATTTATTCTACTATTGCAACCAAAACTTGGTATAGCGGTATTCATGTTAAAAGTTTGTCACCTTGCATCTCGCTGATCTTAAATATTGGCCAAATCATACGACTGTACACTTGCTCCAGAAAGCATCCGTTTCGTGTTGAAAGCCAAGCATTAAAAACTCTTATCTTTTCGTCAAATAAATAACTGAATTGTACATTTGTTTACAGTCGGTGCAGAGCGTCGGTCTCATGTGGTGGATGATGGCTCGTGAGGTTCTGCGTCTGCGCGGTACCATCTCCCGCACCATCGCCTGGGAGCTCGAGATCATGCCTGATCTCTTCTTCTACCGTGACGCTGATGATCAGGCTAAGGAAGAGGAAACTAAGGTAAAACTTAAGAATTTATTCTGTTAGCATGTTTTGTTTCAGGTTTAGAAACGTGTGAGCTACTCGAGGATCTCTAGAATTATGATTGACTTGTCTACATGACTTACATTGCATCAGAGACGCAACACATTTGTTATTGCCTAAGGCTGTGGAACTTTTGTCCTCTTGATTCTAATCGTCTGTATATCTCGTTTTTTTTTTCAATGATGAACTTGCCTGTCTTGACGAGACTTCAATATAAGTCGATTTAGTAGAAGTTGTAAGCTAGGTTGCTTGTCCATTATTTACACTGAAAAGCTTGAATGATCAGCCTGAAATATGGATATAAAGAAAATATAATTTTAAGTTAAAACCTTGGAGCTTTAATTTTGTTCGTAATGAGTACGAGTAATTGGTTAAATTTAGCAGCTGAATGTGGCAGCTAAGCTCTAGACAGAAGAACAGAACTTCGAGAGAGAATTCTGAACGAATCCCTCAAGAAATAAAATTAATTTTTTTGAATTGCCTGTCAAAATAAATGTCTTTCAGGTTGATGAAACAATGAAGCTCGATACTCAGCCTGAGGCTGTTGTGGAAGAGATCCCAGAAGATCTTGCACCTGTCGGTGGCGCTGTCAATGTGGTTGCCGACGTCACTGCGCCACTCACTGCTGCGCCCAAGGCTGACTGGACCGGGGTTAGTCTTGTATGCTAATGTACTAGTGTGGAATTATTCCTAGTGTGTTGCTCGAGTTGGAGGACACACTGTTTTTATTTAGTAACTATTTTTCATTTGTTGGGAAGACAACGCCCAGGCATTTAAATTTTCTTCCAAAATAGCATAACGACACGAGCGAGAATAACCGTTTCCGATTTATGAGCCTTTTTTGTAAAAACATTCTTACAGTTGATTGAACAATACGGAAGGCAAGATGAACTTTGAATAGTTGGGTATCAAAGGAAGCCCACGAAAAAACTGTACCTCAGAGTAAGATAAGATGGTTTGTCACCTTTGTTGGACGATTGATGCACCATGGAACGACTAATTTCCGTAAAATTTTCTGGCTGATAATGTATAACCATTAATGTACATAGTGTTCGTCCATAAAAAGATTTTACTAAAATGTATTTATTAACGCTCATTGCTTTAACTTTGTAATTAATCGTAACTAAATGGCGCCGGAATGTTTAATCGTCCTTTTGTTTCTTGGACATCCGCCATGTAAAGCATTCCATTCATATAACTGACAGGCGTCGATCGTTCTTATGAAGGCTTGCACACGAGTACCGTTCACTATTGCCGCGAATCTCTGTGAACTAAATGGTTGACTATTCACGTAATATAAACTTCTGCGATTTTGTTTGACTCCGAGTTGACTCTAGAGCTCTTCATTGATTTTATTGAATGTATGATTTCTATGGCATTTAAATTAACGCATGCCTGCTACATCGCTGAAAGTTGTAATCCTGGGTTGCATTTGTCTGATAATTCTATCATTCAGCAGGATGACACTGTTGGTGGAAACAGCGAGACCTGGGGAGGCGACAACACCTGGACCTAAGTCAATAAAATGACAGTCTGAGGTTAAACGTTTCGTTTCTTTTCTCTCCTTTTAACCTCACGTCTATAATAGTTTCACGAGAGTTCATTGACGCAGCTTGCTTATAGGATCCATCACTTATCTACTGGTAGATCGGTAACACGAAAATGAAAAAAAATCGGCTAAAGTAATCCCATTTACCCTTGTTGTTTTTTTTATGAATATCAAGTCAAACAGTTTCAACAGTATTGATTATATGGAAAGAATGGATCACATTAAGATTCTTTAATTTTGATCAGTCAAGCCATTATCGAGCTCCTTGAAATTTTTGCCGTAGGTACGCTTGTTTGATCTTGAGAATTCAGTGCAAGGTTTTATAAGACATGAATTTCTGTATGTTGAAATCAACAGCGTTGGGTTAGGTGAAATGTTAATTAAGTTGTTCACTTCACAGATAATTTAGGAACGTGCTTGTATGCATTACCCGCGATAGAATGGAGCCTGGCCAACCGGCTAGTTCTTTGTAATGATATTTCATATCTTCACCTCTGGCAAAGAGGGGAATTCGAAGGCTGGGTGCTAGGGCCATCGTTATTCCTGTTCATTGATAGCCGCTATCATTGTTAGTTATTGTCTGTCTGCCTCGTTATCTTTCATCAATTAATCTTGGTGGTTAGTAAAACTAATTTGTATGCCATGATTAAGTGCAGCTCAATTACTTTAGAAAGCTTTCAGTAGATGTTTGTAAAACTGTTAATTATGCTATACTCTGAAATCAATCGGGATTTTGTTGTGCAGTTTCGTAGCGACAGCATCGCTGACAAACAGAAGTTTTAAAATTATCGTGATTGGTTTCAACATTAATTTTTGAATCTCGTAAGAATTTTTTCACCATGGACGATGGAATAGGAGGGCAAGCATATATAAATGCGTTCGGCACTTGGCTTCAGGCACTGAATTTAAAAGGCAAGTTTTACGCCCGACGTTTATACATACATTTGTTGAGTATTCTTTAAATTGGATTGAAACTGAAGAATAAACCAAAAAACTTGTCACCGGTTCTATACAAAATAAAAACTTGCATTTCAACTTCTGCCAATTTGATCTTAAAACTACGATTCGCCCATATTTTACATATTCTAGAAGGAATTCGAAGCATCCCTATCATGTTGTCCATTATAAACATAGTAAGTGAGAAAAAAATAATAACTCAGTACTCACTGCAGTGAGTGACAGAGCGCATTTTCTCGTCGACGAAAACTTGAGGTCACGGACAGACGGACGGACGGACATGACCAGCACAATAGTGCATTTTTTCCATAAATGAGAAAATGCGCTAATAAGACGCGTTTTCCGTCTCAAATTCACAAAAAAACGCACGTTTATTTAAGAACGAGGTGAAGGGATGCATTGGATGGCCTGCAGCATTGACAACAATAGGAGCCTTTATCGTCAGGAACGTATAAGTTTAAAGATGCCTCACAGTGCAGTCATGGAGCCGAGGAGGATCTTTTTGCTATGGAAGTTTTCTGGTGACATCGCCACGGAATCATAACTGACGAGATGACAAGACTGGATGAGTGACGCGCTCCATCACCTGAAGGCATGTAGCAAAGTGCCATCTGCTATAGCATTGTTGTCGAGTCCAAGCTCAGCACTTTTGTTATGAATTTAAGAAGGAGAAATGCTCCTGTAAAATATAGGATATTTTTTCCAATTACAAAGTATTGAGATAAAATTAATATTGCAACTTTAATATCCGCGGAAGGTGCAGAATCGCACCCAAAGAAATTTCTGCATTACCATTATTCAACCTATATTACGAATAAATGATGAAACAATGATATGTAATGAATACCCTAACACTACATTGGTGATGTTAAATTTGCACAACTAAGTGTGGTACTTGAAATAACAAAACAAAATCAGACAGAAGAACAATAGCAGACGTGAAAGCAAAGTGTTTCAGTAGGCAAGAGAAGTGTCGACTTTGCCGGCGGTAAACCAAACATTCGCGCTCTCTAATCTCCTACGCGACATCACCAATGAAAACAGCTACTCCGGATCCAATCATAGCCGCCCGTTGCCGGTATGAATTTCAAATGGGGCAAAATAAACAAACTCAGCGGTGGGAAGCCGCGAGAGCAGCCAAAGGACTATCTTTCAGCTGGTGCTGCTTTGTTTCTTAATGGAGCCATGATTGTCTGGACGCTGCTAAGGCGTGAAAGCTATTAGCTTGTTTGAATATCTACGAGAGGTCACAACACTGTATTCATGCTGGTTTTAACACCTGAGAGGTGTCAATACACCGTATGCGGGCTGATTGCGTCGCAGTCATAAGAGTTTTTTGCGTATCCTTTTCTGCGGAATGGCATAACAATGTTTTCTTCAATTTCAACATCGAGAAAACATTGTGAACACAATTTCTACTTACCACATGCGTTGGTCGACCTTACTGGTAATTAAAATACATGATAAACTGGACTGAAAATAGTGCCTCGTAGGATGCGTTAATGTGAGGTTTATTATTTTTTTTTTGAAATAAGGGCATAAGTTATATATTTTCTAAGTTAAATAAATCTAGGAGTGGGTTTATAATTTAAAAATTCAGAAACTGTACACCAGGATTACGAGCATTTAGACGTGAGATATGTGTTATTTTCTGAATGCACTTGTATTTGATCGGACGTCATATTCATAGTGAATCAGAATTCTAGTTTGTGTTGAATTTTTTGAATGAAATCAAAACTTCTTTCGCAATACAATAGCACACCATGACTTAACTTTCCTTGTGAAATTTTTGATTGTTATTGTAATAATTTTTATTATTTCTGCGCACAATCTCGTTGGCACCACGTGGGAAGAAAAACCGTGAATAATTTCTTTGACCAAGTTCGCATCACGGGCCCGAAAAAAACGTGAACGCTCTGGCGCTTATTTCATAAGTAAAACAAAAGCAAATTTCCAAATTGCGACAAACGCTCGCCTTCCTCGTATTGGTAAGCCTATCCTGGGGGTGCATGATGCGTGGTGCGAAGTGTTAGCACAGGGCGGGTCGGGATATAGGCTTCTGTTCAGCATATACACTGTACAGCGTGCCACGTTATTGTCCGGCATATCTAGTCGCATTTTCGTCTCACTTACACGCAGCGTACAAAAAATTGCCATCAGCTCGTGTTTGTACGTGGAAAATATTTGTAAGAGGGGAAAATGTAGTAAAACTTTCGCTGTATTTTTTTCTCTCTTAATTTTCGCTGTATTTTTTTTCTCTCTAGTAAAAAAATGCAACAGGTAAATAGCTGAATGTGAAATGTATACTGATGGTGTCAAAATAGATCATAGTCTGTACGCTTCTATCCAAAATGCTATGTAAAGTTACAAATGGCTAAAAATTCGTGAAAATTATTTGCATAACTTTTATTATCACTACATGCAGCTGTTTTGATGCATCTTGATTAAAATTTGGATCTTACAATTGAAACTTTTTTCGTTTTTCTAACAAGAAAGCTCATTTTATAAAGGCTGACAATTCAATTTCGAATGCAAAAATATAGTTTACGAGTTTAAATGTTAGCCTAGCTGGATTACAGCTATAGATAGACGAAGCTGATGCTGCAAATCTGTCACGCCGAGCAGTTTCGTCTGGCTGCCACTCGTTCAATTCTAAAAGCTGTAATTTACCTTCTTTTAATCAGGCCTCATCTCTAAAACCAACAAGCAAAGAAGAGGAGAATTGATCTCCCGCGCCAGACAAATGGTCGGCAGTCACTCCTGTAAATTGAAAAAGCTCAAGACTTGTGATTTGGGCGATGCCGTATTGTCGAGAGCCTTTGAGAGGCTCTGTCACTGCACCGTAATTATGGCCTCGGCTTGACTGCGACCTGAGAGTCTCCCATCTGTACGTCAAGCTTGACATCCTCGAGGCACGAGCTGCATGCAGCTTCTGTCGACTGACAACCTAGGCAAAACTAGCGCTTATGTTCATATACGCATCATTCAAGTCTATGAGCAGACTGCAAGTTGATGGACTTACAAAATAGTTATCTGTACGCCAAGCTTGCCATCCTCGAGGCACGAGCTCGAGCTGCAGCTTCTGGCGACTGACAAGCTAGGAACTATTAGCGCTTATGTTCATATACGCATCATTCAAGTCTATGGGCAGACTGCAACTCGATGGACTTACAAAAATAACAAAATAGTTATCTGTACGCTAAGCTTGACATCCTCGAGGCACGAGCTGCAGCTTCTGTCGGCTGACAACCTAGGCAATACTAGCGCTTATGTTCATATACGCATCATTCAAGTCTATGGGCAGACTGCAAGTTGATGGACTTGCAAAGTAGTTTGCATGTCCATCAATTTGTAATTAATAAAATTAATAAATCCTTTTTGTTGGAATGGTGAGTGTGGGAGGCCTTTGAAAATTAAAAAAAAAAAATTTGTAAGCTCTATGATGCCCATTTAGTGAAAATACTGAACCTATGGCGGGCCACTAGATTCTGCTAATTATGCCGCTGCATCACAAAAAAAACGTTTATCTGAGCTAGTCTGCCTTTCTGCTTGTGAAGTCTTGCAAATCACACTACATGCAAATTTGCTTATAACTATACTCTCTGGTGATATTCTGCATTTACTGAATGACAAGTTAAAGAAATCAAACATGCAGGTTTGTAGGTATCTTTTAAATCAAAATATATATTTACCACATACATACATACACTGGGAGAACGTTGGTAGCAGACATTCGCCCATTTGGTGCTTGTTGTGTCTCACTTCTTAAGTTAGGATATATATGAGGTTCCCCTATCCCATAACGCTAATAATATGAATATTTCAGTTTGACTAAAACACAAATAGTTATTAAGGTTTGAACAGTGAATAAAACGATAGTTTGATGAATAAATGTCATGTTCTTGAATGCACAAGATTGTTAACTGAATATATGTATATTAGTATGGGATATGTATCCAAGCGGAGATTTTTGAAATGAAAACAAGTACGAGTCTATTGATGAAGAATTATGCTGTTTACTGCTGTTTATTTCATATC